TGCACAGCAGCAGCAGGGTGATAATAAGCATCAGCATTGCATCTGTCCACCGACTCACAATTCTTCACACCTCGACTTGAACCACAAAAGGGTCAGAATGCTTTACAGAGTGGCTGGCAAAAAGGCAGTTCATGCATATTAGGTTATATAATGAAATATGGATTCATATGTTTAGATATGTTGCTAAAATATTTTACTTCCTGTGCCATTGTTGATGGATGACAATGGGAACAATGGTGCGTGTTTAGGTTCCTGTTTGTAGAGTGATTGTTGTTATTATGAGGTCGCATTAGCTTTTAGCTTCCTTCTGCCCCTGATTTTTTCTGTTTCATAATTTTATTTTCATTTATGACTTAAATAACTATAGCTTCCAAAACGTATTTAGGCTATTTCTTTATTTTCTGTTTACTTTTCTATGAAAATGTTTAAATAAAGGCCGTCTAACTCCTTTATACAAGGAAAATACAGTGAGGAAATTAAATATTTGAACACCCTTCTGTATTTTAATTTCTCCCTCTTAGAAATCATGGAGGTGCTTGGCTCCAAGTACTTAGAGATTCACTTCCATACAGGAAGCCCACATTCATATCTTCAAGTAACACAGAGTACATGTCAGACTTACCGTATTTTCACGACCATAAGGCGCACCGTACTAAAAGGCGCACTCTCAGTTATGTGTCCCATTTCTGTATTTAACACACACATAAGGCGCACCGGACTATAGGGCGCGTTTTTTATATACAGGTACAAGTCCTCTACTACCTTTAAATACCTCTACTGCGTATTTAAAAATACAGCGGGGGCAAAACTGAGTATGACTGTGCTTTATCCATGTATTTATTACAAAGTATTAATCAAACCTGGCAGCTGGCCGTGAGACAGAGACATCGCAGATGACACAGCGCTGTGGTCACTCCTAAATTAACTTAAAATCCTGAAACCTGCTGACGGAATATGTTCGCTTTTATTGCCGGTATCCTGGTGCCTGCAGCTAAAATTATTTAGATGAAAAACACCTGCCAGCAGCCGCGGTGAACCCCAGGCTGCCCAGCCTACAGGCTGCTAATGAAGAGATTTCTGCTGTCAGCGCACCGCTGGTATGTGGGGGTCTGAGCGCCTCCGACAGAAATAGATAATCTGGATGAACTGACTGCAATTATGAAGTTTTCAGGTGGACTTTCTCACTTAAAAACATATTAAAACTACTTTATTCCCACTGATCACAGCAAATATACACTATATTGCCAAAAGTATTTGCTCACCCATCCAAATTATTGGAATCAGGTGTTCCAATCACTTCCATGGCCACAGGTGTATAAATTCAAGCACCTAGGCATGCAGACTGTTTTTACAAACATTTGTGAAAGAATGGGTCGCTCTCAGGAGCTCAGTGAATTCCAGCGTGGAACTGTGATAGGATGCCACCTGTGCAACAAATCCAGTCGTGAAATTTCCTCGCTCCTAAATATTCCACAGTCAACTGTCAGCTGTATTATAAGAAAATGGAAGTGTTTGGGAACGACAGCAACTCAGCCACGAAGTGGTAGGCCACGTAAACTGACGGAGCGGGGTCAGCGGATGCTGAAGCGCATAGTGCGAAGAGGTCGCCAACTTTCTGCAGAGTCAATCACTATAGACCTCCAAACTTCATGTGGCCTTCAGATTAGCTCAAGAACAGTGCGCAGAGAGCTTCATGGAATGGGTTTCCATGGTCGAGCAGCTGCATCCAAGCCATACATCACCAAGTGCAATGCAAAGCGTCGGATGCGGTGGTGTAAAGCACGCCGCCACTGGACTCTAGAGCAGTGGAGACGCGTTCTCCGGAGTGACGAATCGCGCTTCTCCATCTGGCAATCTGATGGACGGGTCTGGGTTTGGCGGTTGCCAGGAGAACGGTACTTGTCTGACTGCATTGTGCCAAGTGTAAAGTTTGGTGGAGGGGGGATTATGGTGTGGGGTTGTTTTTCAGGAGCTGGGCTTGGCCCCTTAGTTCCAGTGAAAGGAACTCTGAATGCTTCAGCATACCAAGACATTTTGGACAATTCCATGCTCCCAACTTTGTGGGAACAGTTTGGAGCTGGCCCCTTCCTCTTCCAACATGACTGTGCACCAGTGCACAAAGCAAGGTCCATAAAGACATGGATGACAGAGTCTGGTGTGGATGAACTTGACTGGCCTGCACAGAGTCCTGACCTCAACCCGATAGAACACCTTTTGGATGAATTAGAGCGGAGACTGAGAGCCAGGCCTTCTCGTCCAACATCAGTGTGCGACCTCACAAATGCGCTTCTGGAAGAATGGTCAAAAATTCCCATAAACACACTCCTAAACCTTGTGGACAGCCTTCCCAGAAGAGTTGAAGCTGTTCTAGCTGCAAAGGGTGGACCGACGTCATATTGAACCCTATGGATTAGGAACGGGATGTCACTTAAGCTCATATGTGAGTCAAGGCAGGTGAGCAAATACTTTTGGCAATATAGTGTAGCTGCAAGATTTAGATTAGCTTTAGATTTAGATTTAGCTTTGACTGTATGATCTGGTTGAACTGTAAAGTGCCTTGAGATGACATGTGTTGTGAATTTGGCGCTATATAAATAAACTGAATTGAATTGAATTATTTAGATGAAAAAACACCTGCCAGCCACCGCGATGAAGAGGAGGAGACGCGCCGGGGATGCTGTTGAATTAAGTTTTCAGGGAGAAAAATACAGCGGGAGCAAAACTGAGTATGATTGTGCTTTATTCATGTATTTATTACAAAGTATTAATCAAACCCATCAAAGTCATCATCCTCTGTTTCTGAATAAAACAGCTGCGCTAAATCAGACATGCCAGTTTCCCCTTCTTCGCTGTCAGTCACTTTCCGTGCAGCGCGGCTCCTCAGAAATAATGCCAGCTTTTGCGAAAGCTTGAACAACAGAGCCAGCAGACACTTTAGTCCAAGCATCTACAATCCATCCGCAAACTGTGGCGTAACTTGCCCGGCGCTGCCTTCCACTTATCCTGAAACTGTGGTCTCCGTCGGTCATCCATCGCTCCCACGCCGCTCGCAGCCTTACTTCGAACGGCTGCTTCACACCGATGTCGAGCGGTTGAAGCTCCTTTGTCAGACCCCCGGGATAACGGCGAGCACAGCGTTCATTTGATTCACCTTTTTTTCACATCGGCTGTGAGATGGGCACGCAGCGATGGTGATGCGTGGAAAAAACCACCTAGTCTTCTCACATACACCTGCCTCAGCCACGCATCCATCCAGCCTTTTCCATTTGCGTTAATATCATGTGTCATCAGAGCGCTGTGTCTGTCTCGCTGGCAGCTCCCAGATCAGCTTCTCTGATTGGTTGATGCGGCGCGTCCAGCAGCAAAACTTCAATTTTTCCATCTCGAGCAGCAGAAGCGCGGCGCTTCAGATGCTTAAACGCTCCCGACGTGCTGCACCAAAATGCGCTGCGGGACCTTTTGCTGCACCTATATGCGCGTCAACCATTGACTTTGCATGTAAACTCGCTGCTTCTGCTGCACCTGCTGGGTCCGGTTCACACCGATGTCGAGCAGCGTTAATTTGTTTCCCCATGTTTTTCACATCAGCTGTGAGATGGGCACGCATGGAGTTACATATTAACAGCGATGGTGAGGGGTGGAAAAAAAAACACCTGGTCTCCTTACATTCAGCCACTCTTTCATCATCTCCTCAATGAGGTGGTCTCAAAAGTCGCAGTTACAACACACATAAGGCGCACCGCACCATAGGGCGCACCGCACATTTTGAGGGAAAAAAAAAACGTTTAAGTGCGCCTTATAGTCGTGAAAATACGGTAATAATATTACTTTAGCGATAGTTCAAGATGTTGCTTTATTGTATGTCTCGTACCATGTCTTTCGGTTGTGTTCTTTTTTCATCTCGTTACAGGTGATGAAGCAGACTGAAAATGTTTTGTCATTGTCTCCTTTCTTTCATCTTTTTTTTCTTTTTTCCTTTTCTTCTTCTGTTTTTCTGCTCTATTTACATCGCAGTGTCCATATAAACTGTAAAACTCCCGGCATAATTATAATAAAGCAATTTATATGCATGAAACAAGTGGAGCAATATGGCAATTTCCATACTGCTACACTTGTGAAAGTAAAATCTGTTGGGCTCTTTTTGGCATCAAGACAATTATTCTTATTGCCACATTGCCTGACAGGACACTGTAAAAAAAAAAAAAAGAAAAGAAATCATGGAGGGTTCTGAAATGATCATCATAGGTGCATGTCCACTGGGAGAGACATAATCTAAAGAAAATAAAATAAAATCCAGAAATCACAATGTATGATTATTTTTTTTTTTTACTATTTATTTGTATGATACAGCTGCAAGTATTTGCACATCTAAGAAAAATCAATGTGAATATTTGGTACAGCAGACTTGGTTTGCAATAACAAAGGTCAAACGTTTCCTGTAGCTTTTCACCAGGTTTGTACACACTGCAGGAGGGATTATTGGCCCACTCTTCTACACAGATTTTCTCTACAATAGTCAGGTTTCTGGGCTGTCGCTGAGGAACAGAGTTTGAGCTTCCTCCAAAGAGTCTCTATTGGGTTTAAATCTGGAGACCGGCTAGGCATCACTGGCATCATGTGATAGCAGTATTTAGCCTGTGCTGGTTCAAGTTAATAATAATAGACCTCATATTGTCTACACATCATCTTAAAACAGGAGCTTTTGCTTTAGTTTGATGTAATTTGATTTCGTCTAAATAAATTAACCGATAAATCGCTTTACATTGTCCTATATTTAACAGTATCTGTTAGGGGATGGACTTGCTGTGAGAAGCAAACCATTGGGCATTATAAAGGTACTAATTTGGTTTGAAATAAAATTCCATAATATATTATTTTTAAGTCATTGATTGAGATTTTATCTTTACACCCCTCCAGCACCTCTAAATCAAACATCTCACTTTAAACCATCCTGAGTGTAAACATTAACCTTCAACAAGCAAACATAAGGAGCAACTTACAGAACATTCTGCGAGGCACCAAGCTGCAGCAGCAGCTGAACAATGGCTGCATGTCCGTTCCTCACAGCATCATGGAGTGGAGAATCATTTTCATAGCCAGGGGTGTTCAACAGGGCTCCTCTAGAGACCAAAACCTCCACAGCTGCCAGGTGGCCCAGATTACACGCCTCATGCTGAAACAAGAGGGAAAAAACAAGCGACAATAGTATTTCTGTGTAACTTCTGTTCATATTTTTATCACAGTTGTTGATTAATAAAGCTCTATTAGCATAAAATCATATCACATCTTATATTCCTCATTTTACTGCTAATGGGGGAAAATGCATCAAAACTATTTTGTCATGCATGTAAAACAGCACAAAGCTGCAGAATATGCATTTTGCAACTATTAATCAAAGTTATATTACATACATTTATGAGATCCAATCACATTAAACTGTTTTGCATTATTATAGAAAACCATGATGCTGCGATATGATGCTTTTTTTAAATTGAGACTGACAGAAATGTCCTTTCTAACATCACAATCATCCAGCCATTATCACAAACATTTAAGAGGTCGGTAAGAAGATCTATACCTGATGAGGGCATAAAAGAAAATGGAAATCATTAAAAGTTATGATGAATATTTGTGTTTGAAACCTAAAATATAGTCACATATTCAAGTGCAACATTGCAATGACATTTACAATGTGTAGCAAAATATTTTTCTTTTACTGTTTCCTAATGTTGCATTCAAGCTTACATTTAAATAATGTATATCAAAAAATAAATTACAATATATATATAAAAAAGAGAGGATTAAATATTGAGAAGACATGTATTGTTATTACAATAGCTCGTTCTGGAAAATGAAACTTGCCTTTTTCATTTTTCAACACCCAACTGTTTCATGTAAAGATAAGCCATCTCCAGGATTTATTTAGCCCTGGCCATCTGTAACAGACAAATGTTTCCTTTTCCTCACAGGAATTAAAATGGATTTGTTTAGTACCCAATAATATCTGAATCATTTTGTTTGCTTAAGGCTGAACGATCACAGAAAAGCACGCACTTGTATTACCTTAGAAGACTAATAAAACAGCTAGTAAGTGGTGCTGAAGCTACAGAAGTGGAAAAGACACATCAGGGATCTCCAGAGGATTCCAGCATTTCGGCTCAACCAACATCCAGAAAATATACAAGCAGTCAAATGATAGTTGAAAGCTCAAAGCGTATTGTAAGCATTTAAAAAAAATCAGCTGCAAACTGTCAGAACTCAAATTGAAGACATCTGAGCTGAGCTAGCAGTGAGATTAAGGGATGTAATAAAGTCAGAGACAAACACTGATGCTTGTTCTCAAAAAGAAAAAAAAACATGATAACTGAGAGAACAGAAGACAGACCCTTCAACTTTTCCAGTTGAAGAAGAACTTTTTCGAGTTAAAACAAGGGCAACAACTACAGTTATCTCTCTAATGATAACTGGAGTTGAGAATCCATTTTGAGCCATGTTTCCTAAGATTTTTGCAAAAATAAATTTCTTAATTAAAAGGTATTCATACTACTAGATCCGCTCTTTTTAAAATTTTCATTCAAGTTTTATTACAGGGTCTGTAGGTAACTGCATTTTAATAAAAAACAATATATCGTCCAAAATAAACCCCCTTTTCAATTCAAAACCTTTTTTCTGCTCAACTATTGAATAAATAATTATATGAGCACAACAACACATGCATTTATTGTTTTTAAACTAACTATTTTGGTTACTTGGTAATTATGTTATTTTTTTAAACCTTTCATTTCGGTCTAAAATTCCGCGATTGCATACAATCTTATGTTTTTTTGCTTATTTATTTCATATAAAGTGTGTTCAAACATTTAATCCACATGTAGAAGAGCAGTTTGAGCAGCCTTTTCATCAAACCACGTCTTATTTGTATTTTTGTGAATGACAATTTCTGCTTTTATTTGAGTAAAATTATATTAAAGTAGAGCTGCTTTTGATACATTTTGGTGACTAGACCTAATGCTGAAATATCTTCTCTATTATGCCAGTACTTAATCCTTATCCCTTACTAATGCTGCCGTTATGGTGAAAGTATTCTTTCGAGACCAAAAAAAAAAAAAAGAAATTCTTAATTAATTATGCTAATTATAACATCTTCACCTATTCTTATCAGTCTGCAAGGTTTAATGCAGACATCCTTCTCTATTTGCCCCATGGCTGTTTATCACCTTACAGCCTGCTCTGCCTCTAATCACTTCACAGCTTTGATGCCAATAGTCCTGCTGCAGTTCTTGCCCTGAATATATACGGATTTTGTCTTACATTTTGCTGCATCTGCTTAGAGAATCTCAGCTTTTTTCACTCTGCAATGATTTTTATATCCGGCATGATCACGGCCCGATCCGGCTCTTGTGACTTAAAAACATCATCAGTGATCAGGGAACCTCTGGATCCCGCCATCCGGCGGGGGAGAATTTCAGTCAAGATAGACATTTTTACTTGGCTGTACCTTGTTAATTCTGTGACTTGACCTTCTTATACCTCATCCAAAATACTTAGCATATCCTGAGCTATTTTCTGCATTTAGGCTGCTATAGGCATAGACTGCTGAAGGATATAAGGACCCCTTTTCATCATCTATCTCTATTCTCCCGTTCTGCAGTTTTTTAGTTCAATCTCTAACATTATATTCTCTCTTTCAGTAAAAGTAAAAAAAAATTATCCACTGGACTTGGTTTCCAAGCTTTGAAGACGTTTCGCCACCTCTCCAGGAAGCTTTCTCAATTCAAATCCAACCCAACCAACTTTAAACAGAGGTGGTGGACTCAGATTCCAGCTTCCAAAAACATACAATTCAATCATAGACATGATCCCTTCCAGATATCACCAAACCCCCCACCCCATCACAGAGGAACGAGGGACCTACCCACTCCAGCCAGTGAACAACACCTCCTTAACGACCGACTCTTAACAATCATAGACACGTTTCAGGTATTACAGGAGACAATCCCCCCCTTAACGGCAAACCCCCCCCTTTAACGACCGACCCTCAGAATCATAGACAGGTTTCAGCTATTACAGGCTAAAGATGGAACCAAACAACCCATTCATCGGTTACCATTTGCATGTTTCCAAGCGATACAAGGCGTTGTCTATATAAGACTCAAACTCACTGCGGATCCAGACATTTGAATTGAGAAAGCTTCCTGGAGAGGTGGCGAAACGTCTTCAAATCTTGGAAACCAAGTCCAGTGGATATTTTTTGAATTTTTACGGAATTATAGTAGTCAATAGTCATGTGGAGATATTTGACCAGACATGGATTATTACCTTAAAAACTGTGAATGTAATGTGAATGTTTTTTGGCTCCATGAAATGAGCCTCATCAGCTGGTTCAGTCAGTTCTGCATATAGTGGTAATACTGTTAAGCCTGGTCTTTAACGCTAATGTCCACCTATCGGCCAGAATATTAGGTGAAAGTCGGGGGACAGGGACAATGAAGCCGCCGTTGAATGCTGCGCTATTTCAACCACATCAGAACTACAAATGTTACTGATATTACTGCAAAGTACAGAGTGTGTATACAGTTGAATAAAGACAGGTAAATGTCTATCTTACATGGATCAAAAACTGCAATCAACGAATAATTAAATGCCATGCTTTGGCAAAGATTCACACACTAAGATTTCATGGTCATCGTGACTAATAAAAACATTGTATTTAGTCTGAGATGAGAGGATCTAGAGGTGGCCTGATCACAGATTATGTTTTTAATTCACAAGGAGAGCCATGCGTGTCTACCAGTAAAGAACAAAGAGTTTTGTATCACTATATGCATACATATATACAAAAAAAAGAGAGGTTGAGAACGGTCCAGAGGCCTTCATCAGTGATAGTCACATTAATAGCTGCAGATAAACAATTGTTCAAATTTGGCTGCAGTTTCTGATGAGAAATACATGAGAAAACTTCTAGTCTATTAGTATAAATGCCACTAAGCATGGTGAACTCTCTGATGCTGAGAAAGAGCTGACTCACCCCTGCTAAAGCAAACATCCCTCTTCATGATGCTTCATTGTTTGCAGAAGGTTCTTTACCATGAACACTGTAAACGCTAAACATGTCCACAATTCTTCCACTGCACAAATAATTCAATTTCAAACCTTTCCATCTGATTCCACATTCCTGCTTATGGCTCATATTTTCTCTGGCAATTTCAAGTCTGGCCTTAATGTTTGTTTTTATATCCCTCTACTTCTCCCTCTACAGAGGCAGAAACTTCTATAGATGTACATAGACTTACCAAAGGAGTCCAGCCAGCATTATCTTTCAGGTTGGGGTCTGCTCCCTGGTCCAACAGTTCTTCGACAGAATCTACATCTCCCTGCAGGGTAGGTAAAATAAACAACAATCCTGGGGTGAAAATCACAAACCTATAAAGTCAACCCATTTAAAAATCAACACCTGATGCCTGAGAACAAAAGCTCAACAGTTTATCAATCAGCCTCCACAGAGAGCAATTGATTACCGTGTCTGGGATGCTGGGAGGGATTACAGCCACGTTTCTAAGGATTACTGAAAAGCAGAACTTAGCTGCTAATTTGGATAGAATTTGTCAAGCCATAAAAAGAAAACAAAGGACAATTTTCTAATTATTTATTTATAATTTTCATCCCTTTAGGACATGATAGGTGCAGCTTTTTTTTAAGTTTTGCTTCTGATGCCAGGCTGCTTTTATTTTACCACTGCTTGTGCTGAAATTAAGAATCGGGGGACTTGCTAACAAATATCTCACCTTTATGGCTGCAAGATGCAGAGGGGTCTCTCCCTTGTGGTTCCTCTTCATTACTGCAGGACTTCCAGGACTTGAACGGCTGCCAGATGATCGAGGACTGCATAAGGATTTGTTGTGGCTTTCTGCAGATCTAAGTGCTACCACAGAGGGACTACGTTGCTCATCTGCTCTCAGGTGTTTCTTGCTCCTTTCCCTCATGGGGCTTGTTAAAGTTAAACACTCTGTGAAAGGCAAAGATGGTCTATCTGGTGTTTTCCTCCTTTGCCCTGGAGAAGCCCTCGGTCGTTTTGGTGTGGTATCCAAGGTCCGGTTTACCTCCTCGGTTTTGTTTCTTTTGGAGGTGTTCTCTTGGGGAGAGATGCTTTTGTTTTTAGAAGAATTGTTATTCGGATTGGGGTCATTTGTGGACACCATCTCACTGGATATGCTCAGCTCATGCTGGCTTTGGTTACTGAGCACATTCACCCCTCCTCCTGAGAAACCCTCTTTCATCGTATGGTTGGTCAAACTGAGTTCATCAATCTGCGATACTTCGGGATGAGGCTTGTCATTGGCAACAGTAGGGCTTAAGAAAGAAACCCTTTTACTGGACCTTCTTGCCCCATCAGCACAAAATGGCTCCAGTCCAGATGAAGGATTTTGATCCTCTGTAATTCCCCATTGCCGGTTAATGGTCTCCAGCCTCTTCCTTTTCATGCTCTCTTTGTTCTGTTTACGTGTGGTACTTGTGCGACCTTGAACCTGCTTTTTAGTAGCAACTTTCTTGGATCTCTTCCTTCCTTTTCTGTTTACATTATTTTCACATTGTGAAGATGAAGAGTCTTGGGAGGATGAAGCAAAATTAAACACAGAAAGGTCCTGGCACTGAGCTGCAGGCTGCTCTCCGGAGGAGCTATTGTCTGGGATCGGGACCTCTAAAGGCTTCTCTACCTTACAGCGCACCTTTCGACTGCGGGGACTGAACCAGATCTTAAAGTTCTTTTTCTGCTTTAGGACAACAGCCTCAGCCTGTGATTTGACCTCAACACAAGATGATTCTGCTGTAAGACAAATAAAAAAGGAGGAGAGGGAAAAAAAAAAGCATAGCTGAGTCATATTTAACAACAAAAACATTAATCTCGTCCTTGTACTTTGTCTGCTACAACTTTTCAAAGTGAATTGCTTTGAGAGAGCCTTTTTATCTCCGTAATAACATTCCACTAGACACTCAGATTAAAAAGCAAATAAACCAGCAATCAATTTCATACAGGGTAATGGATATCTTGCACTAAATGTTTGTCTACATCTGACTACATCTTTACATGGACTTATAGAAGAATTCATGACACAACCACAAACATCACAGTATTCTGTCAGGGATTTATGCGATAGACAGAAGGTAGTACATCATTTTTAAAGTGGAAAGAAAGGCAACATCAGTATCAGCCTGCAGGGATTTATTTGTCCAGCAGCAACAGAGAAGCTGGTCAGAGTTGATGTGAAAATGGAAGGTGTAAAATACAGGTATAGGCCACTTGAAAAAAAAAACTGTTAGAGGCAAATCACCTGATGCAAAGCAGATCTTTGCCTTCCAGAAAGAAAACAACCCTACACATCCAGCCAGAGCTGCAATGGAATGGTTCAGATGCTTTTCAACATGGGGGTCATAACCCCCTAGGCGGTTGCAGAAATAAAGTGGGGCATTGTGAAATGTTGCCATGGCCCCCTCTCCCTTGAGAATCTCATATGTGTTGCATCAAGGGCAGATAAAGACCATCCTAATGGATGGAAATATTACTGACATGCAGACTCAAAGTGTCTGATCCTTTAAAGGTAATGTTCTAATAAACACAGAGTCCAAACAATGTTTTGTAAATTTTATAACACAAACTTCGAGATTGCAAAGGTGACTGCAGACCTTACACTGTTTAAAGGTGTCATTATGCAGAAATGTGACATTTTGTTTCTGTTGGGCTTCATTTTAAAACCTTTGGGATCTGGAGTGTGGAAGTACCTTTTTTTTTTTCGTGGCCTCTTTGTTCAAACCAGAAATGCCCAAAAAAGTACTCTCTTCCACAAAGCTTTATTAAAGTCCTTCTGTACAGAAATGAATACTGGAAGGGTGCTAACATTAGCCCGCCTTGCTATCATTACTCTAATAATTATTCTAGGGCTGGGTGACAAACCATTTTTTTCCGTTAACATCATTCACTACTATAACTTGTGACAATTTTCCCACGTCGATAAAAGAAATTTAACTTTATTCTGCTATTTTCCCTGTGTTGCAAGGGTGGCTGGTATTTCCTTCCCCTGTAAGACAGGGCAGGGTATCTGTAATCACGTGGCTCCAATGATCCAGTCAGTAGCGTAATCAAAGATATTGCGGATTAGCCCAGTGAATAAGCATCTAACACAGCTGTAAACGAAATTATATCAGTTAATTCGGTAGAGCCGAGCGAGAGCAGAGATGAAGCTGAACGCGCAGAGAAGTCAATAGCGCATTGTCAGAGTTGAGCGCGCAACAGCCAGGTTTTGAGTGAAGGTATGCGAGTTCAAACAATGAACATTGTTCTCATTGCATGCTCAGTTCAGTGGCACAAAAATTACATGTTGAGCAAAAAAACAACAAATGCTAAATTTGACTGAAAAAGTTTCTGTTACCTGTTTGCAAGAGAGGTAACATTTTTCTCCTGTTCAATGAGACATTGTTGAATGCTTAACCTTGAATGAGTTCAAGATAAAAAAAAAATTTTAAAAGTTATATGTAATGGGATTTATTCAATAAATAAACCATAAATAGATCAGTTGCATTTCCAGCACATGCCTTTATTTCAGATAGAAGAACCGGAGCATTTATCTTGCATTTATCCTTATCAAGTTAAAATTACCCAATTTATCGTGATTTTAATTTAAGGTCATATCACCCAGCCCTAAATTATTCCACCTGAAATGGCAAATTCCAACAAACAGGGATTTCGCCTCAGGCAGTCTAAACATTTTACCTATTGTAACAGAGACCTGGGAACAATGGAAAACGGCTAATGGCACTCATGCTACATCCATATGAAGGTGCATACACACATAGAATTCTCACAGAAAATAAAAAAAATGAAAGAATGAAAAGACTTTTTATTTTTTCTCCCAAAATGATTAAATAGGAAATTAAAGTCAGTTTCAGAATCATTTGAATCAGTAAAATACCAGATTAGGACTCCTTTAAAGAGGGTGGCATAAGCACCATCCTTTCCTTTCTTTTTTTTTTATAATCAATTTCCTTCCACTTGAATCATGCACTACTTCGTATTTGTTTATAAACACACAATAAAAAACTAAACAGAAAAGTTTGTTGCTGTATTGTGCAAAAAAACCGGTTGGGAAATACAAATACAAACATGTGGCTCTGCATGTTTTACCTGGAAGTTCAGTGGGATTAAGCAGGGAGTCCAAGCCACTAAACAGCTGTATGATGCTGCTAAGCTGCCTGTTGATTTGGATGTCCTTCACCCACGCAGGGCTGCGACACACAGCGCAGCCATCTCCTGCCCGGGGGCCAGCACAAGACCTGAGCAATAAGTCTTTCTTAGCCTGCAGTCTTTTCTTACAATTCAGCAAAAGGAATACAGTACATCTACTGATTTACCTACTTAGTAGACACTAAAGAAAAGGAAAGGCTGGTGGATTATTCCAACCTTACATGAAATAAACAATGAACTTATTTATCACTGTAAACCTTGTACTTTCAGAGCTAAGCTGCATTTCATTTCAGGAAAGATTAATCCAAGCAACTTAAATAATTATCCATGCCTGCGGGAGGAGGAAGACTACTCCCACCGTGGCCATTTTCATGTGTTATAGCAGAAAAAAAGCATAGTGTTTGTTTTAAATACCATTTAGGCATGCCAGTATGCCCTGCCAGTAAGCCAGCATGCATGATTTCACAGCCTTGGCAGCCGCACACTTAAATGCAACGGAGCAATCATTATCGTTATTAGCTACACCTGTGTTCGGCAAATAAAAATTCCTGCCACGATGCACGCCTGCCCATAATAAGCATATCACAGCCGAACACCGTGAGCTTACATTACCTGCACAGCATATGCTCACATATCCCCAGACAGACCGGCTCCTCCATCAAATTTGAGCTGAGAAATAGACAAAGGATTTATTAGTCAGTGCAGGCTTACTACAGAGTAATTGCATGCAAGATGCCGTAGAGCAGTAATTAGCTTTTTGATCTTTAGCTTTTTGAGAGTATTAGAACCTTAATTCCTTTATCACAGAATATTATCAGATTTTATACAATTTTATACAATTTTATACAACCCCACTGAAATCACAGAAGGAAACTAAAAATAAAGAACAAAATCCATCTGCAAGCATCTCATATAGTGTTGTTTACTGCACTATGGTGCATTTCTAACATATCATGCAAAGGCTCTGAAGCTTACTCTGCCTCTGCATTTTTTTTTCTCAAAATACATCAGCTTCGACATCCCTGGACTGCAATGTGTACTATCTACTGTGAATGATTCTCTCAGCTTAAGGCTGTATTCATGTTTCCTTTACAGAGGATATAAAATTTTACACATTCTTAAAATAAATAAATAAATACATATTTTTCAATGTTAACACTAACTGAGAGAAAGCATTTCAGAAGATATTTTACTGAAACAGGGATTATGTAGATGTAAATATACATATAAGCCAAAATCTTTAAAGTGAGATAAAGATTCTCTTCATCTCTAGGTTTTACTCAGGTTGCCGAATGTTTTGCTACAATGATGACTTTTGTCCTAAAACATTCTCTCCAACTTGAGTAAAAAAAAAAAAAAAAAAATCTCCTAAGCATGATGACACCATCACCATCTTTACTGTGGGTTGTATTATATATATTATATTGGAGTGGGGGGAGTGTCGGCCCAATAGTTAGGACATAGAGCTTGGAATCCTGACGTTCTGAGTTCTAAACCCACTCCCACAGACTGCTACTCTGGGTCTTTGATCAAGACCCTTAACCCCACACTGCTCCCCGGGCGCCCCACGATGGCAGCCCACTGCTTCCCAAAGGGATGGGTTAAATGCAGATGTAAATTTCTCCAATGTGAGATCAATAAAGTTCAATTATTATATTATAATCTAATCATTTAAAAAGCCTCCTAACTTATATATGTTTTGTTTTAAAGTTGTAATTATTATAAATCAAAGAAATGTAGCCTATTTTCAGTTCGTAGGTCACATGAATAACTTATCCTTTCTGCAGGGTTATTATTATTATAATTAAAAATGCAGCACTGTTATGATCATGTGTTCCTTCTAAGTTCCTTCAAAGTAATACAAGCAGGACATTTTTTCCCTGTCACTCATCTGCTTACTATGCCACTGGGGGAAAAAAAGATAACTGATTTTCAAATATCATTTCAGTTTAATGTGGGGGGAAAAAGTCAGAATTCTGACCTTAATCTCATAATTCTGACCTTTTTCCCCATACCAAACAGAAATAATATTTAAAAATCAGTTAACATTTTTTTATTCCTTCGGTGGCCCTAATTTTCTTCTACAGCTTGGAAGCTTGAAATTTCAGTAAACTTGTTTGTAAAAATTCAAATGAAAATAAAGGGACTTTGCAAATATGTCTTTTATATTCGTCTTGCATTGAATGTAAGGACGATTACTTGCATCTAAAAATAAACCTCGCCTAATTTATATCAGTTCAATCCACCAGTAAAATTAGAAGTTAACAGATATTGTTGATTTATCGTCGTAGCTTAGAACAATAATGTTTTTCAGACACATAAACTCACCATTTGGAGCAAAGCAGCAGTTGACGGAAGCTTGCCACCGCCTCTTTAGTCCTCTTCCAGCTGTCTTCCTCTAGCGGTGCGTTGTTATCCATCTTCACAAGAGATATTTCCCTGGAAGATTTGCTTTCTTTATCTAGTTTGCTTAAATGGTGCATAAACAACCAGCCTGCAAAACAAGAACTTCCTGGTTCGTTGCATCTCCCGCCAATTATTTACGGAAGTGACTTAAGCGGTGTGGCGGTTACGTCATCACACCCGTAAAAAGCGTGCTCCTCTGTGTAAATTTACTTTACTTTATTAATATTACTATTTTTATATTTATTTAGATATTTTTCATTTATTATCATTCACTTTTATTATTATGCTGGTAAGGATTCGCAGTATTTCAGGTCATTGTCATTCCAAAAAAAGACAATGAAAAAATCTATCAACTGGATTTTGTTTTCTAGTTTGAAGACGTTTTGCTTCCCATCCAAGAAGCTTTTTCAATTCAAAATTAAAACCTTCAACTCAATGCTGTTCCTGACATTTTGAATTGAAAAAGCTTCTTGGATGGGAAGCGAAACGTCTTCAAACTTGAAAAAAAAAGTCAAGTAGATAAATTTTCTTTTTTGGGAACACTTTTATTATTGTTTACTGAAAATTGTACTTATTTATTTTTGTATATTATAAAGGACATTTTAATAAACTTTATTAAAAGAATTATCTGGTGATAATAGGAAATTTCAGAAGAATATATTTGTAGAGTCAACTGCTCAACAGTCCTATATTATTATGATTAAAGCAACTAGCCAGACATTTGTTTAAAACCAGCTCTTACAGAACTTAACAGCATAACTATTATTGTTATTTGCTTTGCCCTATTTTAAACAAATCAAAATTACCCTTCCAGAAAAAAAGCTTTTACACACACATGTCTTGTTTCATTACCAATGGCTCTTATCCCTGTTATTTGGAGAAAAAAAAAAATCTTTTTATTTTTCTTGCTTTATTTTCTTGTCCCTAATCAAATTACCTGCACTATTTCAGGGAACTATGGCAACACAAAAACACATGCCTGTAAAGAGCTGCTGGACCTACTGTCATTGAATTATGAGAGCTGTTATAAAACCAAGCACTAAAGTGAGGTTTAGACAATATTTTTCCCCAGAGCTGCTGCATCATCTGCTGCTTGCACTAAAAACTCATGCTTATCAGAAATAATTGTAGTTAGAACAGTCCTACCATTTAGACACACCATATGTCTACTGTTAATTCAAATACCATCATCAATAAACTCGTCAAAATTAAGGAAATAGTAATAGAAGAAAATCTCCTTACAACTTGAATATAACGTACAGACATTATGAGTGTCAATCAGTACTTGTTATTTTTCATAAAACTTGGATTTGGGAATCTGGTCACACCCATCTCTGTAGTGGCCGATCAGGAAAAAAAAAAAACTATAAAAAAAAAAAATACGGAAAATATAGAAAAAAAACACATTTAAACATTAACATTTAACTTTCCTCAATAAAATATTTTTTTATTTATTCGAATCACGGTTTCAATATGATATGCTTTTTCATTTATATATGAATATGTTCCATCTCAGGGATTGTACTTTTCCCTGATTAGAATCTGGTTAAATGATAACATGATGATTTAAAAAAAAACAACAAAAAAAGCCTTATTAATACAACTATGAAAGGTGATATTCTACCTCAACATCAAATTCCCTTGGGAGGTGTATTGGATTTTCATTAAATCTGGGTTGGTGTGCACACTGCAAAAACAATCCAGAAATAAGTAAAAAATGGCTTAAATTAAGTATATTTAGCCTTAATTTGAGTAGATAAATAAGATGATTTGCCAATGGAATGAGTATTTTTACTCTTAAAATAAGATAGTTAGATAATATTTACTTGAAATAAGAGGATAAAATAGTTTTTTCTTATTTTAAAAGGAAATTGTCTTGTTCCATTGGCAAAGTGTCTTACTTACCTCCTCAAATCAAGGAAAAACACACTTATTTTAAGAAAAAATAACTTATTGAGATTTCTATTTTTTGCAGTGCAACTTATGTGTTTTTATGGCTTCTATTTCCCAAACACCTGCATTCTGACCAGTTAGTACACATGGAAGATACTATCAGTGTAACATCCTGCAAGACCAAATCTCCCACACATGTATAAGACCTAATTCCACATGTATGGTGTAATTGGAACTATAAAACAAACACATGGAGATCATTTAAGCACAATTATATGTACCAGAGAAAAAAAAAAGCAAGAATTTGTGTCATACAAATGTTAAAATAACCAAATAACCCAGTTTGCAAATAAGCTTGACTGTGTAAATGGTTAAAACAAAAAAGACATTTCAGATATATTTGTTTAAATAAAAATCTCCAAGATCTCAGTAATTCTGGAAAGTAGCCTAAGCTGTTCACAAAGATTACATTTTGTGAAGCTAGATATCTGTTTGCAGGAGAAGACTCGAAGGCTTATAGATTATTTGTCATCATCAAGCCTTCAGCACTGCAATACAGTCAGAAACAATCTTATAGTGGAAATATTTGCATGAGCATAGTTACAGTAGATATCTTTTAAAAACCACTGTGGGCAGATATCCTTTTTGAAAAACTGATCAAGCACTCAAAACATGTAACAGATTAACAAATCAGAACATAAATATGTTCATGAACATAGTTTCTTTTTCCTTTTGGTTAAACAAATATAGCCTATTACCACCATGCCAGCAGAAAGTCCTTTAATCAGAAAAGCTTATGTCTTTTTTTGGTAATTGTATGTAGCTGTTTAACAATATATAGGTAACTTTCTATTTCTGAATAATGGAGAGCAATATAAAACTGGAGTATTATATGCTGCCTTTCAAATGAAACACTTCTTTTTTTTTCTAAGGAAGGGTCTGGAAGATTTGCAGAACGATCCAAAATAAGCCTCAGTTTAAACATATTACAACAGCAGTTCTTGTAATGAGAGTCTGAGCTTTTGTTCATTCCAGATCTGCTGCTTTCCTGGTAAATGCTGGGTCTGAATCTTTTCCACAGCAGTGTATTCTGTTTATATTCACAGTATGTGGGACATGGGGTTGTAAACAATCAGCGCTATGACCAAGAGCAATATATTGCAAAGGCCAGTAGAAACATTTCTCTGCATATATATGAGGACGGCACAGACACTGTGACAAAAGAACATTCCTTTTTCTTAGAAAACCCATGCTGTCCAATGTTATTAATAACTTTTAATATTTTTAATTTATTTGCTTTTTCTTGTGTCTTTAAAATTATTGTGCAGGAGGGGGTTACAGCTTAATAGGGTTTTTTTGTGTACTCCTGATCTTTATTACATTAAAATGACAGAACTTGTACTGAGCATACACTGAGGAACATTGCACAATTCTCTATATTCCTAAAACTTAAATTGAAATGGGAGGAATTTTCACATGTGGACAATTTAATCCCAGTTCATTCCTGATCTTGCTGTTTAGTAAGTTTCAACTAATACATGAGACAGCCCTAGAGGGAAATTCACATAGGTGAACTCTGTTTTCTTATTCAATATTTTCTCAAATAAATGTACTGCACGGGATTGTGTTAAGGGTGTGTCAAAATAGGGGGGCTAATATATATCCATCCATTTTTTTTTTCATTACGCTTTTTCCCAGCCGGGGGCGAGAGGGGTGCTGCCGGCTGACGCCAGCTGTCTACGGGCAAGAGGCGGGGTACGCCCTGGACAGGTCGCAAGCCCATTGCAGGGCAACACAGAAACAAACAGGACAAACATTCACACATTCACGACTAAGGAGAATTTAGAGAAGCCAATGAACCTAAAAGTCATGTTTTTGGACTGTGGGAGGAAGGCGGAGTACCCAGAGAGAACCCGAGTATGCACAGAGAGAACATGTAAACTCCATGCAGAAAGACCGGGGAGGAATCGAAAATGGAACCTTCTTGCTGCAAGGCGGCAGTGCTACCGGCTGCATCACTGAGCAGCCCCGGGGGCTAATATATTCTTGCTTTAAATACGTAGAAGATTGGGATTGTAAAGTGACAAAATGCGGAGTTGGTCAAGGGTTGAACCTAAGCATCAGAGAGTAACAGGAGTGTTATTAGATACACTGCTAAAAACTATTGGTCAACCACATGAACAAAGTTGATGTATCTCAATAAAAAAAGACAACAAAAAAAACGTAATCATTTATGCAACAGCACTTGAAAATTTTATTTTGATTAAAAAACATAATCAACACATCCAAGATTACAGTTCAAGTGTTCAAATAGAGACTGGTTAATATTTAGAAGAGCTAATAAAGCAATTATATCCCTAGAGGGTTTAAGAAGTAGAAAAAAATTTTTTTTCAAACAGTGAGTACATATAATTTCCTTTTAGTATCACCTAGTACTGACAATTATATTTACCTAGATATTAAAATGTGATACATTGGGGCATGCAATCAAAGCATTGCTCCATTATGTACATTATGTTTGTACATTTAAGAATTATATTGATGAATACCCATTTTTGAAAAGCAATTCTAGATGCCCAATCACAAAAAGAATAATTTAATTGCATGAATATTGTGATCTGTTACATCGGGAGTAAACAAAGAAAAGCAGTAAATAGCACATGATCAGTTTGTCAACTTATTCAAGTCATGTGTAAATAACAGTGCAAGTAATGCTTTTTAAAATAATTAAAGGTTGGGATATAGAAACAGTTCATTTAACCTTAAATTGATCAGTCTTTTAAGAAATAGATTTAAATTTGGTTAAATTACTTTATTAATTTGGAATGATCAGGTCTATGTTTTTACAGCTTTAATTGAGTCCAGGTCTTCGAACTGGTCTTCATTGTGAATCGGTATGGTTTCCATGCCAATGTTTCCCATGGCAAAATTGATGAAGACCTGTGGGCAATCAAATAACATTGTAAGAGAAAAGTTCAAAGTAAATAGCAATAATTTATTCTAAAGAAAACTGTTATATTTAGCTTATCGTCTGGTCAGCTTCCCAGCCCTACCCCCCCCTCTCTTTCTTCCGTCTATGGGTTCTTCCAATCCCAGAGCCCCAAAGGGTTTAGAGTAGTTGAAGAATATCAGCTTTGGCTGCATATAAAGCTCATGGATTCTCTCCCAAACTCATATTCCATTTATTTTCCCTCAGGCATACCCTCTGTCAGTTTTCCTCTGCCTCTTTTAAACTTTCTCTGCTCTGTCTTTCACTCCCACTCAGCTTTCTTCTCTCCCTGCTTCCCCTACCATCATCCCGCTCTTTCTCTCATCTCATGTCCCTTTTTTCTGTCCCTTGCTACCCTCTCCCCATTCCTACAAAGCCACACAGTACCTCCCCATCTCCCTTTCTCTCTCTTTCTTTTTTACTTGGGTTATGTCCTGTCTTTTTCTTTTTTTTTTTCTTTTTCCTCACCTCATCCAGTGTGGTCTGGCTCACAGCGAAGTGTTTGATTCTCAGTGCATGCTTGTTGGACTCAAGCTGGCTGAAGATGTCAGCAACCCCTCCAGGAGCGTTTGGTACGTGGTATTCCACCATGGCAGAGTGCTGGTCCTATGCGTAGAGAAAGAAAACAGAGTTTATATGTTAAAAAAAAAATCACAGTGAAATCAGAATTACTTAACTAAAACGTTGGTAAAACGTTTTCTTGGAGAGTAAATTGGCATTCTTTGAAAGCAAATCCACAATAAGCTACATCCAAACAAAACACAAAGAATAAAGAGAAGCATTTTCTATTTCTAGATTTCTAAGAAAACAATCTTAAGCCCATTAAAATACAATTTTATAGGTCAATTGATAACAAAGTCAGTCTTGAAAACCAACAACAATAAAATAATGGTTATGAATTTGCTAAATAAGGTCATATCCAGTCCCATCTTATCTGCTGTGGGAAACTCTTTTGGCATCTTACTTAGAATTAATCCTTTTTTTTTTTTTTTGTCCCCAGCGCTCGGTAGCTGGCACTCTAACCAATTAAACCATTGTCACGTGTTTACTGAATTGTTATTTAAATAGAAGGACAGGTGATTTTCAAACAGAATAAGAGGTTGGAGGCAGTGTCCCATTAATGACCCTCCTGTGTGAAATGCATACTGAGAAAAGAAAAAGCATTTTGTGCAAAACGTATGTTATACAAAACAAAAACACTGGTGTATTCTAGTGGAAGGATATTTTTACACTATATTACCTTACTATTAAAGAGCTAGTTGGTCCAGAAACTCTTTTTATGTACATTTCTCAGTCGCTAATTCACACAAGAAGATCATATCCAACCTCAATTTGGTGTTAAATAATACCTGGCTTTTTAGATAAACAGCAAATGCAAACATGATAGCAATTTGAACTTTCATTACTATCTGTATAGAACCCCTGATTTGATTTTTGTCCATCTTGAACTGGCCATTAGCGTCAGCATTAAGAAGCAGCTAATCTGGGTTTGTGCCAAATGAAGATGCCAAAGAATTATCCACTGCATGCATGTCATTTAATCGTTTTAACAGGATTTCATGCAAATGTTTATAATCCTAAACTCAAGATTTGGAATATCTACTAATCATTAATGTTAAAAATGTCTTATGAGGTGCCACAGCCTATATAATCTACCACTATGTATGGGATCTGTTTAAAATAAAAGAACAACGAAAAAACAATTACTAGCTCATGTTAAGCGTTTAGTAGCCGAGCTTTAAATGTTTTAAGCAGTTTGTAAAGTGAGCAGTTTGTAAAGTGAGCAGTTTGCAGCACCTCACATGCCTCAAAGCCAGAAGGAGTAAAGTTTAAACCTACATCTAGCTCTATGCTGCTTCATGTTTTCCTGGTGTGGATGCAAGCAACTGACTTCTGACACAAAACAATGAGGAATGTCAAAATCTGTTGTCAGACTACTATAGGGGGAGAAAAAATCTACTGCTGCTGGCTACTTACAACGACCTTGGGGTGTTATTACTGTCAGACATGGCTTGGCTATATTTGATCTCTTCTTTTGTCAATGTTTATGTTGTCATGTCATTGCAAACATCATTTATACAGTCCTAAATCTTGCATTATAAAGTTTTAAGTTCTACTTTATTTATATAAAAGTTTTAGGGTTCAACAAGGTCAGAGATTTTCAGACTTATTGTGTGACCTCTTAACAATAAAAGACCTAGCCAAAAATATATGTTTATTTTTATATTTTCCGATACACCATTAGCTTGTGACTGCATTGTTTTTGTAAGGATTTTAAAAGCCTCTTTGTTATCAAAATAAATTAATATAAAATTAACACCTTTATGTGGCATGTTTGCAACATATTAGGATAAAATCTGTTACTATAAATTGCTAGAATTTAAAGAACTAAATCATTGACCCAGTCCTATAGAGTTAACTCTATTTTTAACCAAACAATAGATACAAAATAAATTAAATGAATACAGAATTTGACTCAGAATGTAAAGGACCTAAAGATTCCAATATATGAATGTTTTTAATGTGTGTAAATAAATGAAAGAATAATCATAACATTCCTGGTGCTCTTCTAAAGTCTTTCACCTTAACTTTACTAAGTACTTTTGACTTCTCTAAATGGTTGATAAGGCTCACCTTGAGGTATGTGGTGGGGAATCTGCGCTGCATGAAAGCAGTGATTTCCTCTGAATCACATGAGGGCTCGGCCAAGTACATCTTCACTGTGAACCCGCTGCCAAACCTGCACAAGGACGATTTTATAAACAAAGTACTGTTATGATGTGTCTGAGGGTTGGTAAGGGTGTGGGTGTAGGAGAGAGTGAGGGTGAAGTGAAGGAGGAGTAGAGGTCACTAACCTGTTCTTGATGTGCTGCAGGGAGCCCAGGCATCGGAACTGACCTTTCACCATGATGGCAAGACGGCTGCAGAGCGCCTCACACTCCTCCATGCTGAGATCCAGAGACAAGGGGAGAAAGATAAAAGGTCATGAAAGAACCATTCAGGCTTAAAATAATTAGTCTGCAATTTAAAACTTGCTGTATATTTCATCTCCAGACCACTAAAAAAGAAGTATAAAACATAAAGAATGTAATGCTACAATGCTATTCAACCTATTAATACAATTCATGCCTTTTTATCTTTTCTCCTTTCTATAAAAAGGGAAGTGCAGACTAAGTGAGCTGTGATGAGAATATTAAGTAGACTCTTGCTATATTCTTGATCTACTTCTCACCTGTGAGAGGTGAGGACAACTGCGCATTTGCCCCTCACTTCTTCTGTGATTATCTTCCACAGATGACGCTTGGTGCGTGGATCCATGCCAGAGCTTGGCTCATCCTGTGATAAAAATAATTTAAGAAGAGTAGTGCATTAATACCAGGGTTAAAGATGTACATAGAAATTGGCACATTTTCTCTATGACTTTCCTTCACTGATAATGGAGACTCAAAAATGACACAATTTCTCTATTACTGAACACAACACAACTAAAAACTACATGTGCTTAAATTGAAACTGGGGAAAGAAATTATTAGACTAAAATATTTGGCTCTTTTAAAGGAAACTACATGTTCTAAGACACTGAGACATGTCTGTGATTTATGTAGGATTTGAGAGGGAGAGAAAGTCTCAGCAGACTGTGTCTTGTATGAAACATGCTGAATTTGGATGCATTGACAACCTGAGATTAGATAAGGATCCACATTCTCAAAGGGAATGGAGTGGCTTTTTTTTAACAATAATACTGATGCCAATCATGCAAAGTGTTTATTTATTAAAGATAGATATTCTTGTTTTTAGAGCAAGAAGTTGTGATGTTAAGTAATTTCTATTTATTTAGCTGCTGGGATACATATTCTATTCTACTCTATTATATTCTAATAAATGCTTATATTAGGTAGGCAAAAATAGTTATTTTTTTCAAAACCTTCTGATATACTTCTGAAAGAGGAACTAGAGTTATATCATATTTGAGACATCTGATTGGTGCATTTCTGACTAAAATATTGACATATTAAGAAATGAAAAGCAGGCTGTTAACAAAAGGCAGCCTGTAGAAAACACTGTAAAAGACGAAAGCAGAAAGATGGATGCTGTTTACAAGATTTCGATCTACGGATGGTGACAAATGGATGAAATATATAGAGGGACACAAAGAAGGATTTAAAAAAACTACTGGCAAAAGGATTTCTGTAAAATTTAAAAAAGACCAAATATAGCTCTATATTTCCTTTTTTGTGTCCATTGAGAAAAATAATTAGCCAGATGTGTCTGCATAGACGGTTCTGTCCTCCTCACCAGGAGCAGGATTTGTGGATGTCCGATGAGAGCCAGAGCAGTGGAGAGCTTTCTGCGGGTTCCACAGCTGTATTGGTCAGTAATGATGTTTCTGTGGTAATTCAGCTCCAGCCTCTTCAGAAGGTAGTTCACCACCTATAAAGGAAGCATGTAGGGGGTTAGACTGGGCATGAGCAGAATAACAAGTACCACAGGTTTCTCCTTTTTATTTTTACTTTTGAAATAATGCTGGAACTGCAAAAATCTCTGTTCATATAAATGGCCTCTAGTACAGACAGATACAAATATGTAATAATATTATTTTTGCATCGATCAAATTAATTCAAAGTTTTTTGACTAATTGTATTTTGACCTGAAAACACGAACAGTCATAATTATATACAACTAAAGTTCTGGTCCATGGTTTACACACTCTAACAGGATGCAAGTCATCTCAATTTTGGGATTTTATGAAGCATTTTTCCACAGTTGAAGGGTAAGAAAACAGTTTCTAATAACTGAGTCAACATGTGGAAATGTACTTTCTCTGATTCCCTTTTCCCCATCATCATTGTCTCTGGTAACCACAAAATGAGCATTTGAGCCGTCTATGAGGACCCTTGAGATTTAAGTAATGCTGAAGTTGTTCATTTTGTAAGAGAATGTTGATTACAAATGTATAATATTCTTCATTATTTATGCTTCCTAGTTTGTTTCTGAATATTCACACTATTTTCTTTTTATCTAAAGGGAAGTTTTTCTCAGCTATAACAATTTGAATATAATTTAAACCTCCCAAAGTTATATTTATATATGGTACTTGAGTCTTTATATGCAGTTCTGATCCTGCTTAGATAAGAGAAATAAAAAAAATTTAATAAAATCCAAAATTGTGTATAAAACAGGTTTGAAAAAATGACCAGATTATTATTGCTATAAGCATTAAATCCTGGATTAAGTACATGTTAAATGAATCAAAAATGGCTGACATTATCAAGACATCATGACATTGTAAGGTCTATGTATACTGCTGACTTAAGCTGTTGTATGTTATCTCCAGCTGGAAAAGTAAACCCCAACCTAATAGTTTACTAAATCAGATCTAAACTAACAAACAGTAGCTTGATTTTCTATCCCTTTAATCCACCAATTAGAAGCTCCCAGAGGAGGTCCAAAAACCCACTCCTGCTTGGAGCACATCCACAGCAGGGAAATGTGGATTTATAAGGACAAGGAGCACGAAGTGGCCTGCTCCTTACTGGGAACTTAATATTAATGGTCTTACAGTAATTGCCTCCTCCTATTCGCTTTACAAGAACAACACACTGACTTACACAAGGTGTCTATCAGCTCCACTTACATGAATATTTAATATTGTTTGCACAATGATGATGACACTACATGGTGACTTTATTTAAAAATGGCTGCAGTCCTGAGGCAGCGGGAACTCATGCAGGATAATCCATTTGGTGCATGTCAGTAAAAAACAATAGCAATAAATCAACAAAGCAGAATGATCCTAAACAGATACAGACACTTAAAAAGTATCTACTTTTTTATCAGTCACACGAAACTGAGCTCCAATACTGGGATGCTTGGAAAAAGCTTAAGGTCATTTCCAATTAAACTATGGCCCTTTTCCCATAAGCTAGTGAGTTGGAAAAGCAGATCAATGAAGCAAGCCAATGCAATATCTACCTCAGTTGGCTTAGATTTCCTGCTTTACTTTTGTGAGAGGATTTAAGCCTTAGATGTTTGATTTTTTGTTTGGTTCACTGGTCCAGGTAGCAAAAAAAAGAAAAGAAAAAAAACTCTGCAAATTTAATTAGTTAAGAAAACCGCTCAGTGCTGAGACAACAAATCTGATAGACTAGTACTCGCAGTATTTTACCTTTCAGATCAAAATATGTTGTTTTCATGTTCTCTCCTAAAAGCCACCCTCCGACACCTTTGATGCAACAGCTCATTAAGCTGACAAAACCATGCCAATATGAAATGACCCCATTAAGGTTTGTCTCATTATCCACAGCAAGAGGACTGTCAGTGGGGGACATCATAAGAGAAATTCTATATATAACTTCATCATGGTGAATTAGGTTGACATTGACGTTGCGGCTATTACGACCATTGTTGTCATTAGCCCTGATCAGACGGCAAAGGGCCGGCGACAACAGCAGCGACAGTGATTAGTGTCAGACATTATTTCTGAGCTTCATTGTCTCTCTGTGTCTGTGTGAGTCAGAGCATACATGCTGATGTTGTCCCTGGTTCTGTTGATAACACGAATGAGCGTGTCAGAGGCAATCAGTGTTTTTTTGGGTTTCCGTGGAAAATGGAGTGGAGGAAGAGAAAAGGAGGCAGGTATCTTTTTCCGTATAATCCAGATTTGTCATGACAACTGCCGCGCCAGCTGTCAGCACGTATGAGAAATGATAGTACGTTTCAGCAGACTACCAAAAGTCAAAAAAGCCATAAACATATCTTACATTTTATGTGAAGAGAACCTTTGCCTCCTTTGCCTTTGATCTATGACAGCATCCCAGAATGTCACCTCGGTCGACCATAGCTGGATCAATGTTAGCTTTTAGAGATTTATTGCTTTGTTCTCTGAACTAATGAAATCAGCGTGAGGTCACAGAGGGATGTGATTGCTCTGTGTGGTCAGTGAGGTGGGCTATAAAAAGATTAATGGGTAAGGAAAGCATGAGTCATGAAACATGACTGAATGAATCTCTTTTAACCTGACTTGATGACAATGCTAATTTAAACTGAACTCATAACTTCCTTCACTAAAGTGGAAACGATTCTCAGTTGTGCTTTAGTTATTCCATGGAAGTAAGCCATGCACTTACAAAACATATCCATCCTCGCTAGGATTCTTTATTTTCCCATTAATTAGATGATGCAAAATGCATTGTTAATATACTTTTTTATTGCTACAGTTGCATTTAATAGCAGATTAAAAATACTTAAACTAAAGTTTATGATTACAAAAACAACAAAATTTGGATCGTCTTACTAATCCTTAAAAGGAAATTTGTGGTTTTGTTTCAATATGTGACAGTACCTTATAGGCAAGGGCAAGTGTGTAATTTTCACTATATGACAAAACTTAGTGAAAAAAATGGTGCTTCAAGGTATCGTCACAAAAAAGTAAGCTAGTATATTTGCTTTTTTTGAGTGGTTCACAATTTAAAACATGGTATGAGATGGATATCGCAAAAGTTAATTCCCTTTATTTGTTTCCTTACCTGAATTTAAGTCTGTTAAACAAATGTGTTGTGCAAAGCCCATTGGTCAATTGCATTCTATTGCATCAAGTAAAAAAAGATTTCTTGTTTTTTTATTAAGTCTGAAAAGTGTAAGAATCCACTAAATCTACAGGAAAGAAAGAAAAACCCTGAATTATTCAAGAACGTATCCTAAATATACTTAGGTTGAAGTTGCCTCAAATAAAAACAATCAGAGGAAGAACAAGACTGGAAATATTGAATAATTATCTATTATTATTGAACTTTGACTGCTTAATTTTATGCATACAAGTCCAGTCCTTTGGGATCTAGTTATATAACCAGCATGTCTGCAGTTGAAAATAAGTTTAGTCAAAAAAGCAAAGGAGATACAGGTTATCATAAAGAAAAAAAGTATGCTATATATACAAAATGTTTTCAAAGCTCGTTCTAAACTCCATTTTCTTTCTGTTCCTCTGCTAATTTCTCTCATGTTGGCAGCAGTGACAGACAGGCACGCTGAGTAATTACCACAGAACCAAGATTGATTAGTTCTCCCAAAGATAAATGAGAAGAATGGGGATAAAGTGACACATCTAATAAGATCCTACCACCATCAATGCATCTTTTAAACACAAATTTGCAGAGATGCTAAAAAAGCGCATGCATTGATGAAAACTTCAGTCTTCAATTCTGGAGCCAAAATAACAAAAGCTTTTTCCATTTTGCTGTGGACACTAGGACTTTCAATACATATCACACGCCTTGATTAAGTATGCATGGAGGCAACAGCTTCTTCTCTTGCAGTAAGAGTGCACCTAAGAATGTGTATCAGATACTGTGTTGTTTTGCATATGATGTTGTCACTACCCAGAGCTTTGAAAGACAGCTCTTGCTTACCCCAGCTATCTCCCTCTTTGAGATGCCGTGAATGCGGGAATAGAAGTACAAATGTTCTTCTCCAGTGAGCAGTTCGTCAAGAGCATCCACTTGGGGACAGTAGCCAATGTTAATTCCCTTGTCACGGCACTCCATGATGTCTACCAAGCGCCTGGGGGAAGAAAAATACATGCACAAAAAATATTCTTTTAAATTTCTTCAATGCTATATCTTTCTCCTCTCCAAACTTTATAACTTTGTAACATTGTAAGTATTTAAAGTGTACTTGTGTCCTCTAATAAATAAATAAAAAACACTCTACAGGCACTTACCCATATATATCTGCATTATTTTGGAGTAAAACTTGAAAATGTTAAATGTTATGAATTAAACACTGTACAGCTTACCCTTCGCTGTCCCTGATCTGTGCAGAGCCATCAGTTGGGCTCACATCTCCAGTCAGCATCTTGAAGGTGGTTGTTTTTCCTGCCCCATTCACCCCAAGGAGGCCAAAGCACTGAAAGGCAATAATTAGTAACTCAAATTCAGATGTTAAAATAGTAAGAGTAAATAGATCTTAATGCAAGCTTTTAGAGCTTTAGATGACAGCAATGTACCGTAGAGAAAGGAGGTGAGAAAAATTAATTGCAGTTGTTTCATTCCACTGTTGCCAAATGCTTTTTTGAAAGGGATCAAAGCTATAAAGTTATTAGCTTGATGCGAATGGACAGAGTCCCTTAGTGAAACCCTCTCTGCCAGCTAGAAATAGGAACTAAATTTGACTGCCTGCATAACTGATTGGTACAGATATTTCTTTATTGTTTGTTTGTCATAAATATCAAGATATTTGAAGATCATTTTACTTCTACATGATATGACAGTAAATTCCAGCTGGTCTGTAACATTGACCAACAACCACTATCTTCCAAAAAAATTTAACTTTTTAGTAATATACAATGATTTACTCAATTGAATTTCAAAGAGTTTAAAAATAAAAAAGACGTAAAATCTTTAAAAAAAAAAGAACATAATTCAGACTTTGCACGGGTTGATTATTAATTAAAAACAATGACCATTTCATTTTTAAGTGGTCTTTAATTGGATTAGACTGCATAATCCATTGGTTTTTTTTATTTACTGTACTTTATTTTTTTTATTTGGTTCTAAGATCTTACCTCTCCAGCAGGGATGCCCACAGACAAGCTCTTGACAGCAGGCACCTTCTTATTGAGGTGTTGATAGATTTTAGTGAGCTGGTTGATCTGCAGCAGGTCGGAGCTGGCTGCTCCGCTGGCCACTCGAAGATGCTCTGTCGCCACATCCTCATCATCTTCTTCTAGAGCATCCTGAGGCAGGGTCTTTCTTCCCAAGATTAGATGCCTAAAAGTAGAGAGAGATGTTTCTTTTAAGTGTTAGTGAAAACAAGAATACATATATGTATATATACATACATAAGTCTAGTTGTAAAAAATAAAGAAGGGGGATGGTGATTTTATTTTATTTTTTTAAGCATACATAGCCTAATTAATATAGTTTATTAACCTAAAGCAATATGCATGGTATGGTTGTTACATGTCAGGTACCCCGGTCATTGACCTTGACCAAGGCACCGTACAGTAGAACTGCAGTCAGTCCCTGGACTGGCATGGCTATCACTGCCCCTACATAGTTAGGGACAAATTCCCACTGGGATCAGCTTCATAATCATGGTAGGCCACTTCTTTGATTTAATTGCCAAATGTTGAAAGGGCAATATTATTGCCATTACTGTTAATATATAGTAAACATTTTAAACATTCAGTAATAAAATGTCACAGGGGATGGTGCGGGGGGGATGGTCATTTAAGAAGGGGGATGCAATCCCCCCTCATCCCCCCTAAGAGAGTTTTCTAACTATTTAGCTGCTCCAAAGAGTAAACAGAATGAATTTATGCAGCACTGTTCTAGTCATACAGTAATGTTCACATAACTGCACTCAAAGAGTCCTACACTGATACAAAAATCGTTAGGCAACTTGGTGTTAAGTGCCTTGCCCAGGGGCATATTGACATGTCACAGGAGGAAGCTGGTATCGAACCCGGATTCTTCCAATGGTTAGAACACAGCACAAAATACAAACCTTGAAAGAAAATTCTGTAGATGTCATACTGAGTGTTAAGGTTTAAGAGTAGCATACTCCAGCTTTAGTTGTTTTTAGACACACAATGCTAAAAAAAAAAAAAACACCTCTGGAATCTGTATTTTTCGCACCTGACTTTGCGTACGAAACGCCTGTTGAGCAGGAGGCGCAGGGTGAAGAAGAAAACGCCTTGGATGAAGGAAGATATGAACATCCATCCCAAGCTCTCTGTGGAGAATGGATTTTTGTAGGCATCGATTCCATAGCCATTTAGAATCTGGACCTCGATGTTTGTCCTGGCCAGCTCCATTAGTCCGTTCCCAAAGTTGAACTGAGGGAAGATGAGGAATGCGTGGTTCAGCTTCTTCAGTATCTCATGAATGACCTGTAGAAAAAAAGAGAAAAATAAGAGGAGAAAAAATAAATAAGGTTAAAAATCCTAGTTTAAATACTTTTTCATTTTATTTCTATAAAGGCTGTGCTCTTTGTGAGGTATGTTGGTTACCTCAGAATTCTGGCTTGATATTTGTCCCAAAAAGTAGAGAATGGAGGTGCAAATGATGGTGTTGATGCTGAGGAAGAGGTTGATGCACACATAGGCGATGAAGGCTTTTTCTACATCTTTAAAGAGCCCTGCTAACAGATACATCCAGGGGAATGTGGCGAACCTGAGAATTTGGCAAACAAATAATATTTTAAAAACAAATCACCATGAATAATCAAACAAATACTGTCAAATGAAATGATCTTTAACACACCAAAGAGACTAAACAATAGGTGTGATCATGCAGGTATCAAAGAGTATTGGAAAAGAAAAAGTGGAAAATATCACACCATGAGGTGGGTAAACATTCAGTCATGAAACGGACAAGGATAAATTACTTCTCTTTTTATTCCCTAGGTGAAAGAACGTCTTTCCTTTTTCTCTCAAATAAACTGCATCACCTGATTGAGGGTGTGAGATTAGCTGGCAATAGAAAAAAAAAGGAATCGAAGGGAGAAATGAAAAATAAAAGAAGGAGGGACGGAATTGAAAGAGACACAAAGCCAGATAGAGACAAAGCGTCCGTGTGCCATGTCCAAAAAAGGTGCTTGGTAGGCAGACTGAGGGTGCCAAGCCATGACAAGAAACAGAAGCAAGAAGGCTGCAGACCAGACCAGGTGGGTGCAGCCTGACAGATGGAGCAGTGCGATTAGTCATTGCTTGGGAGGGAGACATCTGTCTGATAAATGAGAAGCAGAGTGCTGACTCTGCCTACGATGATATAGGGCTCAGTATGAAGCCTGGGAACAACAACGGCCAACACAGAGGTCCTAATTTTAATTGATGAATAATATAATGAAGTATTGCAATGCAGATAAAGAAAACATAAAAATAATATTGGTTTAAAACTTCTCTTCAAAACTCTTCATCAGAAGGACTTTAAAATTCTAAATCAGAGCGATCACGCATTACGTCCTTCTCCTTCAGCCAAATCTTTAGCTTGAATTGTAACAGCATCTAGGTAGTGCTTTTTATAACATACTTTCTATGCTAATGTCATCTGTCCAAAGAGAAAAATTCTACAACAAAAAAACATAGCTTGTGCTTTTCCTCGACAACAGCAGCCTCTGTCTGGTCCATGCTGTAGATTTAACCTAGCCGCATACAAAGTAACACCCATTAGAGATTTGAATTCCCACTGCATATGTGGAGAAAGGCTGTTGTAAATGTAGGGACAGCTGAACGATCACATGGCTTAGGAAAATCCTGTGCAAGAAAGATTGAGTTTTTGATTAATCCAGAGTTCCACTGTTTGCCAACAGATTTTTCAGTGTTTATATCGAACATATTTTACAGGCAGCCTGCCAGAAGTCTGTTACTTACATTTTGTTACATTCTGAAGCTTGGCCAGCAGCTCCTAGGCCTTACATTAGAAAGCAATGGGGAACCATTCCAATCAAATACTAAAGCATAGAGTAGTTCATTATCTCTTGACATATCTTGTCTAATGTTGTTTTAACTTTAAATGACATCTCTAGCGTTTAGGGCTAGGGAAAAAAATCAAGATTCTGCAAGGATAGCTATAATTCTCTTATTCTCACTATAATAATATTGCTTCTTTCCAATTCCAATTCTGTAACAGCATATTATATGGTCTACAAAAACTCTCTATCCCCCGATATCTATCTATACCTATATCTATGTAAACTCCAACTTATTCCACTTGATGTAGCTATAGGTTAGACCTATCCTTTGACGTCAGTATTTTGAAACAGTGGTCCATGCCTTTGCAACCACTCGGCTGGGTTACTGTATTGCACTGTATAAGGGTATAAGTGATTCATGCATTTCCCAGGTTCAGAGGGTACAGAATGTTGCTTTTTTTAACAGGTACAAGCAAATTTGATCTTATTTCCCCCATTTTAGCCAATGTGCATTGGGTGCCAGTACATTTAAGGATTGATTTTAAAATCCTTTTATTTGCTTTTAAAGCTCAAAATGGTCTTGCCCTGCATTAAACATCAACACACACCTTCTCGATCCCTTAGATCAGTAGTTACTGAGGGTGCAAAAGACAAAACACAAGCTTAGAGGGGACCCCTCTTTTTTTTCAGCCCCTAAGCTGTGGAATGACCTTCCCTTGGCCATTAGACAGGACTCTTCACTTTTTGATTTTAAATATCTTCTTAAGACCCATTTCTTTTCCTTGGCTTTTAACACAGTCTGAGGTGTTCACTTTGTCTTTCTTTGTTTCTGTTATTATTCTGTTATTGCTTTTTATTTTATTACTACTTTTATACACCCCTCTATTTATTGTTTTTATAATTTATTGTTTGAATTTCATGATTGTGTACAGCACTTTGGTCCTCTTGGGTGTAAAAAGTGCTTTATAAATAAATTTGGTATGGTTTTTATATACCATTTTTCTTTTTAAAACTACAAACCTCAAATAACGTCTCTCATAAAAACAACACCACACATTTACCCTGGACCTGCACTGCCCTCATTGCAGTAGCAGTATCATGTTGTTGGGATGCTATTCTCCAGCAAAGAAAAGGAATGTGACAGTAGGAAACGTCTGGGGCAAAGGTCAAACCACAAGAAAAATGACCTTAAATATAAAACCAGAGCTACAGATCTAGTTCAGTTGTGATCAGAGGCTTTGTATGTAAATCTTGTGGATAAAATTAATTTTCTTTTTACAACAGTGTGCTAGCTTTTACTAAATGATTTATTTCAACCGTATGATAGGCTGATTTCAAATCACATGAACATTAGAGCAGCAATGCCCAAGGGCATTGATCCAATGATTTATCTTGTATAAAGAAAATATATTTTAAAATGTTTTCCAAAAATACTTACCCAAAGAGCACAAGAAGTAGGCTGATGGCACCTAAATTTTGTCGATCCGTAAAAGCTGGAATTTGGAAGGCAGCGATCACACAAATAGTCAGAGTCACTGGGATCAAATAGATGACCTGTAGGACCACAACAATGGTAACAATTATATACAGACTTTATCTCCCATATGATTTTCGGTCATTTGATCACATGGTTTTGTGCTGCGTAATGTTTTGTTGTATGTTGTTTATTATAAGAAAATAATACCATGTCATAGAAAAAGTTCACAGCCCAGTAGAAGGGCTCGCTGATGCCGGCAATGTGCTGGAGCCTCTTGGAGCCACTCCTGTGCTCACTGACTTCGTAGATAGCAAAACTGGCTGTCGTAATTGAAAATCCTGTCAGTATACACATGGCCACCAAAATCTGGAGCATTCCCTCGACGCTGTGGGGACAAAAGATTATTTAGAGGATGTGATTAAGTGTTAGTTATGCTCATGTTTCCTGAAGTATTATTAATCAGCAATATTCGCGGGGAAGAAGTTGTGCTCTGCTTTGTTGCTTTTGAATTGCAGCGAAGACAAATGAAGCAATATACTTTAATGGGGCCAGATTTTATTTTTTTTTTAAGTTCATTTTGAAATTCTGCGCCAAATGATCATTAACATCCCCTGCTGAGATCTGACTCATTTGGACTATTGAAGTGGCGAGCAATAAATGGAATCTCATTAATAAGTAAAAACTTTGTATGGAGAGATGAATGTGCCTCACTTACAACAAGATAGCACCGAAAGGAAAAATAATTAGACGGTTTCATGTCTACTTCATGGTGGTAGAGGGCATTGTCCTGATATGACTCTCAAAATCTAGTTAAAGCCAGATTCGGTTTCTGATGGTCAAATTATTATATGCACGGTCATCATCTTTTCAATGCTTCTTACATCCACTGAATACTGCTGAATTCCTTTTACTACTATGTTCTACTAGGGGTAAAACACCACAGATTAGACTGAATATCTTGAAGAAGGCGAAAGGGAGGGTGAGAATAAATCTGACAGACTGACCAGGCGAAGGCGAGGAAACAGCAGAGAGGGACATGTGGTGGGTGTTTTCAGGGGCACCACTTACTACGGTAGAAAGCCAGGAGCGGCAGCTACTGAGCAGGCTTGTTATCAGTTCAGCCAAGATAACCTTACAATTTCTCACATGGGCACAGCTACAGCATGGCCAGAATCAAGACATTTGAAGGAATACATCTGCCATATCTTTAACACAGTACAGGCCAAATCAATAAATCAGGCGAGGAAGCCAAGTATTACCCTAGAGTGAATGAATGAGCAAATGTGGTCCCTGCAATATGTCAGCAGACAGCAGCTCAGGCTTCAGGAGAAACTAGTGATAAGTAACAATGACCAGACCATTGAGAGGGTTTGCTCGAATGGAGTTACATAAAGGAGGAGTCCTTACAAAGCAATAAAGCCTCTCAAATTCCTTCTAAGAGTGATCAATCTTATCTTCGGAAGTAAGTGTTTTTGCATACAGACATCCAATCATCTCTAATGAACTTTCAAAGAGAAATAATAATTATCTCTAATAAACTTATACTGGGAAGCTAGGAAGAATCCATCCACCTTAATGCCACCTTGCAGATAAACATATCATAGTGGGACTCTGATCAATAAAGCAAGCAAAAGAAATCCATCCAGATAATCAAATATAGGTAAATGCTGCTGTCATGTTTATTAATCCAGGCTGACTTTACTGTCCGATTTTGAAAAATAGAATGGCTTCAGAAAATAATTTCAGGTCATGCAGACAACAACTGTGTCATACTAATTTAAGAAAATTTAGACTGATAGATGTACGGGATTTGCTGAAAAACATTCAAAATCCCCTTTTCAGTTTTAAAAAGGTGTTTTAATGTAAAGTGAAACAAGGTGGAAAAACTCTAATGTTTTGCACAACACCATGAGATGCATGCAATTTAATCAGGGGGCAAAAAATTTAGAGCGTAAAACCTAGAGTAGATAAAAAAGAACCACAATGTTCTGTTTAGCTTTCAACCATTACTATGGAACTTACTTAATTGTGCATAACTGTCAGCCTTCTGTAAATCTCAGAGTAGGGTAATAATCTGCATTATTTTAAGATTACACAAAGATTGTGGTTGTAGTAATATCAGCAATGCTCAGTTTGTGAATATGTTAGATGCAGTTTAAAATGTGAACTTTGGTAGTTACGTATTAGCATAATAGCACAACTGTTTTGCACAAACTGCTCCTGCAAAAAGTGAACCATGTTCTTCCTATATTACAAAAACACATTCAAAGTGGGAAGATAGAAGCATATATTAAATGGTTGCCTTAAAGCATCTTATGGTCCTTAAACAGAAATCCTCCACAGGTCTTAGCAGATTTTAAGTCTGCAGAAAAATGTTAAATTGATGCATCAGTGGCTAATATAAGTTGGTGTCATTTTCTGTTTCTACTTTTGTGTGTAAAATGCTTAGCTTAGTTCTTACATCGTGTCTTCATCATCCATTCGGCCAAAGTAGGGGTGGCTGGAGACTGAAATTGCTGTAATAGAAAAAACACGGTATTTTATTATGAGTGGTAAAATAAAGAGAAAGAAAAAAAAAGCATATAGGCTGATTTTTCTTTCTTTTTTTCCAGCATAGAATCAAATGAGCAATGATATTCTTTTAGCCTGGGACACAGTCAATTGCAAAATACACAACAAGATGATTTGATTTGCTGGTGCACACACAGGGAGAATTGAATTTACTTTGTCATTTTCCTGCAAAATTCTAGATGCTCACTGACACAAACAGCTCCTACTGATGTTTCTGTTTACATTTTTTGAGACTGGAAGAGCATGTGTCTACCTGAAGTATATTAGCCACAGAACAGAATGGAGGATCAGTACATTCCTTAAAAGGAGCAAAAACTGAAAGAATGGAGCCTTTTTTTTTAACTAAATCAAATTAATAACAAAAAATGCAGATTGTGCTTGGACATGTTTGTATAATTCCTTTTAGCTGCTGGAAGACCCTTTTCTTATTGTGCAATATATGCTAGATTAAGATATTCATGTAGGTCTTATCATGAAGAAATAAAGTTTGTCATGAAAATACACAGTCTGACTTTGTATTAAATGCAGCATGGTGTGTGTACCTTCAAATGAAATGTGTACAATTTCCAGGCAACTTCTCTCTTATATAAAAATGTGACTCTCCCAAATGTAAAAGCATGTCAAAGGAGCTGAATCGTCCAAAATATTGGTTGACACTTGAAGCATGTGGCATGCTCTGGTGAGTGACTCTGGTTGCCTTCACAGTAGATTATGTATTTGGTTTTTTTATCAACTAGGACTAGAACTATATAATATACATTACAGATATGTTAAGTCTGAAAAAAAGAATTTTTTTTTTTTTTTTTTGTGAAACGTAAAATCCTGTCACATCTACTTGATGCTGCTTGTAAACAATATCCTAAATATATTTAATGTTTTGGGGTAGAGAGTACAACATTTATATTGCATTACTCCAGAAGTACAGAATAATCCAAGTTTGCCATGAAATGATCAACGAATTGGTCTTTAAGTCATACCATATACATACAGCCTGCAAGTGATAAATGATTATAGGCTGAATAAAGCAGAAAATTAGTCAGAGCTCAATGCTGCTGGTGACTCTTCAAGCACTTGGCATGCTGAGGTAGACAAACCATCATTGAAAGAAAAATTTCTTCTGTATTTATCTACATGATTTAACATCAGATAAACTTGTCTTACTATCAGATTATTGCTCTGATATTTACGGTGCACTTCCATAACTTTGATGGCACTGCTATCTATTGTTTGTGTGATATTTATGATTAGGTTGTGGTACTAAGGCTACCAAACCTTTCAGCACATCTGAAACAAAACTTTGACATTCTGTCCTAGAGAGAAAACAAAACACCTATGCTATGCATTCAAGCTAAAAAGAGGGTGATATTCCAGCATCCATTTAATAGGGTGGCATTCTATTTGTCTGGAAATATATCCCTATTTCCCATTTTGCCAAGCTAACAGCTAAATGTTCTAATTTTTAAGAATTTTTACAATCTAAATGGAAAGTGTTTTAAATGATTAAAGATTGCAATTAGCATTATACAATTATAAATAACAGACAATGCTTTTTTAGTTCATAACTTTAGGTTTGACTTATTATACAGCTGATGAAATGAATTTATTTCTCAAGGGGTTGCTAGAGAAAGTTTCCTAATACAAAATGCGGTACCAGTGGTTTTGATTAAAATCTAGTCTTGACAGTAGAAAATGATGATCAAAAGTGTTATAGCACATCTGCAATAGTGGGTGGATATGGTCAGAAATCCTGCGAGATGGGGATGAAAAAACTGTTTGATGCAGACATCTAAAGGCTCCCAGCCTACTGCTTTGCACTGTGATGCACAATTCGAGGGTGAGTGCATCAGTTTTGACAGATAAACTGGTCACCTTGAAAAGTAATCTCCCTAAATCCACACCCTTGCCAGCCTCCCTCATTAACAGGAACATTTAGACGGTTAGACGTTATCCTGGAGCAGTCCAATCATTTACAGGGGAATTAAAATGCATGTGTCTGTTTCTCTGTTCATGCAAGTGCCTGTGTTTATATGTGCTGTTTTTATTATTCAAATATGCGTGTGTGTGTGTGTGTTTGTGTCCTCCTGCTCAAAGGCAGATGGTTGGGGTGCTTCTCAGGGCTGAAACGAAAAAAAAAAAAAAAAACGTGGGCTAGCCGCGTTTCTCTTTAGCATAGCTCCCCAGTGAGTGACACTAATTAGTATGCACCACGCATCATAATGTTAGAGTAAGGACACATAGCACCCCCTGGCTTTAATCTAGCAAAAATGAACCATGAGTAAACAAGCAGTTTGCAGCTGTCTTTATTTAGAAGACTAAATGTGCAGACTGTATGTACCTGGTAATGCTGATATGATGATATAACTCCTTTTTTTCCCTATCTCATTTTTTTTTGCAACTGATCTTTAGGTTGTGGAATAACAAAGACTGATGGTTTGATTAAATGAGTACTTAAGGATCACATTTAAGCAAAGCTTCAACAAGTGGGAATACTAATACACAATCTGCTCTGTTCTTACCTGAAAATGTCCCTGAGACAATTTGTTAAATCTTACTCACCATATTTCTGTGGATCTTTGTCTGCTGGAATATTGGAACGCAGGATCAAATTGTTGAGGCTGTTTAAGTATGCCGGCATTGTGTGGTGCCCCTCAGGGTTGAACCAGACCTATGATCATTAAGTCAAACATTTAAAAAAATACCCACATCATGCAGGTAAAACTAGTGTGAGAATTCTGAGAACTAGTTTGAGGAAACGTGAGATTCACAGAGCTTCAGACATTATTGTGGGGAAACATTTGCATGCTAAAAGATCACACAAATGTCGCAGTTAAACTGTATTTATGATAACGGTAATGATTTAACAGTCCGGCTCAGTCTGAGAGCATTAATCTTGCAGTAGAGTGTAATTAGGATGTCTCAAATTAGCTTTTAAAAACCCATCAGGATGGCAGTTAAAATGATAAGGAGACACACAATGGGAAACTACAAAAAAAAAAAAAGAAGTCACCTTAGACAGTGTGCGGTTGTTGGGAACAGTCTTAAGGTCCATTCGTAAGTCAGGTGGGAGTGGCATGCCAAAAGCAAAACCGCCATACCTGAAAAATCAGAGTGGACACATCGATCAAAACAAGCAGCTCTGGCTCCTGGTGAGAAATAAAATGTGACATGCACTCTGTTTTTCAGTCGTTTCTTTTCTTGCCCTCACAGCAAATATCCAACACAGAAGTGAAACTCGTTTTGAGGCGAGACCCCAAACAATGAAGATTTAGAGTCATCCAAAGCGTTAAAAGCTAGTTTATCTCAACCTGAGCCAGAATGAAAAGAGACATTTAAGGGAGGCACTTGAAGTGCTGTCTCACTGTTTCTTGGTGTAACATGATGCATTTTACCGTACATGGAACTGAGCTCGATGAAAGAAAGTGTGCTTTGTAAAACAACGTACTTTTTTTTTTACATCTACAGTATGAAGCATGTGTGGTATACTACCATTTTGTATGTATATTTTTTGTTTTTGCTGAAAAAAGGGTTTTAAATGTATCTCTGCATAAGAGCTGAGAATGTTACTCTGACTGTGAAATAATTATTAACAGGTTTCTGCAGCACTTGATGGCATACAGAGGAAAAGGAATCATTTGAATCAGGTGTTCTGGAACCGAGGTGCATTTAAAGCATAGAGGGAAGGGGTCCCTGAGGGCCCACGTTGGGAACCACTGGTGTTGAACAAAATTAAAAATAACTGTTTAGTTATTATGTAAAGAAACAAAATGGGATCTGTCTAACAAGATGTTGGTGTTTTCCTACTCTGAGGATAACTACACTTTTCTAGGAAAAGATGCAAGTACTATGAATGTTTTGTAAATGATAAAAGATAAAAACCTAGCAATGCCATCTACGTACGGCATTGGAATACATGGCAGTTATACATCTGTGGGAGCATTCTTAAAGACTTATTAATATATTTCTAGAAAAAAGTAACAATAGACTAAGTCATCATTTACCGGTTCCTGATGAAGTCATTAGCTGTAGCCACCAGGTAGTTCTCCACATTAAAGCCAGTCAGATTATAGACGATCTGAGACGAGGGGGCCTTCTTGTAGGGAGGCTGAGAGTTGTTCTTATTGCATATCTGTGGCATACAAAAGACAAAAAAGCTTGACAATTGCCCCCCTTTTACAGTGATTAAAGGGGACTGGAGGGGACAAGCGAGAACACAAAAACTCAATCACTCGCACACATACTGTTCTTGTTGACCCAGTCTCACCTGTTCCTGTTGGTTGCATTTACACACACTAAATGGTTTGGATATGTTCCCTCTGGAGCTCCAGTTGTTTGTGCTCCTTGTGCAGACCCTTTAAAATAAAATAAAAATGCTTGAATTGTGATAGGAAAGCTTGGCATGTGTTTTTTGATCATGCTAAAATAAAAAATAAAAAGAAAAGAAATCATATCAAAGAAAGCTGATCCTCTGTGTTTGTTGGCACCATACTAAAAAGCTGTATGCTTTCATTGAGAGAAAGGTCAATCCTGCAATGAGTCGTGAAGTAGCTACGTGAGCTTGGGTGGTTTTGTTGAAACTGAAAGTTAAATTTATTCTCTGATCACAGCTTTCCAAGCTGTTTAGTATGTGTTATGTGATATTGTGTGAAAAATGTGTTTGTGTGGGTTCATGATCAACTCCCACACAGTTTTCTTTCTACCAAGTGCTGTTAAGGGACACCATGCACAAATAAAACAACAGATTGCAGAAATACATGCACAATAACGGTTAATAATATTTTTTTTTTTTACAAACTTACTTCTGCACGATTCTTTGCAAGAATCAATGATCTTTTTTCCAGCAGCATAAATCTATGAGCAAACATGCGGACTGTTTTATGATTTTGCTCTTCTTTTTTATGTTTTCTCTTAATGATTTTTTTTAAGGGTGGCATGGTGGGGGGGTTTAAAATTCCCCAGGGTTCTGCTTCATGAGTGCCAACATTGATTTGAGGGCCTGCCATGGGAAAATATCCCCTATAAACACGAGGTGTTTATGGAATACAGATGATGCTGTCACATCGCAGAGACCTGCTGCAGGCTTTCAGCCTCATTCCTCAAACTGAGGAGGTGGGAAATGAAGAGGAGAGACAGAGAGAGAGAGACCAGAGAGAATAAAAAATAAAAGACTGAACAGAGGCTGTCCAGTAAAATGGAATAAAGAGAGAACCAGGAGGCACAAAAAGAATAACAATCACTGAAAAAAAGTGTGAAGACAGTTAGCAAAATAAGAGTGTTTTTTAGCAAATGGGAACAGCTGGAAGCATAATTACATACTGGTTATCAGAGTTGTCGAGGCAGGCGTTATCGATCCCTGGGAATGACATCATGGTGTCCACCAGATGGCTTGATCTGGGATTCTGGTTACTGTGGAGTCAGACAACATTCAGCTTCCACTTAAAGGAACAAAGAACTTTTCAAGACAAGATTTCTTGTTTTATATAGCACATTTCAGTAGCAAGAAAATTCAAGTGATGTACCCGAAAAAAAAGAAATAACACAGAAAACACAAAGAGAAAATTACATTGCAGCTGCATGGAGGTAAATAAATAATTAATGAATATGCATACTTCAAGTAAAAATGAATGATTAAAATGATAGGATAATCATTAATAAATGAATTATGAAATAATTTAGAACAAAATGAAAGTTGGATTACAGACTTACAAACTAATAATGCTTAGATAACTTTCTATTGCCACTCTAAACAAATATGGTTTTATTGTTTCAAAGAAACTGAAGCTTTATAGTTTTCTGGTAGTGTATTCCATATAAGTGGAGAAAATTAACTAAACGCTGCCTCTCTATATGTGGTTCTGCTATTAGGTACATTTGAGCCAGAAGACCTGAGAGGTCTGGCTTATTAATACACTAACAGCAGGTCTGTAATGCATTTTTAACCTAAGCTGCTCAGTGGTTCATATACCAACAGAAGTACTTTAGAGTCTATTCTCTGAAAGTTGTGGATCCAGTGTAAACATTTTTAAAACTGGGGTGATGTGCTTCATTTTCTTAGTTTTAGTGAGGACACAGGCAGCAGCATTCTGGATAAACTGCAGCCGTCTGATCTAAATTTTAGGAAGATCAGTGAACACACCGTTGCAGTAATCGATTATACTAAAGATGAAAACATCAGGTAATTCTCAGGGTCCAGCTGATATATTAGTCATTTCATCCTGGAGATGTTCTTTAGGTGACAGAAGCCTGATTTTGTTTCTGTCTTTATTTGCCTCTGAAGGTCCAGGTCTGATTCCATCACTACACCCAGACATTTAATCTTATTGGTGGTTTCCAGCTGAATTAAATTAAGCTGTCCAATGAATTTTGAACACTCTTCGCTTGGTCCAAACAAATATTATTTCAGTTTTGTATTGATTCAGCTGAAGATCTATCAAAATCATTCCCTGATTGATTTCTTCTATGCTTTTACACAGAGCTCAAATGGGTCACGTAAGTTGGAGTGAGACAGAAAGTCAGCCTGATGTGTTTTCCTGAGATTTCTTAGCAGAAGGCCAACATAAAACCTATAATCAAATCGTGCAAAAGACATGTCCACACAATCAGTGGTTGAACAACATAAGCGGATGAAAGGCAGAGATGAAAGGAAACAAGAGTAGTTTGATTTGACACTTTAGGTTTTTGCTTTGTGTAAGCCAACAATTCCTATTTAACTCAGCCGCATATATAAACCATTACATAATAATAACCCATTGCTGATACATCAAATACAGGGAAATGAGAGTAAAGTAAAATCTTTTAACCGAGGAGCCTAAATAGCATCTAACCTACATTTGTGCCCCTACCCTTATTATTCCTTTTATATGTAATCAAATGTCAAATTATTGGTCTAATTTGTGTGTCAAGCTAAAGAGGTGTGGGAGGAGTGTCCACTCCAATTCTGATATGGATTCACACTTCAGCATCTTCTCCCCTGCTTCATGTCCTCTTGATCAAACAACAGAACATGTTGAGAATGAAGCAATCTCACTATCTACTGACACTCTTCATCTCTCCCCCTTTGATCAAGCATCACAGCCCTCTGCCTCTCCATGATCTCAAACCTTTGCATTCTTAGCTGGCACCTTGTACTTTAAGTCCATCTGCCCTTCAACAAACTACCACTTCAAACTGATTTTACAAGAGCTGCATTCAAATGAGGCAGAAGCTCACTGATTAGATCAGACAATTGTAGAAAGTTTGGCTTTTCTGTTTTAAAGGCTACTGAGGTTGTTTCCTGTAAAATTTCAGTTGTGTTGCTTCTTTTAGGTTATTTCCTATATCCAACATAAAAAAAGTCCAGATAAGACTCAGACTGAAATGGTGCTGATAAGGACTTTAAATTCCCCTGACCAAAAATGCCTGTGATCAGATCAGATGCTTTTAGGTTCCAACTGAGAGGACTGATTGCAGTAGTGCTACCATTCGTCTGGAGCCGTGATTAGCTTGATTTACTTCTTTGATTTCAATTTCTGGTGTGGCCTGTAATTTCTCTGGCAAACAGCTCTAACCTGAAGAAAGAGTAGCTTGGTCCGATGTTGTAGAGAGCAGGGCTCAGCTCCATCTCAGGGTAATGCTGCAAGTCGCTCTTGATGGAGCCCAGGGCCATAGCAACTGTTACAAAGAGAACAGGAAGCAGAATCTGGGCGATCAGACCCTTCCAGTCTCTCCGGCTGTGATGGAACCTCTTTATCAACATGGCTGTTAGCTGCTGCCATGCCAGGGCCATGCCTGACAGAGTGGATGAACTGGTAAGCTCTGAAACACAGAGGACATCAACAAAGTATTTAAATTAGTTAAGCATTTTGCTTCAGTATATTTTGATTAGGTAGGAGAAAATAATTTCAGAATAATAATTATTACCCTATTAAAAGAATATTGCAGTGTCTAAAATGATTAACCTGTTATGACATAGAACACCATAAATGTGTGTATTTAAAGTGGTTAGCATTTTTAAAAACAAATAATTAGGTGAAAACATTGAAGTTAATCAAATAACATCCCTTCATCCTGTCATCTCCTTGACAAATCCCCCTGCGTTATCTAACCTCAGTATAAATACAGCTGTTAGGATTCTTTATGGTAAAATGTTTACTACCCATTATATTATTATGAACAAATGGTTAAAAGAGAGACATTGTTTAAAGAAACCTAAAGATAATAGAAACACCAAAGAAGAAAGAAGTCCTTATTGTATGCTGAGAGCTAAATGAAACATTTAGGCCTATTTGCAAAATACTACATGCAGCACAGAACTAAAAACTGAAAATTACTCTAAGGTGCTAACATGCTAACTGCATCTTCGTCCTATAGGGATGCAAGGATCAGTCCTGTGAGACAGCCTCTTAGTGTGGAAGGATTTATATCAAACCATATAAATGTGTAAGAATGGCCTAATCCAAACAAAAGTCAACACAGAAACGGGAAAGAAAATCTGTTCATTGATTTTCTCTGTTCATTCTTAAAGAAATTGAACCATTTCAGAAAGAGGAATATTTCAGTTTCTTGACAGAAAATCCATTAAACTAATTTCACTGCAGTGAAAAGTTATTCTACAAAATTTTATCTCAGCACGTTTATTACAAACTAGAAAAGTCGAAATCTAAATAAGACAATTTTTCTTAAAATGAGTGCATTTTGACTTGAATAGAGGAGGTAAGTGAAACACTTTGCCAATGGAACAAGAAAACATACATTTAAAATAAGAAAAAAAATTACATTGTCTTAATTCTAGTGCACAATATCTAATTATCTTATTTTAAGAGTGAAAAAACTTCAGTCTACATTGCATTAGCAAATCATCTTATTTTCCCTTTCAAATTGAGGGTAAATAAGCCTAATTTAAGAAATGTTGACTTATTTCTAGATCGTTTTTGCGGTGCAAATGCGCTCCACATGTTTTTAGATTTTAAAGTTTTAAATAGATTCAAGATGTTCCCTTTTTCTAGCCCTCACAATTAGGCACTACAATATGTTAGTTTTATGATATGATTCTGCAATAAAATACAGTGAAATAATGTGGGATGACAATTTCTGATCAGATGAAAGGAATGTAAATATTTTTAAATGCACTTTAGGTGATAAATAGAAAGCTAAAATACCATAGTTGGAACACAGCAAGAGAAAATAAGCAATAGTTAAATTGAGCAATGAAAAAAGAAATACAACTCACTGATCTTGTCACCAAGGTTGCAGCTGCTGTCGTTGGAGTCTGATGGGATGCTGTCGATAGAAGAAGTGTCAGAAACCGTCTCAGAGATAGAGAGGGGCTGGTACTCGCCTTCGGGACCTCCGTTAGTTAGCTGGAGGAACACCTGCATAGATCCAAATAAACAAAAAAAGTTGTAGTCATTCATGGTTTCATACTTTGTTTTAATATGCGCCCATGTAACAGCTAACCTCTTCCAGTGTGGTGTCAGACACGCCATAGCCTCCAAGCTGAAGATTGTCCAGGTTTGCATCAAGTGCTGTCAGGAGGGAGCGATATGAAGAGGCGTTGGAAGAAGTGAAGGGGGGCAGAGAGTAGACCACATCACCCCGCTGGGTTTCTTTTAGTCTTGCTTCAGGAAGATGAGCTTGGATGAAGGCCTTCAGGTCAGCACCGTCAACGCGCTCGGCCTCTGGGCTTTGGATCTTTATCAAACAGACAGACAGACGAACACAATCATTTTTTTTTTTTTGTCATTTCCTTAAAAAAAAAGTTTAAAAGTGACACAATGCTCTAAGATGGGGAAACATTTCTCTGCTTATTACAGTAGAACTATAAACCTAACCCAAAGTTTGCCACATCTCTCAGTGTAAGCTATTCATGTTTTTATTTTAAAGTGATATATTAGTGTTCAATGCTCTTTTAATGAAAAGTTAATGGCATCTTCATACCAACAAAATATCCAACTCATCACAAGTAATGAGCTAGGATTTATTTCCACATGAGCAGTAAAGCTCCCCCATTGTACATGACTATGAAATGTTCTAATTTATGTTGAAAAAGAAAAATCCCTGCTTGTTATGATGTACCACAGATATAAAGTTACCTAGTTCTTTTTTTGCACTGAAATTCCTGCATGCCTGTGAGGGTGATTACCTTCTTGGTGAGGGTGAGCTTGTAGCCTTGACCCAGCTTGTCTTTCAAGTAGAAGGGTGATCCGCAGCATTTCAATCCACCTCTCTCCAGGAAGGCGATTCGGTCACTTACCACTTCAGCCTCGTCCAGGTGGTGGGTGGACATAATAATGGTCCGGTCTAAAAGGACACACATATATGAGAAGCTGCACCGTTGACTCAGGGATTATTAAACCAATAACTATGGCCTGAACAGAGTCATCACAAGGGGAAAGAAACAAGAAATATCTTCATACAAACTGTCCCAAAAACCGGTTTATGAGTGTTTCTTTCTGAAATAGACTAGAAACTCTCAGTGCAATAACATCTGAAAAAGCCAATTTTTGAACCTTTAATTACTGTAGGGGTCAAAACTTTACATACATCCTTCTGGGTAATACTGCAAAAAACCACATTGTCATTACAGCAGCTAGTTTAAGACTAAAAGAACTCAGAATGTTTGCAGATTAGATGGTATTTATTTTTATAACATACCCAATGGAATCCCTTGTTTCTGCTTCGAATCTAACTCAAAATATAGCCGTGAAATATAGAGTAAGCATTTTAACTTATCTTTTGACTCATCACACAGTACGCCTAGAGTAAGTTCAGGGTTCAGTTTTGCACATTAAAGGCAATATCATGAAAAATTCAAAAAAGATGAAAATAACTAATAGTCAACTATGAAGAAAAAAATACATAACTAAAAGATACATAAACAAGGAACAAACAAGTTTGCCTGGAAAGGATGTTAGGTCATTTGTTGCCTTTAAAACAAGCAACTGATAAATAATTTGGACACTAAAACAAACATGCAGCAATTTGAACTCATTCTGAAGAAATAAAGTCTGCTTCACAGCTCTAATAGGCAGAGTTGAAGATTGAATCTTTGAGTTTATTGTTCTCTGGAAACTCAAACCACTGACATTAAAGTAATTTGTTGACACATTTTCAGTAAAGGGACCCTTTTGAGATGCATCGTGTTAGAAATGTTGTGATTTGGACACTATGAGTTGCCTATGACTCAATACAAACTGCTCTTACCTAACCTCTTATTTCTATATGAAATACAAAAAGGCTGAAAGCTTAAACAGTAAAATAACAAAAATCTATGGATGATCGTAAAATAGGTCCACTGACATTTTCAGGATTTTTCTTGTTGTTTGACCACATTGCTGTGATTTTAATTTTGATATTAAATGAATCAGCAAAAAACGAAGTAAACTTAGCAAATAATCTCAGTATAACTTTCTTACTTACATTGGCAGACCATGCAAGAAACTTTGCAAATTGATATTTTCCAGCCCATGCATGGTACTTAAGAGCTTTTAAAAAGGTAGGTGATCAAACTTTTACTGCAATTCACAGCATATAGTGACCTCATAATAGATATTGATCACTATAATCTTAGTTTCTTTAATTAAAAGTCATAATATATTTTCTCTAATAATGACTGAGTGGATAAGATAATAATAATAGTTTGTATTAAAGGAGCTAAACAGATATGTAATGCCACAGTTTCATTAGTTAATTACAATTTGTCTGAGAATATTACATTTATTAGGGATTAGACCAAAATGTGTAAATCAAGTGTTCAATGCAGTTGCACTCATTTGCAGTGTTAATAGCTGTAAATGGTAATTTAGCAATACTTACTTAAACCAAGTTAAATTCTGTTTACTAAGTCATTATATGGTATGTGAGACTCACTCTTCTTATGCTGAATAATGATGTCCCATATGCTGCGTCTGGAGCAGGGATCCACTCCTGTTGTAGGCTCATCCAGAACCACCAAGCGAGAGCCACCGATGAAGGCGATGGAGATTGAGAGCTTGCGCCTCATGCCACCTGACAGGGTGTCTGCCCGCTTGTGTCGGTGAGCGTACATGTCTGACTCCCCGAGGATGCTAGAAGATGAGTCAATAGAGACATTTAACGTAGGGCTCATGTGAACATTTTTCACTCTGTTAAGACTCAATGTTAGATTGCTTAATTTGCCATCAGAAGTTTCTGGAATTGCGAGAGCTTTTTACCTTAAGGCGAAAGCTTGATTCTGCTTCTCTAATAAAATGGAAACCCCCCAGAAGGGGTCTCATGATGCAACATAGCTTAGGATAAGACAGAATAAAAAATGACCCCCACCCCTCACTTAAACTGGTTCAAGACGATGCAGAAAGGACTAAAATAGATTATATCACATGCTCTAGTAAAAATATTCCTCCAAATTGTTCCATCTAATGCTCTGTGGAAAAATTTATTATTGAACTCATGAAAAGCTGACATTAAGCTCATTTCAATGGTCTTACTTAGACCTAATTTTACAGAAGCCTTAACATTCTAACCAATCAGAGTGGTTATTGCCCTAAACTCAAACAGAATGTTAATTTAAAACTCTCATATTTTACACAACCAGATCTTTTTTTGAGCTACCGTTTCCCCTATGGCTCTCATAAAATCGAGACTTTTAAATTGCGCATTATGTTTGAATAATTTGGACATATTATGAACATCAACCCCCCGTGCTGATTGATGTGTCACTTACGTGCGGACTTGTTCTCGTAGCTCTCTTTGTGACCAGTGTGGAGCCTTGATCTGGCCGTACAGCAGCAGGTGTTCCTTAACAGTCATGTAGTCAAAGAGGACATCATATTGCATGCAGACCCCCAGCTCTCTGCGAACTTTCTCCATGTTTCTCTGCATGTCTTTGCCATACACCTCAATAGAGCCCGATGTTGGGGGATATAGGCCAGTCAGAAGGGACCTGTATACAGAGCAGTTTTTGACATTTAGTACACAGTTTGAAAATACAGACACAAAAGGCTATGAACCCCATTAGCATTCCTCTTTATTTTTCATTTTTCTCTTTGATAATTACTTATTGTTCCCACAGTTATTATGAGGCAGAAAAAGTAATAATTCTTAGTATTTTTCAGAGTTATTTAATCTTGTAATGCTGATAAAGTCATTACATGTCCCCCTGGATAAGAGCATCAGCAGAATGAAAAAAATAATTGATAAAGACCCATTGGCTTAATTTCTACTGCTGTGCATTTGCAGTGCCAGATTTGAACAGAACAATCTCTCTGTCTGCACTGAACCACTAAAATGATTAAAGGGATGCACTAATCGAATCTTGAAAGAGCCTGCATTGGTTATAACGGGTCAGGACACACATACAAGCTGACAAAACAAAAAGCAACAAAAATGGATCAACCGTACATGGTAGTTGTCTTGCCAGCACCGTTGTGACCAAGCAGTGAGGTGACATGGCCCTCATGGAAGTTGACATTAAGGTTTTGAATAGCTGCCTGGTCATCATACAACTTGGTGAGACCATGAAGTGAAACTCCCACTGGAAGCTCAGAGAAGTCCTCCCCAGACTGGTAAGAAAGGCTGTTTTTGCCTGATAGGAACATAAAAGTGAATCAAATAGCAATAAAAAAATAGTAATTAAACTTAATTAAAATGAATAGAAGTATGAATAAAATTGATCTTAGGGGATAGAAAAAGCATTCTTGATAAATTTACCTTTTCCTTTACCATCTGCAAATACAGGCTGGTTGTCCTGCATGATGTTGGAGAATAGGAGTCCTTTGCCTGTATTGGTGTTGGTCTGCAAGCTACTGCACAGGTTGGTCCAAAAGGAGAGCTGGAAGGGGAAATACCATGGAGCTGGGATGCCATATTTTCCTGATGGATTATAAACAAAACAAAATGGAAATGTCTTTAAAAAAAACACATATATACAAAAACAGTGTTGTCAGAAGGGACCCGCATACAGTGTGAACAAACTTCACTAGCCCTCCTTAAGAAGAAACGGTAAGATAATAAAATTATGCTATATTATAAAGGTCAATTTGGCTCCTAATAGAGAACATGTTTGTTTACTTGAGTGAACACTCGTTTTATGATGCTAGCTATCACTATCTAAGTTAACCAATCACACAAATTAAAGAACTGGTGAAGAATCTTGTAATTGTTAACTTTTCAAACTTTAATAAAGGACGCACTTAAGAGCACAACAGTATAGATTAAAGATATATAGAAATTAAATATATATATATATATATATATATATGTATATATATATATATATATATATATATATATATATATATATATATATATATATATATATATATATATATATATATATATATATATATATATATATATATATATATATATATATATATATATATATATATATATATATATATATATATATGGTCCGTTTATGACCCAGAAATGGGTCATAAAATTGTTTTTAATCCAGCAGTCTTTATGGATAGAGAAATATTATAAAGAAATGTATCAGGAAGAAGCACAAGCTTAATAAAATCAATGATCAGTTCACCTGGGAAGACCATTCTGATGTACGCTCCGATGAGGAAGTACAGAATAGAGTCAATAAGCAGGAGCCAGCACAGCCAGCCAAATGTTGCTGTGTCTCCAGCTATGGGAGAGCTGTAAGAGTTGCTCCACTGAATTCCTGAAGGAGAAAAGAAAAGTGAATGCTTGATTCAGCTGGCTTAGATGTCAGAAATATCCTGATGGTATTCAGATATTCACATGCTCTTACCTTCTCCTTGGGCCTCATAGCGGGAAATGTATTGACTGGCGTAGCTGAAACAGGTCGGCGAAAACAAACTCTGTAAAAATATTTGAGGCATTTTAACAGGGGGGTTAGAAGCAAAACATGATTTTGTCAAAGAATATTTTACTGTGAAAAAAGAGCATACATGTTTGTATCTTTTAGAATAGAATACAAAGATGCTTCTCGAGGGAAAATGGGCTTTAGATCTTAATAGTCAAGAAGTCCGACCTCTAACTAACACTCATCACAGCAGGGAGTTAATTAAAATTAAACTGCCCAGAGACTCAAAAAAATGCACAAAAAAACAAGCTATCTCTCAATGAGCTGGAAAATAAATAATGATGCGAGCTACAAAAAAACAACTTTTTTTAAGTCATCATAACTATACCATAACTGTCTTTTGGTGAGAATAATCAAAACTATAGCTTTTTCCCCCTACATATCTCTAAGGAACTATATCCTAGGGCTTAATTATTACACAGTTTAAAATGCTAGTTTTATTTATATTAGAATAAAAGCCCATTCATAGAATGCTCACCAAAGCGCTCTTCTGGGAAAAGTTTAGATTAGTCTCCATGGACATGACTACGATGAAAGGGAAGAAGCTGAGGATGTAGATAAGGCTTCCGCTTAGGCCAGCGATGTAGGTCTTGTCGAAGAAGGAGCTGATCAGGTAGCAGAAGGAAAGGATGCTCAGCCCAAAGTCACAGATGTAGAGGAAGATGAGGAAGCCGTCGCTTTTGGGCAGGATGTTTCCACACTTCAGCACCACTGTTAGGATGATGATGGTCACAAGCAGGAAGGAGGCGCACTCCAGGAACCAGGCAAAGAAATGGCTGATTGGATTCACACCCATCATTTTCATGTACTACAGTGGGAAGGGAAACATTGAGAAAACATTGGGTTACACTGATGATCAGAAAAGGAATTCAACACTTGTAGATGTTTATAAACCCCAAATCTTTATTTTTTTCCACATTAGGTCACATTACAGTTGTCTACTTAAATGTATATTGAAATACATATTTAAAAAAATGCGACAAAATTTTGTGAGATTATTTCATTGGACATAGCGCTACAGCCTCCTCTCACTATAGTTAAAGCTGCAAATCATCTGGGGTATGTTTCTTTTACAATAACACGTTAAAGGTATACTATGCAACCGGTGTTGATTTTCCAGCGAGGCTCCCCCCAGAGGGCGAAAGTAAAAGTGCACTGTCGTAAATATGCTCAGCTGTTCTCCTGGTTTCTCCGTCAAGCCAGGCGCGGTTGTTTTGAGCTTAGCAGACAGGCGAACGCAACGAATCACCATGTCTACTGCGGTAAGTGACTATTTTGTTGTTTTGTTTTCATACATTATTTGTTATGCATGTGTCTAAATAACAAAGATTGTAGTTAGCCAAATTCTCGCCATAAAGCAAGACTGACTCTCGCGATGCACGAGACTTCTGAGCCTGTGGGTGCGGGCCGAGGGCTCCTGCAATTGCAAGTGCGGTATTTCCCCTACAGACCACCAGGGCGGCCGAGAAAACCTTTGTTCGACCTGAAATGACTAATTTAATCATCCAAAACGTTATGGAACACATGAATTAACTGAAAAATGTTGCATAGTATGCCTTTAAGAGGTTTCAGTTGCTCAAACTCATACAGATTGGATCAGCTCTTGTACATCAATTATCCAGTTTAGCCACAGATTTTTAAATCTGAGATTTGACTGGTTCATGCTTTATACCCATTATTTTGTGCCTCTGGTTTTATTTTAGGGTGAATCTCCTGCTGAAAGCTTTATCTCTTGGTTAAATAAATAAAGAACACGGTTTCTAGTTTTGAGTTTGTAAAACATTTAAAAACATTCTGCTGCACAGTTCTGACCTCTGTGTTCCTTTTTCAAATTATAATACTTAACACACAGGATTTTTGGTTCGAACATGATATAATCTTTAAAAAATGTATGTGTAAATGCTTTACAACAATGACTTGATTTTTCAGAGGTAGGTATATTTCTAACCAACATTTTTACTTATTTGCAAAAATAATATTTGAAATCCAGCAGGTCAAAATACAGTAACGTCAATTTTCAGAAAAAATAAAATACCTCATGCAGCCTCAGCTCTCTCTCCTGAACCAGCTTTTTCACAAAGTCAGCCACAAACAACACCCATGGTATCATCAGCAATAAAGGGAAGACAAAAGAGATGGCCTCCAGATACCTGAGAAATACAGAGATGCCAGCTGTCAATCAAGATTCTCTCCAAACCCAGCATCCGAACAGATGGAAAGCCCTATCATTCAGTCACTAGCCTGACAGATTGGAAAGAACATGGAAATGCTGATAACTGCATTGTCATTCTCATCTTACTGCTGTGTACAAAAATAGAATAATCTGTATTTTGGCTTTGTGTTAACAACTCAAGCTAGCAACCTGAAAAAATATAGATCAGTGTATGCAGTTTGCCATTTGCTTAAATATTGTACAGATCCTTTCTTAAAAGGTGTGCTGTTTAGGTAATACATCTAAATAAAAGAGAAGGAAAGGAAGGCTTGTAGACTCTTGTAGCCAGTCAAAATGCAGACAGCCAGAGAGAGAGAAGCTCCCCTGGTGCTTTTCAGATGAGATACGAGCAAAGTTAAAAGCTCCAGTCGAGGGCAAGCACACATTTAGGCATTAAGCTTAACAATGATTTATTGAAAACCATGTTGCACGGCGGTGGATAAGTTAATGTCAAGCCCATGTTGGATATGTTTGGCAGAGAGAGAAAAGTGGTGTTCCTTAAGGATTTTTTTTATAGTTCTGTTTGAGTCCCTAGAGTATTCAAAATATAGAAGGTCTTCAAAAATGAATGCAGAATTACAGTGAATGTCAATGCACATGATGCAGAGCTAATTGGACGATGACAGGTTCTTGTGAATGACTACTTACTGTTATTCCCAAATGGCAAATGAATAATGGAATAGCATACATTATTCCACATCAGTGCTTGTTCCCCCTCAGAGAGAGTCTGTATCCTTACATGCTACCTTGCTTGCAGTTATCTACTGTCTGCATATGCATATCCTTGAAAGCAGAAAACTTACTCGTCGCGCAAATAGCATGGATAGGGGAAGGACTGCAGCTGCACTGCTGGCTCTGTGACTTTCTGCCCAGCCTGGGTTTCAATGATTGCACGGTCGATGTTCTCCTGCAGGTAGACGAACCCTCGGTTGTAGCGCATGGTATGGCTGGCCGAGATGTGGTTGTCCCTCACAAAGTAGGGGTTTCGCACCCTGTCTGTACGCATTACATTGTCCATGTGCATTCTGATGGTGTAGCTGACTTTAGGAGGCAGTTGGGATGAAGTTGCATCTTCAGTCTTAAAGATGACACCTTAAGAAAAAATAGCACATGTATGCATTCATAACTTTGTTGTTTGTTATAAACCAAAGCCTTTTTATGTTAAGCCTGCTAGTTTTGGTGCATTAATAACAGCTTTAAGAAGAAAAATCCACCAAATAATCCACAAAAAGTGACACATCACACAGCATGACTCTGTTCTAAAATGTAATCAGTAATTCTTCAATTATTCAGTGCAATAACAGCATCCCTTTGATATTTTTTTATTTCATTAATCTCAATGGAGTAAGATAAGTCACATTAAACCCTGTTGTCCGAAAACCCCAACTCCATAAACATGGATGACCTGATATTTACTCACTTGCATAGAGCTCACGGTTTTTGGCGAGCTCTTGCGCCACAGTGTTGAGCTCTTCAGCGGAGTCAAAACCACGATAACGGTCAAATTTGATGCAAGAGGAGAGCTTCACCATCAGGTTTGACAAGGTGCTGATTTGATCAAGTATTTCCTTGTTCTTGTGAAGCATCTCTGTAATGTTAGCTGTGAAAAAAAAAATTGAAATTAAAATGGTGCAGAAGCATATGACCAAACGGGATAGATACTTAAAATTTAAGCTTCCCTTTAGTATTGTAGGGAAATGTTGAAAAAAATAGGTCAGAAGGACAGAAGGACTAAGAAGATAATTTCTAAAGAACTGCTCAGTTATATCAGCCCTTTATCTAGGCTTGTTTGTAAAAAGAGAGAAAGATTCCAAAATATAAGAAGAAGGCTAAAAAATGCTACATAAATACATATGTTTTTTTTTTTTTGTAATGTAATATTCTGTTTTCAATTAAATCCTTGTCAAAGGTCATGCATGTATATACACGAATAAATATAATGATAAATGAAGTCTGCAGAGATATTTTAATTTTGAAATATTAACCTGATATAATCAGATAGGGCAAAACGGAGTTTAACAAAACTGCACACTACAAAACTTAAGGTGGTCTATCTCTTTTCATTTTGGGGCTATAAACATAAAACAGTTTCCAAAACCTTTAGCCTTTACAACTGCAATAAAGAAACACAAAAAGGAAGAAAAAACACTTCTGTGCAGATTCTAAAAGCCTTTCCTGCTTGGGCTAGAAGGCCTTTCTTTTCGCTTTGAGCTTATTGTAAACCAGAAACTATCACTCTACGTTTGATTTGATTTGGGAACAAATCTTCACTGCATCATCAACTCAAAAAACACAAGTCCCTTTACTTTATATTAGTGTCCTTTATTATGTGTGAGTTCACATTTAAAAGATGAGATGTGTTTTCAGTGGTGCAATTGTCTGAATCTCATTTCACAAATTCTTGGCTTTTCAGTTCGGGTTTGATCCATTTTACCAAAGTTAATTAGAAGAGTGAGGAAATACGCATACCGTAACATTGGATGTTATTCATTAAAGCTTCATTATCTCATATAATGCAAATATTACCAAATGATTATTGAATCTAACTAGCGTTCAGGTTTATGTGCTAGAAGATGGGAAATGTGGAAGAATATTAAGTGTGGAAAATGTTTATATGTAAATGTTGAAACTGATTATTTTTTTTTTGCATTTCACCATTGCTTTTAATCTAACAATGCCCTACTCTATTCTTTCAAATCATAACCTGGAATTAGATTCTTTATGCCCATAATCCCAATCAGTTCAAAAACTTGAATATCAAAGGTAGACAAAGGAAAAAATTAACATAAGCTGTAAATCCCCCTTTTAGCACCTAAAAGGTAAAACAATTTTTATCTTCCAGTAGTGTGGATATTTTATACGAGTTATAAGTGAGAGAAAAATCTAAGAGTAAGGCTGGTATCTGCAGCTACCAAAGTGAGACCCACAAATGCACACTTACAGAAGCTGCTGAGCGTCTCCTTTATGCTGTCGACATTTATGTCTGTCTGCATCTCAATGAAATTCTTCACAAAGGAGTTGCTGAGGGAATTCTGGCAGAAAGGTGGAGGGAGTGAGAGAAAGAGAGAGAGATTGAAACTATCAACATCATCAAGATTCAGCTGCAGGAATCCATCGAAGACCACTGCAAGGTTTATCTCAAGATTTTCAAACGACAGAGAGTAGGCTGGCATAATCAGATATAAAAAAGTAGCTCTGAGATTTCATACCTGCAGCATTGGCAAAGTGGAGCTGAGTAATTCGGCTGACTTTATGATGTAATTTGAGGATTCGATCCAGTCCTCCGAGGATTTTTTAAGATTTGCAAACTCGTGCAAGGTCGCATTGGCCTGAGCAAAGTTAACACAAGGACAGCAAAGAGTCAAAAAGTTGTATATCAGCAGAAATTTCCAACTTATTGTGTGTATGTGAGTTTGTGTGTATGTGTGATTGCAGGCTACCAAAAAAAAATCAGATAGGCCTAAAATAGAATCGTGGTTACAAGTAATGCGTACAAATGTCTACACATAGGGAACCTTACAAGTTTTTTTCTTTCACTGCATACCAATGCTTATGCTAGATTTGAATGATTTGGCATCCAAATACTCTTAAAACATCAAAAGACCACTTCGATCTTTGAGTCAAACGCTCTTAGTACAACAGATGACCAAATTAGAGTGCAGAGGGGATCTTGCTTTCCAGTGGCAGCCCTTAGTCTCTAAGGAAAAGTGCTCCTGGATATTAGTACTGCAGAGGATTTACAGTCCTATAAATTCCCCTGAAGACTATTTTTTTTCTGTCTGGCTTTTATCTTGAGTTCAGTGTGAGTTCCATCAGATCTGTTTCTTAAGTTTTATTTTTGTTTTACTTTTGTTGGTTTTATGGGTATCTTCTGTTTTTAATTTTTTTTTTATTTTACCCTTTTGCAAAGCAATTTGGTCACATTCATATAGAACATTAGGACAAAGAATCTCCCATGACTCAGATAATCTACAAATATGCAAAGGTGAAGAGGTTAATTCCTTGAAGAAAGTGTACCTAAATAATAAAACGTGTAACTTAGTAAAACATGGCATTGCATGCTAGTGAGTCAGACATGCCTACAAAGAGAGGTTGTCCATTCTTTACAGCTTAATGGTAAATCATCAGTCCTGTTGGTATCATTAAGTAGGTACACCATGTGTATTTAAAAAAAGCCATTTCTGTGTACCTTTTTCATTATGTCCCTGGTGGCTGGTGTGTCGGGTGTGAAAAGGATCTGGCCCATCAGCATGGGTTTCAGGAAGGCCCAGGCGATGGCTCCTCCTGTGGTGTTGACCATGTCCAGGTACATGTTCATGCAAAAGGGAGCTGAGCAGAGGAACAATAGAATGTATTAGGTAGGGAAAATAAGGTAAGGGAAAATAGGAAAATATACAAATTTAAAAATTGTGGAAAACTGAAATGGAAAAAACTACCTGCGATATGATATTGCCTCTACTTTGAAAAAGATATAGGTGCATTAATAACTTTTATATCCCTTCACTAGACTTGACAGTTATATAGTATACACCATCACAACTATAGTGTATAGTATACACCATAATTGGGATTTTAATCTGCCCAGAAAATCAAATATGTATTTTTTGCCTTCTAGATAATTTCTTTAGATAATATATGAACATTAAATGTGTGTTACTCTATATTGGTGGACTGTTTATGGTCTGATCAAATAACAAGGTTTGAAATTTACAATTTACTTGTAGCATATCGGAAATCTTCCTTTTTCCTTATAAAGGAAAGTATTCAACATTTCAGGATTAAGGTAACATGGGAGAAGTTGCTTGGCCTCAATTAGCTTTGATAGTCGAGCTCAATAGATAGAGGATTATTTGTTCCATTAAGATTTTGAAGATAAGACCTTTAAGCAGGTATTAAACATACTTTTTTCCCCCCAGCAAATTCAAATGTCTGTAGTGAAAACTATTTTTATCAGTGCGATGTAATCTTCTCATCTTAAATGCTCCTTTTTTATTACCTTAAGCGAAAAACTAATTCCAATTAAAATAAACATGGGCTTAATATCATGTGTAAATAATCAATATAATCTGTATCACTTAGACAGTTGAGGTATTAAAATAAATAAAACTTTCAAAACTATATTTTAGTATATTAGATGATTTACTTAGGTACAGGTACTATAGTTCAGCCTTGGGTAGAATTGAACCCTCATGCTTTGTTCCTCCTAGCTTTAGCGAGGCAAATGAAAACACACGTCTCATCGCAAATAATTTCAGAAAGTGATCCAGCTTGTAAAAACTGTATTGCACTTCAAACATACAGGCATCCTTTGGGATCTTGAACCTCTCAATCATCTCAGCCTTCTTTTGGTTGTCAGGGAAAGAGGGTCCTGTTTCAGACAGCTCAGGCAATTTGGAGATTCCAAACAGAGCGATGATGCCGTTACTGCAGAGAGCGCGGGAAAGGGTCACAAACGTAGCTTTAGTGGACATGCTGCGTCTCATTCCTCTTCCCATCTGTGTATAGAAAAAAAATACAATAAGACAACAAGTTATGGATGACATGTAGAAAAGTAAAAATCTTCAGCCAAGAACATGTCGACAATAAATCTAAATATATTTAAATCCCTGAAAGCTTTCATAGAATACTCTGCAGGTCTTTATTTTTGCTACACTATTTGCTGATTACATTTTAACACTAAAATGTTTAAAGAGAAAATAATAAGCCATTTTAATGAACACGCACTTCTGTAAATTCACTGCTGGATTCCAGATTTAAATCTTTGACGGAGAGCAGGTAGCTTTCCAACTGCCTGACTGCAGGAGCAATCTTGGTCATCATTTCGGTTGCAACCTTTGCTACCTGAGCCATGACACCAACCAGGCCCTGGAGTTCCTCAGAAAACACCGCCTGCAAGAAGAAGAAGAAAAAACTCAGACACTCTTTTACAGCTTTTAATATTAAATGACGTATAAATTAACATATTCAGATTTATTACAGCACTGAATGCATTAACCATATATTTAACTTTAGAAAATAAACACAACTTAATGCTTAGGTTTCTGTAGTTTTGTCAACTTTTAGTTTTGGCCTTAGCATATTGATATCAAACAGAGTAGATGTTACTCATTAAAATTAAAAAGGTGATATAAGTAGTAATTAATAAGTAAAAGTACAAATATAAGTTGTCATTGAGAGTCATAAAGGATTTAGCATGGAGACATTGAGCAGTAATAACATGTTCTTAGCATAATATTAACATTATTAATTATTACAAAACAGTAAAAGAACAGTATTATTCTATTTATTTCTAGAGGATAAAAGCATGTTTTTATAATAAATCAAAATATATAAAAAAATATTCCATGTGTAAAAAAAAGAGGAGATTTAAAGAACTCTGTTGCAGCATATGAAAGTAAGCATAGTTGTAAACTGTTTTGATGAGAGAAAAGACAAATGTTGTCTCTGAAATCTACCTTGTAAACAAGCTTCTTTGAGTTTACATGTTCAGCCGTCAGCAGTGAAAACTTGTACCAGTCTTTAGCAGTCATAGTGCAGAAGGTCGCCAGAACGGCCGCCTCTGATGTGTTAACTGATTCAGAGGGGTGACAGTAACGCAGGTTCACCAGCCAAGAAAGGGTCTGTTCCAAAAGACAATATGAGACATAAGGAAATAGGCCATAAAGCAAAGGCATCATTAAAATATGACATATATCAGAAAGGGTGAAAGCAAGGGAAATGGTTAGCTAATAATTGCTTAATATCCTCACAAAACATTGATAGTCTTTGATGAACATTAACATGGTTAAAGAGAAAATAATGACACTTTAAAGCATTGTGGGTTTGAATTCTCTTTAGTTTTGTCATGAATAAATCACATAATTGATTTTGATTTTAAAAAAGGAAACAGCATAGGTGAAGAAAAGTGACAACCTTCAACTTTTGGCAATCCTATAAATGCTTGAAGACACAATAAATGAGTGAAGGTGAAAAAGTTCCAAAAGTCATTGTGTTTACAAATGGAGCAATATGCATTTGATCAGAACCAAAAGTCTGCTTAATCTTCTATAAAGATAAATAAACTAGTTATATGGCTCAAATGTTCATATAAAAGGCACCAAAATTTAGCATTAAATTATTAAAGTAAATCTTTAAAGGGAGGATATGTAAGTCGTGTCTAACCTCTGTGTTGTTTGGTAGAGGGGTTTCCATCAGGACAAGAAGTGCTTCAGGATCCACATTCATGTGTTCATGGACGGCCTGAATGAAAGCTTCCTTATTCCTCAGCATCTCCCCGAATGTAACCACTACTGACAGAGCACACAGGATATGAATCAGCTGTACAAACTTTTGTTCAATTCTGACCAATTAATAATTGAAAGTAAAACCTTTTGGCACAAAGAACATTTATATTTAGTTGCTAAAAAGACCCAGTTATACAATATCATAGAAAGTGGGAGACTGTTTTGCCATCAGCAGTGGGTAACATGCCTTTGGCCCAGTTTGGGCCCTTAAATACCAACTGATCATTGTTTAAATATCACCGGCTACAGAAATGTTCCTACTGATCATGTTCAGGGTTTTTGTGACAACATGGCTATTCCAGCAGCTTAATGCACCATTTCAAAAAGCTAAAATGCATCGGTAAAATATTACAATGGCTTCTTGCAGCCTGATCTCCACCCAACAGTGCACCTTTGGAAAGTACTGGGTCATTTGCATCATGGTTATGTAACCGTTTACTGCTACCATGGCAATATGGAATAACATATTTTAAGATTCTTTTTCCAAAACATAGAGAATCTAATTAACAAAGAATAAAGACAGTTCTGAAAGAAACAAGAGACCCAACATGATGAACCAGAGAATGTGGCCAGTTGTTGCATATTCTAATTAAAAAGACACGGTGACGTTTAAGCCTCTGCATTGGAATGCATACCATCTAATATTGGATTACCAATACAACCAATCTAATGAAATTTAAAACAATTGATGAAGGTAAAATAAGAACAAACACAACTCAAACAAAACTTTATTCTAATGTTGAACTGATATTCAACATAGAAACACGTAAATGCAGTAAAGGCAGAATGATAGATGAGTGAACAGACTCACCTGGAGATGAAACATTGAGCACACTCAGGCCACTGATGTTTAAGCCAAGTGCTTCAGTCAACACAGTTGACCTGAAAATATGTACACACATGCATTAAATATACTCAGTAACAAAAACAACAGACATTTTGTTTATTTAAACAGTATAAGAAAATGTATTCATTTCATTGAATAAAAACCAGTTAAACAATCTTAGAAAACTACATCAATTATATCCATAAAACATTTCTAGGTGATTAAGTCATGCATCTTTTGATTATTTGCAACCTTAAAAATGTTATCGATAGGTGAAGAAAATGTTTGTACCAGTCTGACTGGAGGTTGTAACTTCTGGGATCTCCCACAAGGGCCTGGAAGAGGATTTCTGACAGAGAGGTTATGTTGGTATCAGCCAAGACCTGCAAGCTTGGCAAAACTTTATGGCAGAGATCCCCTGGTTTCATGGAGAGTGAATGCAGGAGAAGGGCCAGTGAATCAGTCTTTTCCAACACACACACCTACAAAATACAAGAAGGTAATTACTACTACTGAGAGAGCTCTAACACAGATAAATGATCAAGTACAAGGAAACAGTAAAGTTAGACAAATTACACAATACAAGCAAAAAACATTTCAACTGCATGGAACTATTGTCTTAAAAAAAACTGTTACTTAACTTAGTAAAAAATCTAAATGCCTTTATCAATTGAGTCTAATTTAAAAACAACTCTGAGAATACACTTTATTGGTAACATTAAAGATTTGCACAATTTAAAGTGACTTACAAATCATATTCAGAGCATCCTATATCACCCATAACATGACATTATTGTGTATTTATTTAAATTTAAGAGAAATTTTGAAGTTTTTATTCTTGTGAAAAAAATGTATAATGACCTTTAGCCCTTTTTTGTATTTTTTTTTTCTTTTTTTGTGGCAGTATTTTTGATTCACCATTGAAGAAGAGAAATAACAGGAAAGTTATTGTACAAACCTCAGATCTCAGTTGGCTTAGTTGATCTGTGAACCTGGGGTCACTTGGGCTGATATAAAAGAGCTCGGTTGCTGTTTGGACGGCTTCCTGCATGAGTCTCAGGTTTTCTGTGACAGGTAGGAGAGACAGAGAGATACCGGGGTGAAAAAGCGAGGCTGAGAGAGATTCCATTAATGTCTGGAATCTTAAAGAGTTTAGTAGGTGAAGTGACAGAATAACATGACATCCCACTGGGCTTCATTACGACACGCGCCATTACGGTGGTATCGTCGTCGAGCAATGAGCAGCAAATGATGTGCTTAAAGTGAAGTTGTGCGCGGGACTGATGGGGCCAGAAGGGCCAGTAGTCCCAGACGCCGTCATGCATAAAAACGCATCTGACAAGCCCTAAGAAAAGCAGCACCTCAGGCTGCAAGACGTGATGAAAGAATATTTAATTAGCCCAAAATTAGACAAATGTAATGTTTAATCTCAGGCTGCTCAATACCTTGAGGTCTTTTCAATCACAACAGCTTGCAGTGTTTAATAGTGAGTTTTGAGTGCAGAACACTGAACCTGCTTACAAAGGGATTCTATGTTCACAGAAAAACATTATCGCACAAGCACAGAAGCATATTAAAAAGAGGTCATGGATGCCCACTTGTGCAAGTGCAAGGGGGGACATTTGGCGAGGGCGGACAGAATAAGTGATTGAATTCTACTTTGCTAATGAGATTTAAAAAGGTGCTGAGTGGCTTTTAGTTGGAGATGGGCCACATGGCCTTGGGCTCTTTGTGAGTTGAAACTAGGCCAGTATGAAGCTTTATTCCTCATATCTCCAGTATAAATATTTGAAGCACTATAATCATATGTACAGTTACAACAGCGCTAACAAAATGTTTTATTGTCTTCCCTTGGTCTTGCGACTGTTATAAATTACAGGGTGGCGCCGCTCCAAGCTGCGTGACTGTTTAATGGCAGACTGTATTTATACTTTCACACTGTCACAGTGGGTATGCAAACACAAGCTGTAGCTACAGCAAGTGGAAAAAAAAAATCAAATGCACTGCAGTTAAGTAAATAACTCAGTGCAGCTGGCTGGGCTTTGATGGATAGACATTTGATAGATATAGATTTTTACCCACTGTCATTACATAAGCATTAGAGTCTGACTGTATGTATTATAATCAAGATCAAGTTGGAGTATATGTGGCTTTATTGGTCTATGTAAAATGACTAGATTTTTTGATGATATATGTTAATGTCATCAGATCAATGAAGTTGTTACAACTGTGACCTCCTTTTCATCTAAAGTGCTTTGAAATTATTTTATTTGTAACTATAGAAATACAATTAATTAAATTCAATCTAAATTTTAAATTGATTTGGGAATTCTCAATCAACCCAAAGAGATCCGAGGGCAAAGGTGTCACAACTGAATATATGAATAATTTGGTAAATAAATATTATGTATCTATATGATTAAATGGAATTGATTTCCAATTATTCTTGTAGAAAAGTGAGAATATCTGGTTAGGAAATTATGACATGAGGAGTTCCAATTAAGCAAAACGTGTATGCCTGAAATACAGTTCGTCATGATATGACTTAAACTCACAATTTGTCATCAATTTGATGTCTAAATAGAAACCAAAACATTGTCTTATACTATGTTTGCCCTGTCAGCTAACTTTAATGGGCAACATTTATAACAAAGTCATTCGCTGTGAAGTATTAAACACTTAAACTAATAATTATATATGTACACTTTTGACAAATACATTTTTACAACATTTTACGTTTTTTATGCACTTAGTGAGTCCTGTGACCCAGTGAATTGTTGCTCTTTTTGCCTTTATTAAATAAATTTTAAATCACGTTTTGATGAAGAATCCCATTTTACATTTTTACCAGGGTAAAAAGCAGTCAACATGCATGTGTTATTTTAACTTATCAAAAAAAAGGAGTAAAACAAAGACAACACTGAACCAAAAATGACCAACTTCACTCCTGACATTTCTTTATTGATTTTACATGAAAACCTATAAACACTGAAATAAATTCCCAGAATAAATATAAATACTTTTTCTATTACCTGGAGATTCGTTTGCCAGGGTCCTGCTAATAGATTTTATCTCTGAGGCAAACGGCAAACCCTCTGGAAGGATCTCTGCTGCATTTTTCAGGATATCCAATGATGGCCTGAGGAAAATAGTAGCAAAAATCATCATGCAACACAGGTAACCATATGACACCAGGTAAATTGGGTTATTGACACAAACACAAGCAGCAGAATACACAAACAATTTCTATCTCTGCCATATTTTAAAGGTACACTTACGTCTCAAACACTTGTGGATGAGTGAAGAAGGAGAACATTCCAAGGGTGGCATCAATAGTTTCTTCCCGTGAGGCATTAAAGCCCCATGGCATGCCACTCGTTGTTCCTTTCATCACAACATTCAGATCAGGATTTGAAAAGAACACATGGGCTGTCTCTGTGACTTCTGCTGTTGTTGGGGCTACAGAAAGCGCTCTAAACATGCTTGGGTAGTCGATGTAGAACATATCAATGATGTCAGACATGGGGTCCCTCGTCATCATCTGCGACAGGTCGCGTTTTCGCCGGGTATTCATTAGATGGTGTCCGACAGACTCGTAATGATATTGGGAACTTGGGGGCAGAAGACCACTGGCAACAATGTGGTTAAAAGCTGCAAAGATGTTTGCGAATAGCTCCTCGTAGACTTCCATATCCATGTCCACACTCACTTTGGTCAGAATAGATAAAGGAATTCGGACAATTTCATACATCTTGGAAAGAGTCTGACTTAGCAGTTCCAGCTGAGAGGCTTCAGTTGAGACCAGCCACATGAACATCTCAGATACACGTTCTATCATTAAGTAAGAGCTGTTCGTTGCAAGGAAGTGCTCCATGGCCTGGTAAATCATAGGTGAATGTCCAAAAGCCCTTGTTTCCATGATCTGTTTAATTATCTCTTCCATTGTGTCAGCGAGAAGAGCCAAATTAACTCCAGAAGCATTTCCTGACATCATAGGGTAGATGTCATTCAAAGTGATGTTTGCAGAGGCTAAGAAGATCATTGCTGCTTCTTGGATGAGCTCATGGGATGAGCTGCTGCTTTCATTGAGGTGGTAGTTGTCCAGAATGTGGCTCATTGCTATGAATGCAGCTTCAACGTAGGGCTGGAGGAAAGGAGCTACATCAAGCAGTTCATCTGAAAGTTCTTTAATCCCAGCCAAACTGTGGAAAGAAGACGTAAAAAATATCAAAATAAGATATACATTTTTATTACAAGAGTTGCCAGCATTTTTGTTTAGATTAAAATATTGTAACCTATGTTTTAGTTTATTTCTTTTTTGGAATGAGCTCTAGCACATTTGATTTTTTTCAGATTTTGAATAAAAATAACAGTTTTTCAATCATTCACTTTAATCAGAAAAAGACTGAAAATCTTTAACTTATGCCTTTAGACCTGTTTGATTCCCAGGAATACCTCGAGTGTGATCCTTATCTCCATGCCCTGCTCATTAATGGTGGTGACATAAAACGAGAAATCAATTTTGAAAGGAGAAAAAGCCTGATTCGTGGCTAAGCTGCTATCTATTCAGACCTGCCTGTTTTCAGGCAGGCCAGCATTAAATTAATCAATTTGAATGCAAATGTGACCACTTCAGCTCCTTGTGTAATTATGTATGAATCAAATAGGTTTCACTGGTGCTTTGTGGATAATGTGGACACAGCAAATTGGTTATTAGGTTCATGGAGAGTTCATGTAAGCTCCAGGTGAAGCTTTCTGTATAGGGCTCTGCTCTAAACAGGACTTAATGGGAATGTTTTCTTTTGCAGCTGATGTACAGAACACCTTTTAATGATTGCACTGAAGTCAGATTCATTCCTGCTGTAAATATCAGTTCTGAATCACTAGAGATTAAATAATCAGTATAGCAAGTGTTTGACAAAACTCTATGATACTATACCTGATTTTCAAGTCTATGATTATGTCATCTACAATTCGATTGGGTAATAGTTTATTGGCAGGCAGGATTTTTAAAAAAAAAGAAGCTTTTCAACCTGTTTACATCAGCACAGCTTGAGAAACATTATTAAAGTTTGTATACATTATTCCACTAATCAAATCTCTGCCTTCCTTCAAAAAAAAAGAAAAAGAAAGATCTTAAATTGTGGTTAAAATCAAAGACTGAAAGCAATGTTGACATAAAGGTAATATATCTCATACATACATTTTTTATAGATGGTGAATGCTATTAAAATTGGCTATCCATGCTTAACTTTAAACATCCATGTTTAGGCTCAGCGTGATTGGGACCTATTGCCTAATCAAGTTAAGTATTTTAGAGTACAGCATTTCTAAATAAAGATAAAAACAGCCCTTTTCATAGGAAAATGCAGAGACTTTAAAGCTGGAGAACATCTTTGAATGTGCAGGAACTTTACAGAAATATGTAGCAAGTTGGATTAACTTAATCAAAAATCAGGAACATGCTACTAGACAAGCACCAAAGCATCTAAAAACACCAGGACCAATATAATTAATTACTTAATTATTACAACTAAGTTATAAAGCCAAGAGCAAATTATAGGTGACCAATTGAAAAACTATTAAAGTAGTTATTTCAACTGAACTGTTGGAGCACCATAATGAAGCTGATTTCCTGGAACAAAATATCTGACTGTCAACAAAATATTATGAGGAAGCACTAAAGAGGCTGGAGCATGCAGAAGCAGGCTAGCGAGTGGATTGTAATAGTTTACAGGATTGTGAAGCTGCCAAGTAGAAGTTAATAAATATATCATCATTAGCTTGAATGAGCTATTGCATAGGAGATTCTTTATTGGTTGATATGTTTTATCATATACTATATATATATATATATATATATATATATATATATATATATATATATATATATATATATATATATATATATATATATACCCAATTTGTGTCCAGGAAAAAGTGCTTTTGTTCCTTGAAATTCTAAATAGTCTAATGAGACTAATAATGTGACTTGATATGATTTACTGTCAAAACAGCTCTTAATGTGTGTCAGTGTTAGTACGCCAGATTCAACACCAATACATTGTTAAATGGTTTTCTTCCTTGAGAGCATTTAAATTATAACAAGATTAAAGAGCACATTGAGTTAGGAGCATCATAATCTAATTGTGGCTGACCTGCTCTGCAACTGCATGCCCTGGAGCTGCTTGTTCCAGTAATTTTGTCCCTCGTAGCTCAAATGCAGGCCTGTCAGCTGGGGGAGCTCACTGGAGAGAGTCATGATGAACTGCTCTATCACATGTGTGTGGTTAATGCTGACGTGATAGAGAGACTGTAATATTTTGACCATCCTGCCAGCTGCGGAGCTCACACTTATTGGTTCCATGCTCATGTGCTGTATAAAGAAGACAAAATAAGTGTTAAAAGGGAGTTGGTTTATATTCTAAGTTACAACACTGCCACCAAGTGGTGAAACTGCTATTTTTCCAAGTTGGAACATTTTTTGGAACACATTTGGTGTTTGCATTTGAATTGGCCATGCTCCTACTCACACTCATGTTCAGGTGGGACAGCTCAGCCTGTGATGCTGCATAGGCTTCCAAAACAGGCTGCAGGCTGGAGTCACACCACGCAACAACTGTGGAAAGTTTAACCCCTGCTGCATCTCCAACAGGCTGCCATGCTTTTAGAGCCTCGCTGCAGTTCAAAGTGCCATTTGCCTTAGAGAGAGAGAGAACAAAAGAATGAACTATCATATTTCATACAGTTAAATAACCTGTTGAAAGAAAAGAGTGCACATTATGTCTAAAACACAAAAGATGGGAGGGAGGGGGTGTCAAGGGGAACGTCTTGATAGCTCTACTTTTGAGGTTTACAGAGAACAGAATACAAGGGCATCATTCTCCCACAGGTATCTTTTTTTACTTTCTGTGTTTTTACTGTTACACACCCACATGAGAACTGTATAAATCCCAAACAAGGAACCAGGATTATCTCCCATGTCTGAACTGTAAGGGCATTAACAAGTGTTGCAACATATGACATAAGTGGTTTTACACCACTGTACAGTTAAAAAAAAACTTTTTATGGTAGACACAACGAATATTATGGCTCTTTTAAAAATCGTTTAATACAATTACTTGATATGGAAAAGTTTTTTTTGGAGAGTTTATCAATCTAGTTAGTTATTCTAAATGTTCATTTTTTATTTTGTTAAGATAGAAATTCTGCACAGTAGCTGAGGGAGATTAAATCGAAGTTTGAATTATGGCAAAGGAGTATTTTGTATTTCATTAAAAATGCTGACAAATACAGTAAAAAGTGAAATGACTGAGCTAGAGGTCGGTAAGAATACGATTTAAATGATTGTATTTGTTTATCCTAAGCTGAAGAGATTCAGGGGCTTCATTATTTTACTCCTAAAATGACCTACTAGAAAATCTTATACCAGCCATGCATTAATATGTACAAACTTTTTTACCCACTGGACAACCACACAAGAATTCAAAGTTTTATATAATCCACTGACTGCTGTAAGAAGATGCAGTTTTATAGCACAAATAAACTTTAGCTTGAGATTAAGTTAGTAGGGATACAGGTACATTTTTCATATTTTTATGAGAGCATAATTAAAAAGATTTTAAATCCCATATCAGAACCCAGATGCTAATTTTGGAACATATGGCTATATTTTAATGGAGAATGTCATTACAGTTTTGTAAAGGGCGACATGACAAAAAGAGCTGTGGCTTTCTCATCTGAATTATTTTCTTGTTTTCTTTTTTATTTTGGAATATTATCCACTCTACTCAGAATAAAAGGAAAATCCATTTTTTTCTTCATAGTAAATCACAAATCACTTTTAAATACAACTCAATTTTTTTTTCACATTTTCAACAAATAGGCTCTTAGTTTTAGACTGCTGTAGGAAAAAATTGCTGCCTTCATTTTTAGTTATGTTGTGTTTGAAAATAAGCTATTTATTGGCTTTTGCATCTCTTTGGGGATTCTTCAACATATGGGTAAAGTATCATAAAGGTCAGATTACTTTGTTTAAACAGTGGAACATTATATGTCCAAGCATATTGTCAATAGCTGAAATGTTTTTGATAGCAACGATCCTCTCCACTAATGCAGATAATTCCTAGTATGCTCAGATATTTTTAAGCACATGCGTATCACCAGTTGGTATTAGGCTAATAATATCGGAAAGTTTAAAATTAAGAGTCCTAGTGCTTGAAACAGAATTGGACACTCAGACGCTCTCACATAACACCCATTTCTCTAGAAATAATATATAGCTTTGTACAAATAGAGTTTTTTTTTTTAATAAAGGTTACAATGTCTGCCTTCATGCAACCAACAGTTATTATACATCCTGAGATTGTCCCTTGAATTGTTTACCACATAAGTCATGCCCACATTTAAAGGTGTTGCAAAAGTAATGAAAAAAACGAGATGTGAGACAAGGATGAGACAGCTCTTTTTAAGTGCAATAATGCATGACAGTTGATGCAATTGCTTTGTTCACCGCCTCAAACACAGATATGCAGGAAATGAAAAAAGAAAACCAAGCAAATGATTGTAAAGAAACCTAAACATAGGAGTAAAAATATGTTGGCTAACCTGCTGGGCAGCTTGAAGTGTCCCTTCAACTGCAAGCTGCATTTTCATTGTGAGCTCAGAGATGTTCAGATGGCTGCGGTTCGCAGACACTACAATGTCTCTCATCAGGGCCACCAGAGGGACCTGAAGGCTTTGTAGCATCTCTGAAAAGAAGAAAATATGTGCTGATTTACCGATGTAAAAATGCGCAGATGATGATGATCATGTAAAGCACAGAGAAGTTTGTGCATAGTTCAGACAATGCTCTTATTCCTTCTCTTTTTTTGTTGGATTCAACACAACAATCTTAGAGGTCAGAATTGGCACAGGTAGGTCAGACATAACAAAAACTGGACATTAGTACGAGACAGGAAAGTCTTTGTTTCTAATGCTAACTTTTGCAGACATGCAGATTAGACAAAAATAAAAAGATAAAGTTTAAAAGATCATATAAAAGATAAAAGATTTCCAAAAAGCAATTCCCTTGCTAAGTGCATGCCAGGATAAAGCTGTTATTCAATTCAGGAACTTAAACATTACTGGTGACCTTAAGCGAGATCTCTATAGGAAAATGAAATACCTTTTCAAGTGCTTTTAGTAGCTTTTTGACAGTTGTTTTTTTTAAATTCCTCTGTAAATGTTTACCACAAACTCTGTCTTAAGAGCTCTTGCATGATGTCAATGATAGTCCTCAGATTTAATGACAGTTGAATCAAGCAAAACCTTATAAAGAAATACCTAAAGCCCAATTTATTTGACATAAGGCTGGAAGCTAAACTTTTAGCTGGAGAAAATTATTCAAAAAGCAAATAAATAAAAAGAGAAATGCTGAATGAAAAACCTTTTGTCAGTGATAAAATGTTCGGGCTTGAAAAAGAATTTCAGACAAAGAAAGAAACAAACAAACAAGTACAGCTCAGAAAACAACCTCTGGTTGAAAACAACCATAATCTAGATCAGAAGCAGAAAAAGGGGTGATCTGAGCTTTATTTTAACACAGAATATCTCATAAAAGCTGATAATTTAGAGTTTTCAGAATGACAAACAAAAGTTAGAGTCAGCACTTATGCCATCAATAAATGTATTCTGTTTTTGCAGAGGTATTGTGGAAAAGAGTCAATGTTAGTCTAGTGGTGATAACTTCAATTTAATAAATAGAAATTAAGAAACAGCTGGAGTAGTTAGATATGCTGCAAGGGAAGTGCCTGTTTAGTATTTTAAATAATGCAAGTGTTAGGCATTGCAAATATAAGGCCTGTAAGGAGGATTGCACACTCTTATTATGCTTCAGATTTCAGATGACTTGCACTCTGAGGGTCTTATTCCTTTTAGCCATCTAAATTTGTTTGGTCTGGATAAGCCAGTGGTGTCTGCCTGTATTTGTTGTGTTTGATGTCTCTAGAGCTCTCACCGCTGTTTGCTCGCATGATCTTGACCACATTTTCGGTGAGTTTTTCCAAAAGAGGCATTATGGATGAGAAGTTGTTCCAAGTTTCCTGTCCTTCAAAGGCACCAAGTAGGGTTTTCAGCATCTGCTCAAGTCTGGGGTAAAAAAAAATTCAACAGTTTACAGAAATAAAAACTGACTTTTCATAAAAAATGAATAAAAATAGATTGCCTAATCAGGCTCAAATGGTTAAAAAGCTATAGTTTAAAAAAATCTATTTAATCATTTGTAGCACTTACTTGACCCATGTGTGTTGATCTGCATTCCCAGTCATCACCTGTTCCAAAACAGGCACAATAAGCCTCAAATTGTCAAAAGATGAAGCAGGTGGGCCCTCTGTTACAAGTTGCACAAACATCCCCACAAGTTTGGTAAACTGTTTAAAAAAAAAAAAAAACAATTAGGCAAACATTTGTTGTAAAGGCTCTCATACTGTATATATCAGAGTACATCAGCTTTACCTGGCCAAAAGCTTCTGGTAAGTTTTCCATTGATAGACCCTCAAAACTTTCCCAAAGACTCATGTTGCCTGAAATAACAAGGAAGATATTGACAAACTTAATTTTGTACTCAATATGCAAACACAACCTGTTCTTGCCGTACAACTGACAAACACTATATCATTAATGTTGGAATAGTACATATGATTAAGCTGCTAGTTTAGAGAGATAGAGTTTAATATTGTCAGAGTTCCCTACAGGCAACCTTAGAAGCTGACTTACCGTGGTTAGGGTATAAGATGAACTCAGTGATCTCGGTGAGAACATGAACATAGTATTGTGCTGTGCTGTTTGGGGGCAGGATGCTCTGGATTGTCTTCATTTCATCCAAAATTCTTAAAAGTGAAACAAAAAAACAACAACTGTATTTTATATTTGAGTTTCTAAAAAGGTTAATTAATGAATAATTAATGATTATGCCTTACAAGTCTTGATGAATTGTAAGTATTTTAAATTAAATCCCAGGATGTCTCAGTCAAGGACTGAGGCCTCCAAACATGGTCACTCTCTCTACCCCTGTGCTACTATTTCACACACCCAACTATTAAACAAGCATTATCTTATTAGCAGCAGTAGCACATACTCACAATTGATTCCACTGATCTTGCCCGCTGCTTGTAGATATGCTCTCAAAGTATGTAGTGACTAGTTTAACTATTGGCAGCAGGTATTCTGAATAGTTTTGCAGCATTGTTTGTTGTATAATGTTTTCAGTTTTCTCTAGGATCAGTAGGGAAACTTTCAGTGATGATGCAAAACTCATGTTTTGGTTAACAATGAGAGTCAGGGAACCATTCGCAATTTCCAGAATATCCTGCTGCACATTGGATGGAAGGGGACCTCCGATTGGGCCCCGGATCTGCATGACTGTGTGGAGAGTAGTTAGGATTGAAGACACAAAGCGATCACTCTGTAAGCCACCTGGTTGCTCTGCCAGGTACATCAGCTGTATCTGGCCAAGAGCTTCTGGTAAGGTTTCCATTGATAGATCCTCAAAATGTTCCCAAAGACTCATGTTGCCTGAAATAACAGGGAAGATATTGACAAACTTAACCTAATTTTGTACTCAATATGCAAACAACCTGTTCTTGCTGTACAACTGACAAACACTATGTCATTAATGTTCGAATAGTACATATGATAAAGCTGCTAGTTTAGAGAGATAGAGTTTAATATTGTCAGAGTTCCCTACAGACAACCTTAGAAGCTGACTTACCGTGGTTAGGGTATAAGATGAACTCAGTGATCTCGGTGAGAACATGAACATAGTATTGTGCTGTGCTGTTTGGCGGCAGGATGCTCTGGATTGTCTTCATTTCATTCAAAATTCTTAAAAGCGAAAAAAAAAAAAAACAACAACAACTGTATTTTATATATGAGTTTCCAAAAAGGTTACTTTTTTTTTCTATTTGTCTTGTCACCAAAAGAGGATTTGATATAATGCTTCCTAAAATGTGTATTCTGCAGATGCTGGTGTCTGACTTCCATTTGTAAAATAGCATGGCAATAAGGAAATAACAGCAATAAAAGAGAGATTCAAGTTTGTAAAGCTGCTGACAAAAAAGTTTAACATCTGAGCTAGATTTGGGTGTTTAGTGTTGTTGATGTGTCTCTACCCCTGTGCTACTATTTCACACACCCAACTATCAAACAAGCATTATCTTATTAGCAGCAGTAGCATATACTCACAATTGATTCCACTGATCTTGCCCGCTGCTTGTAGATATGCTCTCAAAGTATGTGGTGACTAGTTTAACTATTGGCAGCAGGTATTCTGAATAGTTTTGCAGCATTGTTTGTTGTATAATGTTTTCAGTTTTCTCTAGGATGAGTAGGGAAATGTTCAGTGATGAAGAAAAACTCATGTTTTGGTTAACAATGAGACTCAGGGAACCATTCACAATTTCCAGAATATCCTGCTGCATATTGGATGGAAGGGGACCTCCGATTGGGCCCCGGATCTGCATGACTGTGTTGAGAGCCGTTAAGATTTCAGACATGAAGCCATCACTCTGTAAGCCACCTGGTTGCTCTGCCACTGTTAAGGCATTGTTGAGAGACTCTGTCAAGTTGGTTATAATCCAGAGGAATTCTTTCTGATTGTGGTTGAGCAAATGAGACATTGTCTGCAGCAAGAAATTCAGGTCTCTCACAGGGGTTGACATAGAGGAGTTTCCCCACTGGAGCATACTAGTGAGGAGCTCTGGAATGTTTGGCTGCTCCATCCATTTCTCAATTAGGTCAAGGTAGAGCCTGATTTGGGCACCAATGGGCTCCAGCTGTTCCGAACCGGGAATGTTATCCTGAAGCTGTACCGTTGTGTTCATGAAGACCAATAGATGTCGAATGATATCGATTGTTGTTTTTCCAATTAGACGTATGTCTCCGCCATTCAATGGGTACTCGAGGCTGTTCACTAAGAACAGGGTTTTCTCATTCACATACATGGTGAATTCAATCTGAGCCAGTTGGGTTGCCACCTGAATCTTGGTGAAGTAGAAAAAGTCATGAAGGTACTCAGAAACTGAACTGTTACTGGTGATCATTTCAACCCTTGCAATATACCAATCCACAAGCTCAAGGAGGAGTTTCTGTGCATAAAGTGGGTCCCTCATGGTATTATTCAAGCTGTTAAATGGTTTTCTGTCAGTGACCAGCTCTATCAGATGGTCCACCATTGTGATTTCGTTCATGATGTCTGAACTGTTTTGTTGGTTCATCTGGAGTATCCACTTGATATTAGTCAAAATGGCTTCTAAAGTTTGCACAACAGCCATGTCAGGATCAGAGCTGAGGTCCACTTGGTTGAAATCACTGAGAGTTTCACTGACAATAACTGGGATGAAAGAGAGGAGTGTGGTTTCATTTCTGAGGGCTGGTATGTTTGTCAGAAAGCTTGTGGCACCATTCACTATGCTTAGAAAACAGTTTGACGTCAGGTTACTCTGAGGACCAGAACAGTTTTTGTTGATTTCAGTGTAAATGTTGAAGATCTTTGCAATGAAATCATCCAGACTAGAAGCTCCAAGAAGTGTTGCAATTTCAAACAGATCATTCCTGGTTAGGTTTGACTGCATTAGAGCATTCTGGACACTAGCTGCGGTGATGTTTTCCATCTCTATGATGTGTTTGATGAAATTGAGGGTTTGCTTAAATGTTTCTACATGGGCTGCATCATTTGGTGACAACATGAGGGAGAACATTAATGTTGTAAGTTCCTTCTGCTCGAGGTGCAAGGGGACAGTGCTGTTTGGCGATATTGAGATAGTGACATCTCCACTGGCAGTTAGAAGGACCTCTATTATCTGGTTCAACAAGGTAGGGATTTCTGATATGCCTTGCAGACAGTTCTCGCCTTCTTCACATTTGGTAAACTGATCCTGGAGAGCTTTAAAATTCTGCAGAAAGTCAGTAGCATTCTTCTGGACATTGGGTGGTAGGAAGGCCAGCAACTTCTGGATGATGAGCTCCTGAGCCACATCTGGTCCAACCTGAGTTAGACCCTGGGGGTTCTCAGGGTCAAGGAGGTTAAGAAAGTTAATTGATACCGTCTGAAGGTCAGTGACTTGAGCAGCAGTTAGTTGACCATTGGATGACAGAACATACTCAATTCTCTGCAGCCTGATTAGAGAAGTTACAACATTTCTAAGCTGGTGAAGGTACCCAAGAAGGACATTGCTGAGGTCATTTGGAGAATCACTTAGTGTTTTCAGAAGCTCCACAACATCAAGGATGGCTTCATCAAAGGTCTGATTGGTGAACTGATGAAGTACCTCCGTGATAAAGGACACGTTCTTGGGGTTGATGGAGGCTGAGTATGCTAGCAGGCTCTGTCCCAGAATGTTGGAGAAAGAAAGTGTCAGATTGCCCTCCATAGATAGGAACTGCATAATCAACTGCTCCAGTCCTTTCATTGAAGTGTCTGTCTCTCCAAATGTAAATATTTGTTGATTGAGCCTAATTATCTGTAAGACAGCATCCAGCACTGTGGAGGCATTAACCGAACTGCTATTAAAGAGCAGAGGCTGGAGTGGCTTAAGACCGGCAGACTCTAACAGCTCAATGATGAGGGGTCCTATGATGGCAGGGTCTGAGATGTTTCGATCAGGCAGAACAGTAAGATTTTGGAGAAAACCATCCAAGTTCAGAATTAACTTGGTCAGGTAGGCAGAAAGAGCATCCCCTCCTTCAATCTCTTCCTTTAAATAGGTGGCTGTCAGATTTTTGTACATATCCCCATACACATGCTGCAGCAGGTTCACTGTTCCTTTCAGAGCACTATAAGAGCAGAAAAAATAAATAAATAAATAAATGTGTGATATTTAAATAACAACTACAATTTGACATCAAAATAGTGATAAAAGCCAAAAAAGTCTAAGTTAAACAAATTCATAGGGAGTTATTGGGGTCCACAACAAGGTACCTTCCTATGCTGACCTGCAGACTCTGGCAATGTAGGCTATTTAATACGAAATAATACAGATTTATTTTCCTATTATATATAAAAATATAAAAAAAAGATATAGTAATTCCCAGTTCTTCTATAAGTAACTTCAATTAAATACTAAACTAAATTATTTAATTTTTTTGTATCAAGCAAACAATAAATTACAACAAATATTGTTTGTATTGATGATTATTTATCCTATGTGTGTTTTATTATTCTTTTGTATTGTTTTTTGTCTGAAAATATGTCTGTAAAAAAGGGGGGAAGTTCTTGTCTACTAATAATTTAAATATATTATGTGATACTTTAAAAATTTCGTCAGAACTGTCGTCCTGATGTTGAAATTTTGTGATATGAAGAACTACCATAATAGATTCCATGAAACATAACAGAAATTTGATGCATAGGAAAAGTGAATGTTAAATTTAACAACAATTCATTATCAAGGTTATTAACCTTGGCGGAGGAGTCTACCCTTAGAATTGTGCTTGGAAATGTTTATGTTTTGGTTCTTCCTAGCTGGATAAAGCAGTTTGTCCAGTGTCTAGCCTTTATACTTTTACTTGTTTTCTATTTTTCAAGGCATCAAATTTCAGCAAAAGGGGAGACTGACCATATATTTATACGTACCTAACACTTGAGAAAGGACTTTTAGAATTACCATGATTGTTTAAATGGAAGTCTAAAAACGCAAGTGGTGCGCAAGTAAAATACAAGACAAAGATACAGAACAATAAAATCTGACAAAATTAAAACATAAAAATGTTAATGAAATACTATTGAATCAGACAAAAAAATATATATTCAATGTCAGACTTGCGTTATGTTTAAATCCAAAGAGCCAAAGTCTGTTTTCAAGTGAGAATTTAAATGTCTGTTAAGCATTCTTCTAAACTGGACTCTGATGACACTATTGTGAGAAATGTAAATAAAACTGAAGCTAAAACAAATATATTCCCAGTAGAATATAATGACAACAAACATCCTCTGCCCTTACTTCACTAGGACATTTTCATTTGGTGACATCACAGCATCTGTTATTGCTTTGACAAACTTTGGCCACTGCAGACCAGTGTCACATTGAAATATCAGTGAATGGGCATCAACGACACCTGAAAGAAAAGTAAAACACACATTTACATTGGTATATTTTTTATATTTGGTTATTCATAGAGAGAGGATTGTTAGAAAACATGTGAGAAAGATCTCTAAGGAAATAACGGTGAACCAGATACAAGTGTCACTGTCACTGCTTATCTTCGGAGTCAGAAATGTACTCTCGTCCAGTTCCAAGTGTTTAAACCAGGGTTTTCCAAGCTTTTCGACTACCCCTTCGGAAGTTTTGCCTTATTGTATTAAGTATTTGCCTGATTTGTAGTATTGATAATTATCCAGAAGTGGAACATACAAAAAATGATTATTAAATAAAAACTATTTTACTTATTCTTTTAACTTTTTAAAATTATTATTGTTATTATTATTATTATTATTATTAGTAGTAGTAGTAGTAGTAGTAGTATTAGTAGTAGTAGTAGTAGTTATTAAAAAAACAACACAACTGTCAAAAATTTTAATTTTTATTTTAGTTTTTACGGCACCAGTGGGTCATTTTTTGACAGTTGTGTTGTTTTTTTATTTGAGATGAAAAGAATAAAATGTCTTAGAATAATATGCTCAAGTTAAAAGATTAACGCGCTAACCACTGTGCCACCTGTACGCTTTTTTTTTTTTTTTTAAACATACTTTAATAATCCCAGAGGGAAATTACTTCTTTGCATTTAACCCATCCCCTTGGGGAGCAGTGGGCTGCCGTTGTGCGGCGCCCGAGGAGCAGTGTGAGGTTAAGGGTCTTGCTCAGGGAGCCAGAGTGGCAGTCTGTGTGTGTGGGGATCAAACTCACAACCTCAGGTTCTTAAGGAGTCAAAATAAATACAAAATAGAATCTTAAGGTAAACCTGTATTTCTAAAACTAGAGCTTTTCTGAGTAACTCCCTTATAATCACATTTAAACTTGATGAATCTGGAACAAAATACAGAAGAAAAAATTATATTCAGACTGACTTAATTAGTTTTACTTTGTTTACATCAGGACACCTGAGAATATAAAGCTGATACCAGGCTGTTTTCTACATCCAATCTGTTCCTCTGCTTGGTTTTGATGTGTGTCAAAGCTGAAGATGAACTCATGTAAAAAAAAAAAAAAACATACTTTTTGGTCATTAAAAACTTGTTTAAGTTTTTGATTGGGTCCTTACAAAGCAAAACAGATCCCAGTCCTATTTTATTTTACTACCTAAGAACCTAAAAAAAATAATTTTACATACCCCTTGCTATGCACTCGTGGACCACTGGGGATTTGGAATCACTGGTTTAAACCATTGGGGATAGTGGATTAATATACTTAGAATTCAGGCTAGCAGTTAACTATGTCAGGGATGTCATTCAATAACCACCGTCATAAATAATTAACAAGGGGGGGGAAGTACTCAGGGAGGAAGTATTTCTGAATTTCCTCATTGTGGAAGAATAAAGGATATATCGATTCCTTCTACTTGGCATCATCTTTCGGGAACAAGGAAGGTTTAGGTTTTCACTCATGTGTGGCCAATGTTAATGATATAAGGCTAAATTGTAAATGACTGAATGTTATTTAAGACATTTATACAGTTGTGTACAGTCTAGAACATAGAATCATAACAGAGAATACAAAAAAGACACAAGAAAAAAGCAGGTCTTACAATTTGGAGGCTCTTTTTCAACACCAGGTCTGTAGTTCAAAATCCAGTAAATGCTGTGGAAGTAATCCTTCACCTCTGGCCACACATCGCTTTTCTCAAGCTCTTCTCCCAAGTTTGCCATTGACATGAAGAGACTGCATGAAAAAAAAGCAAAGGCCTGTTCAGACTGTAAAAATATTAATAATAAATCAATTGGTAAAACTATCCTATTCTTGGGCAGTACAAGTTTATAACATGAATGATTGAATGAGATATATTGAAAAAGTTCTGAAGTGATGTTTTCAAGTAAAACTAAAATGGAAACCTTGCAAGTATACTATCAAGATACTGAAAAAAAAACCTTTGTTGAAGAGTTTTCATAATGTCATGTGGGTATTGGTTAGGGAACCAGTTCATCCATCCCTTTTGACCAAACTGGGATATTAGTCTGTCCATAAATTCTCCAAATTGCATGCTGGCATTGTACAACTCGTTCCACTCCGAGAGCATCATGGAAAGTGTCAGGTTAAAGTCTGACTGGCCTGTGAGGACCAAGTACACTTCTTCTGCCTGAAGGTAGAACATAACATAATCAGAGATTGGGAGGATAGAACAACAAGCTTTTCTAACAAACATATTCAAATCTGAAGTACTGTATTTCATCAAACAAAACAGAATAATGTGTATTATTTTAAAAGTTCTTAAAACATTAAGCAGTTTATACCTTTTGTACTACAGGATTCCAGTCCATCAGCAAAGATGTATTCAATGCAGAGATATTTTGGCAGAACATGGATCTCCACACATTCATGTTTGCTGTCTCAGAGGGCAGCAGCCACTCGAAGCTCTCAAACACTTCCTCACATTCTTCATGCTCCACAGCCTGATGAAACAAAAGAAAAGTCCAATACAAGGTATAGAACCACAGTTTGGTGTGTTTTGATACCGGTAATTACAGAAAAGAAGAATGAACAGAGACTATTGATAGTCATCTAGCCTTAGCTTCTGCAAAACACTGATTATGAACAGTAAAATATGAATTAACATGAAATACAAAAAAACATACAGAGTAAAAGTGAAAATTAGGTGCTGCCATAGAGTATATTTATACATACAATTTGTACCCAAAATTAAAATAATGGGGCTGTACCTTTTGAATAACTTCCACCACACTGAGTGCTACCCGGCTGAACCAAGCCGCTGCCGCAGACTGGTTCGTCATCAACATGTGATAGATCATTTGGAGATTACGTGTGTCTTCCATGACATTGCCGATCACCTCTGTGAGTGTAACCGACACAAATGTATAACAATTAGAAAAGCACACCCTCCGTTAAATATAAGGCAGGAAAACAAACACATTTTAACAATTGTCTTTACAAAACATATTATCAGTGCTGTGTTCCTAATTGTTTTTTTTCTGTGTAACATTTAATACCTAAAATCCCCTTTTAGGTCAGGATTCTTTTTGTCAGTCCCCAGAGAAAGGGTGTATTCTTGTAGTATTCAGCTTTCAGTTTCTCAGCAGTGAACATGTATATAATATAACTGAATCAATCAATAGGGACATATTTACTATGTAAGGCTGCCAGTCTTTAACTCTTTAGATCCGAAAAAATTTTACTTGATTGGCATGCATTTTTCTGAAGGCCTAGTGAAAGTATTTAATGGTTAGAGTCCTATAATCAGATCAATTAAAGATAAGTTGAAGATTCATTATATTATATATTATTGCATTTGTTTTTGTTTTTTATGTGTTACAGTCTGTTTAGAAATACATCCTTTGTTCAAAAAAACTGAAATTAGCATTAGCAAGGTAAAGCCTGATCGTTGTATCTTTATGTATCATCATACAACAGTAAATATTAAAGTACGACATGAAATAAAAAAAAAGAAAAAACAGTACACCTGATTTGCTATAAACATGTTTTGTTTGTAGTCTTACTTTGTACAGTGACCAAAGCCACCCTTGTTGCCTTCATGGACTGGAAACTGGTTTTGAGAGCTCTGTGAACAACCATGTCCAGCTCAGGATCAATTTTGGTGATCTCTAGCAGTGCTTGAGTGACACCCAAAAACCTTCAAAAGAGCAAACTTGTAATTAAAACTAAAGGGATAAGTAACTGAGTGAAAGAGTAAGAGCCAAAAAAAAAAAAATAAATAAAGATTTTCAAGATTAAGAGGAAATAAACTTTGGAAAGTTAGCATTTTTGATTAAAAGAAAAAAAACTGAAGAAGCAAAGGAGATAAAACATATTTCTGTTGAAAAGCTTTGAAAGCAAAGCTACAGAATGTGAAAATAATCCACACAATGAAAAAGTATTCTTTTACTGTCTTGCATTAGGAATAAATACTAATAGTCAGCCTCATTTAATTCCATCAGCTTTGTAGAGTAGACTCTTTCATTTTTGAGATATATTTATTAAAATATAAAAAATTGAGAATAAAAAATCTTGAGATTAATAGCTGCATGTAGACAAGTCATCTCTCTGTACTTACAGTTCTTCCTCGTCGCTTTGTGGCTCTGCATCCATGCTGCGCTTAGACCTGTGGGGATCCTGTTTTCCTGAGGATGCAACCCCCATAAGACTTTGCACCAGGTCTCTCACAAAGGACACATCATCTGCTGCCACATGCTTAGTCCATGCCAGGAAGACCTAATGTTTATGGTATTGATAAAATGAAAAGCAGGGACAAAGATTAAGAGGAAATCCTAACTGCTGCTTCTTGCCTCTGCTCTTGCTTAGTTTCTACAAAAGCAGAATTAATCATGCATTCTGTGCGAGATAGCTACACAAACAAAATGAATTAAACATAACTCTAACTTATTAACTTTTATCCCAAATTTGAACATACTGAGCATGTGTTACATCAGATAAACAAATAAAATAAGCTTTTTCGGTTTAAAATCAGATGCGTATAAAACGAATTAATGGAAAGGTTTAGTTAATAACAAAAGTTAAAGATGAACACATTTGTGTTATTTCTTATTATAAGTTTTTAATTCTCACTCCTTTTTAAGCAAGATAACCTGTATTATATGTTGATTTCTATGTACTGCATATTTCTTTGTACTCTTTCTGCTCGAAAAGTAAAGTACAATGAAAATGATTCTTCGATACAGATGATTTATTTCTTTACTTTGCCAAATCCCCTGTGCCCATTACAGTTTTGTTATGGACAATCATCTGCATTCTTGTTTAGAGGTCAGAGCAATCAGGTTAAAAGAGGTTGCAAAACTACTAGCTTAACCTGCAAGTTTGGTATTTGAAGCTGTTTGACCACATAGTTCAAGATCTCCAATAAACACAAACTGCCAAAAAATTTGACTGGTGTGAGAAAGATGCTCATGTCAGCTGTGCAACCTGAGCAACCAGGGGGATGTCTTTATTTTAACTGTGAGTTTTGCAATAAAAACAGAGTGATTAAAAATAGCTATTAATAGTATATTTTATGGCAATGGAACCCATATAACTTGCTGGACATGATACATGCAAAGTATCACTTGGAATAGTTTAAGATTAATAATGAGCTAAATATTGTGTCCTGTAATTACATGTAGTATTACAAGAGGGTACATATATATTAAGTTTCAGTATATGTGAGCGAAGAAGATTTTATGAGATGAACTGCTTATGATAACGTTATACTCTGCTTTAGTAATAACCGGCATCAAAAGTATAATTTGCAGTTTATTATGCTCCCACTATGTAAGGCTTTTCAGTACTACACTACCCACAACTAAATGGTTAAATAGAATCTAAAAAGGAGTTGCAAACACATGCATATGGCTATGGCTGCTTATTAACTGGTACATAGTAATACATTTCCCAAAGAGTTTCTCATAAGGAAGCTAGAACTGTAGTTGTCAAGCTTCCGGCATACTCTTTGTAGTTAGGATCATGACACAGCAACAAGGCAGTTATTCTAATTAATGTTCTGAGCTCCCTTTGTTGAGACGATGACACTTAAATTACCACCATACCTCCATTGCCAGCTTTTCAGGACAAATCCAGCTCAGGAGCATGTCCACAGTGCCTGTACTGCATGCTGCTGTTAGCCATATTGTGTTGTTGCTGCTGTCACACAAGTAGGAGTTCACCATATCTTTGTCCCACATCAGCGCTACAGCCTAGAACAGAGAGGACAATTGAGGTAAAGATAGCTTGACTACACCCAAACTCTGAAGGCTTGCCACATTTCTGGAATATCAAAACCTTTACTGCAAATAAAACATTCTTCTTTTCTTTGTATACGGTTGATTACAGTACAGGATTAATGTATTGTTGCTGCTGGGTGTTTTGGATCACACAGCAGCCCATAGCATAGAGCCAGTGGTGTTTTGCTTACCTGGTGCAGAGGTATGTCAACCTCCTGTAAAATTTGTTTGACAATGTCACTGACTGAGTTATTCCTTAACGTGACAATGTCTCCAAGGGTTATCGAAACACCTAAGAGATTTAAATCACACATTAGCACGAACATTCAAAGTATTTACAGTTTTCATAGAGTTCATCTTCAAATTGCAGGATTCTATGCTCACATTGTAATTGTATGTAAAAAGAAAGTAAGCTTAAGTAAAACATATGTTTACCTTTTCCAGGCCAGTTCTGGACATAGTGGATCACATCAATGGTGTTCTCAATCACTGCATGCACTTGATAGAGTAAGTCAGCAGTGTCAGGGGACATGGTTTGGAAGAAACGCAAAAGGCTGCAGACAATTTGAGAAAAATAGCAGACAGTAAGTAAATAAGTATGTGAGCTAAGAAATGAATAAAGAAATCTGCTGTAAATATTGGTTCTTAAGCTCAATTAGAAGTAATCAATAAGCCCTGATCGGCTACATCTAAGGAACAAATCTTTTTTCATATAAAACTTCCATCAGTAAAAGATTACCGCTGCATGTTTGAGAGCAAGGTTTTTGTGTTGTTCAGCATGTCATCAAAAGAATCAGAAGTGAAGACTTCGGGAAAAGCTAGAAGAGTGTCCCACAGTGACGTTTCATTTTGAAGCTGATCAAAGAGCACAACTATCTGTCCCCCCATTGTCATCATCTCCTCTGGACTGGTCAGCAGCAGATCTTCAAATATCTGAGAGCAAAACAAAACATCTGAGCTTCAATCTGAAAGGGTTAAATCACCAATTTATCTACCTTTTTCTATGTAAAAGATTATATAGAACAGAAAGAACACAGCATTTTTTGCTGTTGAACCATCACACCATCACTCTAGTTGAAAGGTAACATGCACGCATTAATGTGAAGGACAAAAAGTTTTGAAAAACAAAACTGAGCATACCTTATTCATTGTTTGAAGTGAGGCTTCTAATGCAGTGGTGTTGGAATTACAGAAAGTTACCATAGCATTGCTGATTGTGTTGGGTGAGGTTTGGTTTATCAAAGGAAATGCAACAGTGCAGATAGCTTTCTTGAAAACGTTCACTGACTCCATGATTGTGTTTATGGCCTCCTGCAAGAAACAGGATATATTTTACAACAGTCAGACAAACATCCATAGGAAAGTGGATAAAGTACTCCATCTACTCATTTACAGCTACCCTAAGTTTAGGGTTTATAGATCATAATCACCTAAAGCAAATACAACTTTATGATAGATACATTTAGATCTACAGATTTTCATACATTTCTACACCACTACAATAAACAGTGTTTATGACTCAACTGACATCAATGTTATAGAAATAGAAAATAGAATAGAAAAAAAATCCCTTTATTGTCCTACAATTGGGAAATTATGGTTATACGGAAGCAAAAATATTATAGAAAAAACAAATGTCGACCTTAGAAAAAGTGTTTAAGGAATAAGATAATAGGGAAGAGTTAAAAAGAAACAAATAAAATAGTGTACCTTAAAGTGTTTTAACAATATAAATAATGTGCACCTGGAGAATAAATAACCAAAATACAGCTATAGATGGATATTTGAAAATAGCAGCAACATCAGAGATCAAAATGAGAGCAGCATGTTATTTAACTGACTAAGATAGAAACTGTGCAAAATCAGCATACATTTTACAGCTTATTGAGGTTGTTGTGAACTGTGATGGATATAAACTCTTACAGCTGCTGGGAGGAAGGATTTATGATAACACTCCTTGGTGCATTTAGGGTGCAGCAGTCTGTCACTGAAGGAGTATATTTTTATGCTCTTAATTAGCATTTCATTTTCTTTGGGACTTGGCCTGGTTTGACTGAAGACCTGTTGTTTGTCTTAAAGCTGTGCTATCAGTTATTTATCATGTATTGAAAATCTGCAATGCATTCATATTCTTTTTAAAGTATTCCTTTTTTTTTTTTTTGGTATTCCTATTGAAATACAAACAAATGAGATGTCTGATATTTATCTCTTTTTCAACCATTACACTTTTTGATACCCACCTGATCATGGAAGGAGGTGTTAAGGGCATTCATGAGATGAACATTTTGATATTTTGCTCTGGTAGATGAACCTTTAAAATACAAACACACAATTAACACAGGAAGGCACAATCAGTTTAAGCATACACAACTCCAAAGTAGTACCATACCAACAATGTTTTCCAGGAGCTTAACCAATTCTGCAGGATCATTTTTAGGGTCATCAGGGAAAGCCTGGCTGAAAAAGTTCTTTCCTTGCATCAGACTTGCCAATGGAGATGTCTTTGGTAAATTGGCAGACCTGATATATAAGTACAAAAATAATTAGAATATAGAATATTCATTCTCAATTGGATGGTAAAAATAGCAACTTGTTTATTTTCTAACTTAAAAAGAAAACAGTGAACCCCATTCAACATTTCGTGTTGAATTTGCTGGAATTAAACCTAAGAGATGTTATTCCTTTTGGTACATACAATGTTTCTTTCTAGATATCATTAAGACACCGTTTAAAACAAATGCTAGGGATTAAGGCAAAACTAGAGTTTTGATAAGTAAATTAAAATACAGAATTATTCAATATTTCATTTTAATCTAAGGGCATTTCTGCATAAGGAATCTCTATCCTCTGAAAGATGTAAGTTTGTTGAACCAACCCCAAGCCATAGAAAGACCAACACAAGGGCTAGTAAGAACAGTTCACTGTGTGTCAGGGCAACATTTGAGGCTCTCTTGCCAGAACTCCGTTTAGTAAAAAATAAAGCAAAAACATAGGAATGATTTTATACATTTAACTGTTGTATCAGATTGGAACAGATCAGTAGCAAGTATCTAATCTTCTGTGACTGTGAGTCGTATCAGGGAAAAACTAAAATATTGAGCAGAATATCCAAGATCTTTAACATTAAATATTTACAGTGGTAAAAGAAAAAAGTAATGGAGATGGAAAATTAAATACCAACTTGGGCTTGCCAGTTTAACCCTGTAATCACAGTAGCTTGAAATGAACAGCTTTGCTTATTAGCATGACTTTGCAATCCTATCCACTCGACACAAAAGGTTTTCCTTGTGCTTACAAACCTGTTAGCTGGCCTTGGTATGCATAACTTGCTCAGGAAGACCCTACCCTTTTCTGCCCTGTGACTGTTTCAAAGAGGTTCACTCAAAATAATGTCTGTTTAAATATGATTAGATATGATATAAAACTGTAAAAATTTTCACAGCTTTGGTTAGTTTTTATGACCGTACTGTGCATCCTTAATTCTGAGGAAAAAGTAATAACAAATGGATGTCTTTTTCTATGTATGAGGAAACCTTGTTAATGTCAGACTTTGTTATTGAATATCCAAACCCAAGATGAAGGCGGGCATCCTGAAAAACTGGTTTGTCTACCAGCTGCCCCCATTTAGACTGGTAGCATGTAACCTGGTTTCTTTTTTTCGCACTTTATCCATTAAATGAAACTTAATTATTTTCACTAAAGAGCTATTTTTTTAAGAAAATAAAACAGAAATAATAACAAAAAACAAGTGAAGCACTTATCATTTTCTTCAACAAATGTATGTCAGTTTGTGGTGATCACACACATTTTTTTTATTTTTCCAAAGATCCAAGTAAAGGTATAATAGAAAGGTTACCTCCGTTCCCTTGATGACTTTGATGCCTCTGAGTGTGCCAAGCGAGATGTGTTGTGACATTTGCTGTCTGTGTTGCAGAGGAGGGTTTGCAGGAAAGGGAAGAAGCCTGTGCTCGGTAGGTTCCGGGGTCCAACATAGCCTAGAGGAATTAAACGTTTTTCTAATTAGATTTAGATGCATATAAATATTGCTTTCAACAAATTAAATGCTAAGAAACCAGAGAAGTCAGACATGTTTTTTTTATTTAAAAAAGAAAACATCTTAGAAGCAACAATGCTATGGAATTTTTCAGTATCTCTTTTCATATTTTCCCCAATAGATAAAACAAAGCAAAAGATGTTATGCAAAATGAACGCTATTGTTTGTTGAAAAAAAACAATCTTTGCTTTTGGTACAGTGCAGAACAAAAGAGAACTGACATGTGATGATTGGCAAGATCAAGTTGCTGTGAAAGAGGAATTACCACTATTCATGGAACAACGCGTTCCTGGTATTAATTCTGTGTTGCTCACAGCATTGCTTACTGAGTCACACTGATTTTAAATGTTATGGTGAAACTGAAAAGACAGGTGACCTCTGGAAAAATAAAAAGTATTGCATAAAACCTTGAAAGTTATGACAATTACATTAAAAAATTATGTATTTATATATAGGTATATATAGTTTAATTTCTCCAATGTGAGATCAATAAAGTTCAATTTACTTTATTTATTATCAATTTATTTGTTTTTGGTGTATTACTGTGGATATGTCTAGAACATATAAAAGAAAGCACACTTTGTTAAAGTGAATAGTTTTCTTTATATTCAGTGTGAGTCATTTTTCAATTCAGTTTATTTATACATTGTCAATTTACAACATGTTTCCTCAAGGCACCTTATAAAAATATGATTTGGTTAAAACCATTTTTTTCAAGTCCAAGTCAAGCGTACACATTTCAGCAAATCTGAGGTATCAGACAATATGGCCGCATAAAAAAAGCCATTTTCCACTACCGACTTGGGGTATGGAACATTGATCTAGGATTATTGTTTATTATTGAAGAAAGGTTAATGGACATACTGACTTCTTAAATATGCTCTAATGAGAGTAGGCTAAGGCGCATAAGAGCATTTCACCAGTGTTTTCTTATGCTGTTTCCAATCCAGATATTAACACTGATTTTTTGATTACAGGCTGCATTTTTACTTCAATACCAAAAAAAAAAATTATCATATGTTTGGGAACTAAGTCAACACTTGGTAACTGGTCATTTTTCAGCCCTCTTTCAATACCTGCATTTTCAACTTGGGCTGAAAATGGGCACCCAAAAGAATGTCTACGCCACTCCTTCCGAAAGCTAAATTTTCCAAAGTAATAGAATAAATAAAAGCATACAAATGTCAGTTCAATATTTGCATAACCAGCTTTGTTTAGAAGGGGAGTTGGTATTGGGAGTTCAATTCTTTACTTGTTTGCTTAGATTAAGAAACTTTAAAGTCCTTAAGCATAAAGCCACTGACTACATTGATTGACAGCAAAGTAATGAAGTTATGCATATTTTAATCCTGACGTCTCAGCTTCATATAAATGTATTCTTAGGTTTCTACAGAACCTGAGGGTAATTTTGGACTGACCCTTTTGCTCATTTCAAATACAAAAAAAGAAATTGACAACAGCTAAAAAGACACTTGGGATACAATTCATATAAATGTAGATTTCATAAATAAAAATATAAAGCTTTAGGAAAGTGCCCACAAAAATTAAAAACTGTTTTACTTCTACTGCCTTTGGCTAAACGTTCTGTATAAATTCTTGATCTAATGGCATTTAACATTCATAAGCTTTTGATTAACTTCTGTAAATCCCTTTGAAACTTTATTTGCTGCAATCTTATACTTACATGTATCTTTTACAACTGGAGTGAAATGGTGACGAGTCACAGCTATGAGGATGAAGATGATCAAAGGCCAGGTAATCAGGGTAATGGACCATAACTATAAAATAAGAGATCATAAGCATCAGTAAAGTTATATCATTTTAGGGACTGTAATCCAACTGCAAGTTTAATGAAATATTTTTTTGTTGTTGTTTTGTTTGTCTCTCAACAGGACAGGCACCCACCGGCTGTCTGATGACGCCCAGTCCATTCTTCCAGAGAAGAAGTTTCAGTTGTCTGAAGAAGGCCATCAGCTCAGGAAGGCTAAAAAACAGATGAAAGATAATTACATCAGTTCAGGGACTTTGTTCATCATTAGTTTTTAGGCTAAAGTATATGAGGTCTTTCTACTTAGCACTAGAAATATATTTGAGGGTTTCAGTCACAGCATAGTGATACTGAAGAAAAACTATAAACAAATTATGTAAGGACAGAAATTTAACATAAACCAACTATTTGTTCCTCAACAGGGCTACAACCTTCATATGCTTCCTTTTAATTGTATGCAGATAAAATTGTAATATATGTTACTAAAAAGGTAAATATAAATACCTGAACTATGGTGTTCATCTATGTTTATATTTCCATTGTGAGAGTTAGTGTTTAACTAAACTGAAGCAGAAAATAGCATTTCGGGAACTGGTATTTCATGTGGTATTTATTAACATCTAACCCTGAAGCACGGCTATGAGAATCTCCCCAAATACAATTCATGATCTTTTACTTCCAAGTTTAGAATCTATAGGTGTTAAACAATGTTAAATGATTCTACTATCAATATTTAATACTGAAGTGTTACTCTATTAAAAAACTTTTATCGTTTGTTTTTGTTGTGAAATAAATACAAAATGGTTGATGAGAACTTTGTAATTTAGAATTTCAACTTCAGTCTTCATTTTTTCAACCTGAAATTTTAAAATTTAATTTTAAGAACATAAATGATATCCTCAACAAAGTCGTCCACCTCAGCAACCTGGCTAAAAATAGTCAGACATTTCCAAGCAGTTTACTATCATATTGTAATTCTTCTTTTAATAAAAGGAAGAGACATAACCTTGTGTAGAATCAGCTAAAACTAAAACATTAAAAGAAAGTGAGCTTTTCTTGTTTTTCTCTTTTTAATCAGCATATAGAAAGTATTCGTAAGTATTGCTATATTTTTGCTTAATAATACATTTTGTTGTAAGAATAAAAATTTGACCTACCTGAGCACCGTTTTTCTTGTAATTCTCTTCAGGTTTATCGCTATCTAGGTGATTTCCGCAGGCTTAATATGAAGGACATCTTGCTGCAGGAGGTAAATCCCTAACAAGATGCTCTTTCCATCAGGACTTTGTTAAAGAAAATAGAAAATCCTGAAAAAAAAGTCAAAGATTAAATTTCATAACCAGAAAATGTCCTTTAATGACTCTGCAGAGGTATGGCAATAAGAACCCTTACCTTGCTTAAAGCCACTGTAGTTCTGAGGGTGACAAACACTTTCTTTGTACTGGTTGATCAGTGAAAGGGCGTGTACTCTGACTGTGTTCTCAACAGGAAAAAAAAACACACACACACACGCGCAAAAAAAACAGCACTTCCTTGAACAAACAGACCAATAGAAATTAGATGCAGATGGTGGATCTGTGATGTAATATTTAAATTAAACTAAACACAGTTCTATGATCTAGCGTTAGAGAGCAGGTTTTAACATTTAAGTTTGCCATGGTAAGCACTATAACTTGAATCATAATCCTGTGGATACTCATATAAATATACATAAATGTAGTACAGAGATAGATTGTGTAAGATATATTACAAGAGACAGGAGTTTTAAGGTAATACAAGCCATTATTCTTTATACTTAAAGGTACCATTATGGCACAAATGCATCAAATAACACAGTCTGTCTGTAAGCTGTTGTTAAGACAGTAATGGTCCCCAGAGGCCTTAGTCACACAATATCACGGAAAGAAATCCACCGGGATAAATTAACCCTCCTTTATATCTAAGATACACGGTACAGAGCATTAAATCTTAGTAAATGATGAGAGTTACAAAGGTATAGAAACAGTGTTTGCAAAGAAAAAAGATATTAATTTTAAGTTGAAACACTGTTCCTCATACCAACACATAACAAAGACAAAGCTATTTCCCTGAACTTTCAACCAGACTCGCTAAACGAGCCATTGTCAAGCAGGTCGAGCAAGAAATACATTCTTTCCATTTACCAGATCTTTTGTATTAATGCAAACAGGAACATTCAGGGTTGGGCCTTTACAGTTTAGGGGACATATGACATATAGAAAAAACTGCTTCAAAAATGATTAAGGAAGCTTTGCTGTTTTTTTCACCCTGATATCATCATGTGAAAGTTTAAAGCCATCACAGGTTTATCTTTACTCATGACTTTCATACAGTATTTTGTTAGGTATTGGACTGATAGTATCTGAAACTTCCCATTAAAACTCTCAATCAAGTCTTGCAATTTCAAAACATCATTGACCACTTATTGGAAACAAATAAATATAGTGTTGAATAAAGTACATGATCATGAAGAACTTATTTAATACATTTGGTTACTAAGAAACATTGTATTAATTAATTACACACAGACAGGTGTTTTCAAGCCTTTATTTTTGGCCTTTTTGATGCTTTTCTTTTAACATTTTTAATATCACCCTGATGATGAATCCTTTCAGCTGCTCTTTTCTTCCGAGGTTGCCACATCAAGTCATTACAGCTTGAACACAGACTTAGCAGTTTTAAGGCCAGATGCCCTTTCTGTTGCATTCGGTATTCAAAACAAGTCAAAGATCCACTTCATCATGAAGGACTAAGAATATCACATTAAACTGATGAAAAAGAAACAAAAATACACCTTGAATACAACAATACTGGCCTAATGAAAAGTATGTTTAAAACCTGCTAAAAGGTCTTTCAGAAAAATCAGCTTTACATAACCATGATTATCAAACATAATTTACCTCTAATTAAATAAGTGCTTTCTTAGAAGGCAGATTATCTGATTTCTTGCAGCATTAGTCATCTTATCTGCTGGTGTTGATTAATCATGTGTTCTTTCATACTTTAATAATAAAGGAGTTGATATCTGACAGATGTGATTTCATTAAAATCCAGAAATGTAAATGTAAAGGTTTGGATGATAGTATCAAATACACTCTATTATTTTTGTAGGCTGTTGTTGAGATGGTGTGGTTGTCCACTGGGATCAGACAACAAACAGTATCACGAGGAAAATCAACTGGGAAAAGCTGACTTTTTTCCCTCATGCATTCACCTTGCACAGCTAAGGTAAAGGAAACACGGCTTTAAATCCCCATGTAGGGATTGATGGAAGCTTTAAAGGTTTAGAAAGTACAGACATAATTCTGTTATATTTATAAAATTCAAATAAGCTTTCAAGAGGTTGTCAGAGCAACAGCCACATTCTTTCCTTTCATTAGCAAAAGCTATATCATCATCATCTCAATAACCTTGTTCATAAAAACCTCAGGGTTGGGCCTTACTGGATTCTAGGTGAAATGGCCATCTTTTCTTTGTGAAAGTCATGAAGTCATGAGGTAGCCATCTGAAACATTCCTTTAAATGTAGTACTTACCATCTATTTCTTCACCTTTCTCACCTTTTAACATTTACTAAACTCTGAAACACTCTCTCTAGAAAATATCCATATATTTTTAAAGAAAACTCTTTGTTAATTTCAGATCTAGTTTTTCTCCCCCAGTTATTTTATATACCGTACCAGGCTAAAATAAAAAAGGTTTGTAATAAGAAATTATGTTATTTTAAGATGATGTAATTAACAGTAAGGAACACTGCTAAACTGAAAACCCTTTACTTAAATACTAATCATCATGCTAACATGTCTTTCTAAAAAAAATCTTCTAAAATTTAGACTTGTTGTCCACCCGTTGATATTCTAATTTTTTAGAATTTTTGTTTTTCAATAGTTGCAACTCTTAATAATTAGATAGACCTAAATAAACACTAGAAACACATCACTAATCAATAGAAATGTATTCTAAAGTTTCCCATTTTGAATTGGATTATTGAAATAAATCATCTTATTAAAGCATATTTCTTGTGTGGGGGTAAAAAATGCTTTTTATTTACTTGTATAGTTTCTTAAATACATTGTATAACGTTCCTTCTAGAAGCTTCTTGTGTTGTTCCTTCTTTTATCCTTTTGCTTTTTTTATTCTTAAAGCACATCATGAAAGATTCTTAAAGAGTAAAAAATATTTTAATAACATTACATTAAGCTAAATACAGAGACAATACTGCAGCACAGGCCATATTTCACTTCACCCTTTTGAGTTAAAAATACATATTTTCAAAATGATTTAGGAGGAATAACACTTTATGAAGGATTTACACTAACCATCTACCTAAATAAAACTGTATACAAATTGAATTTCTAAAGTTTACAATATTTAGCAGCAGAGTTTCAGCCTTTTAAGCACGACCTGAATACACAGTGGCCATCTAACAGTGGAACCAATACAAATAAAATACTGTAACAGGTGTTTTTTTTTTTTTTATGAATCTGTATGAAGTAATGCCCCTCTTGGCACTAGTGTTTCTGGAAAGGCAGAGTTAAAGTTAGTAGACGATTTTCCAGTGTGTGGGCTGTTCACAGTTTTTCTCTGAGTCTCCACAGAAGCGGTTGTATGTCGTTTTGGGGTCAAACCCCAAGATTTCCCTCTCTTCGTGGATCCGGAAAGAGAAGGTGGACACAGATGTACCGATAAAGAACCTGGAAACAAGTGATTAAAGATATACATGAAGCACAGCTGGGGAAAAAAGGCATATAAAGTTGCTTGAGAATGTTCCGTGATGAGGTGAGAAACAGCATGAGTCACTGAGACCAGTGGATCAGGTTAAGGGATTTTCATTCATCACATGATGATGTGGCTGAAACATCTGAGATATTTGAAGTTAAGCTAAATGTATTGTATGAGGTTTCTATTCATTACCAAAACACAATGCTCTTATGCAGAAAAAGGATTAAAACAACTATTGGATGGATTAAATTTTGATTTCAGAAGTGGGCGGGGGCGCAAGTATTTATTGATATAACTATTATATATAAGTTATTTCTAATGATTCTTCTGTTTGTTTCCTCCATAATTTCTGACAAATTATATTGATGCATGACATGATCAATTGGGCAATTTGGGGTACATTGATCCATCTAGATTCAAAAAACATAGTTTTACTATTATTATGAGCATGGATATAAAAAAAGCACATTCAGAGATCGTATTTCTATCCTTTTTTGATGATAATAATATATAACTGTAATACATTTGATGTATCAGAACTTTTAATAAAATGAATATAATTTACAAGGTTACTGAGAGCTTTATAATGCGGTGAAGGATCTTGAAGTGGATATGCCAGGAGTTGTAGGGGGTTGTTACACAGCTCTTTGAACGTAACTGACACTTCGACTTTTAAAAAAGAATCTTATGTCTTCCTTAAATTTTTCAGACATCCTGGCTGTGAGTCAAATAACCACACATATGTGCACACGAGACCAATTTAAAGATCCATGTAAATGAATACACCATAAATGACAACCCTTCTAGATTAGGTTAGGTGCATAATTTACAGTAGCATCTTTTGCAGAGCCACATTGTTCTACAAGACCTTTCATGGACCCGATTCAGTAGCACATCAGATATTTGTAAAGCGAGCTTCTCATGAGTGACAGTGGTGACAGCTAATAACACAAGAAAAGACGCAGGTCCAATCAGGAGCTTGTGGCTGGGACTCAGGTAAACGGGCTCCAGCTTGAGCGGCGGTTTTTCACTTGGTCCTAGTGCTCGACTATTGTCTGCGTACTATAGCGTAACATTGTTTTATTTGGACAGTAAAAATTGCAGGGGACATGTCCCCTGTATCCCTTGCCCCCCAAATTATGTCAGTGGGTGACATATTCGTTTTTCAGAAAGTATTGAGAATGTAATTTGGCTTTGAGGCCTAATATTGCAACTTCAGCAAATTAATTCACCGTTTAGATTTAAACCTAAAACTGTTTTAGTTTAGCCTATTAGTATGCTTGTAGTGCTACTGTGACAATACAACGCAAAGATCAAGTGACACATATTTTGATCTTGATGTTAAAAACATGCTTAACAATAATGTCTGAATTTCATTCAGCTCTCTATAACATAAATCCTCTTCCAATATTTTCTTTAAAAAAATGTCCTCCTTTTCTGTTAAAGCAAAAGGTTCGTAGGTCTGCGTTTAAGTCTACATGAAGTGTATATACTGTATTTCAAGGTTATTTCAGTTACTAGAGACTATCAATTATTCAAAGTCTGGAAAAAGCTAAAAGAATGTTTATCATCTTAAACAGAAGACAGTCGAATACAACCTGTTATGAAAATTATTACCTTGCATGAGCGCATATCCACTGGTCAATAATAGCAACTCCTCCATCTCTGAGCAACTCCAAGTCGTCTTTGGTTGGCTCAAAGCGCACCATCTCTGGCAACAATCTTTTCAGCTCCCTGATTTCTAGATGGATGAAACCACAATTACCAGATTTATTTATTTATTTATTTTGGATGAATCAATGCTTTAATACAATAAATGTAATACAAATCATACTTTTTAACCTGGGATGGAAGATAACAAAAAAAAAAATCATAGATTCTATATTAATATACTCCAAGTATAACATTTTTTTTCTTCAAAATGACTTCTTTGAGATAAGCTAGTCTGCATTACCTTCTCCATCTGCATCAGTGGCAACAAAAACCGTCTGAAGTTTGTGTTTCTTCATTAAACTTAGTATTTTTTTAGCCGCCCCTTTCAGGCTAGGCACATCATCTCTGTGACCCCAAATGAAGTCCTTTCTGCGAAGATGAACAGCTAGATATGGCCCTCCTACAGCAGAGCCGGGCTTGGCCTGATAGGATATAAAAAAAAATATATATATATGTTTTAACTGGTGCATTATTCTTTCTTTGAGATATAACCCGTTTCCTTTTCGACATCATCAGAATCAGTAAAAAACATTTAAAACCACACTAAAACCACAGACTTCAATATTTTCAATCAGGTTTTTGAGATTGACAAATGCAATATAGTGAATATCTATGATCTTTAAGAAAAATGAAATGTACACAAATAATATTCTGAAAGTTGTGGTCTGCATTGGTACAGTGGGTACAGAAAGTATTCAAACCCCTTTAATTTTTTCAGGCTTTGTTTCATTGCAGCCATTTGCTAAAATAAAAAAAGTTAATTTTATTTCTCATTAATGTACACTCAGCACAACATCTTGACAGAAAACAGAAATGTAGAAATTTTTGCAAATTTATTAAAAAAGATAAACTGTAAAACAAATGGTTATAAGTATTCAGACCCTTTGCTGTGACACTCATATTCAATTCCCATGCTGTCCATTTCTTCTGATCCTCCTTGAGATAGTTCTGCTTCTTTATTAGAGTCCAGCTGTGTTTAATTGAACTGATTGGACTTGATTAAGAAAGGCACACACGTTTTTTATATAAGGCCTTACAGCTGCAGGGACAGGATGTCTGGTTGCAATTGAAGGAAAAATTAATGCGGCCAAGTACAGAGATATCCTAGAAGAAAAGCTCTTCCGAAGCGCTCAGAACCTCAGACTGGGCCAAAGGTTCACCTTCCAACAAGACAATGACCCTTAGCACACAGCTAAAATAACAAAGGAGTGGCTTGGGAACAACTCTGTGACAATTCTTGACTGGCCCATCCAGAGCCCTGTCCTGCGCCCAATTGAACATCTCTGGAGAGACCTGAAAATAGCCATCCACCAATGCTCACCATCCAACCTGACAGAACTAGAGAGGATCTGCAAGGAAGAATGGAAAAGGATACCCAAATCCAGGTGTGAAAAACTTGTTGCGTCATTTCCAAGAAGACTCATGGCTGTACAAGCTCAAAAGGGTGCTTCTACTCAATACTGAGCAAAGGGTCTGAATACTTATGACAAATTGATGTTTCAGGTTTTCTTTTTTATTAAATTTGCAAAAGTTTCTATATTTGTTTTTTTTCCCACCAAGATTGGTGCTAAGTGTAAATGAATGAGAAAAAATGAAATTAACTGTATTAATTTTAGAAAATGGCTGCAATGAAACAAAGGGTAAACATTTTAAAGGGGTATGAATATTTTCCATAGTCACTGTAACACTCCAATCAATACTTTGTATAACCAGGTTTTAATGCTCCAAGTCTTCCGGTTTTCCCAAAGATCAGTCAGGCTGAAACTAGAATGTTTCAACATACATTTGCAAGTCCGATTTTTTCCATTGGATTTCGTCTAGACTCTAGACTAAATCTAGACTGCTTCAAAAGGTTTATATAGGGTGTCTTTCAGCAATTGAATTTCCACCCCCCTCAGAATGCCGAGCTTACATGTTCAAACAACACTGACAATTGAAATGTTGCTATAAATAGAGAAGGACAGTATCATATTGTTTGTTATCTACTAAGAAAAGAAATACTGATAATAGAATGAACACACACTAACGGTGTTTACCATATCTCCAACGCTGTTTCATTTTATATTTCAGAATTTGATTGCATTGTATTTGATTGTATTCTTGTTACCCATCCATTAATGTAAAGAAAATATACAGCCTGAATACAATTACCAAAGGCTCGCCTTTTCTAGATGGGTGTTAGCTGGCAAAGATTTAATACATTTTGTGGTTTCTGTTTTCTTTGCCAATGGTCCATACCATGTATTCATTATTTCTGATTTCTTGTCTGACAGGGTAGTCATTATATAGTATAATACATTACATAATTCACCCACTTTGAATGAGTACATCACACAGCCCACTTCAAACAGGCTTATACTGTACATCAATGGAAAAGTAAATATCAGACATGAGGTAAACATTTCAGGCTGTCAAGATTTCCATGAAGAGGAATAATCACACAAATCACAGCATAATAGGATACACAATGACTCACTCTCATGCGGGTCCAGTCTTCATTATATGCTGTATGATCTCGATCATCTGTGGAGTTCAGATATTTTGCTCTGAAGTCATCTCCTATTAGTCGCAGGTGTTTGGCAAAAACCATGCTGCGGCGGGTCTAAATGAAGTGAAATCTGTTTTAAAAATACTTCTAGATAACAGACAACAAACTTTGGCTCTCTTAGCATGCAGTCAAAGGACATTTGCATTTCTATGAGAGAAAAGAACTTCTTCCAGATTTGGTCTTCACCACTGTTATGAAGAAAAAAAGAAAAGAAATATACATTTCCTCTACACAAAAGGTCTAAAATAGGATTTTTCGACTTACATCCCAGTAGTCTTTTCCAGCATAGTGATCATGTAGAAGAGTCTCTGCTCTATCAAGCATGACTGAGCTAAAAATAAAACAAAAAGAATAAAAAACAGAACAGAAAATAAACAAGTTTATTCAGTCCAATTGTCAAGAGGTCAAAGAGTCGTACAAAGAAGTCCTTGCTAACGAACAGAGAACAGGTTATGGGAAACCATGGGGAACCTTTGGTAAGCTCTTGGTTCCGTTAAAACTCTTCCTTATTGGTATATAAATGTTGTTAGAAATTATGTCACTAATTTGTAATTTACCAACATTTCTAGTTATGTTTGAAATCAAATAGAAAGTTAAAACCTTTTCACTTGACAACTAGTTAAAGGCAGAAAACGTGTGTATGTGTAAGTCTGTAAAAATAAAAAATAAATAATAATAAATATATATATATATATATATATATATATATATATATATATATATATATATATATATATATATATATATATATATATATATTTATTTATTATTATTTATTTTTACAGACATACACATACACACATTTTCTGCCTTTAACTAGTTGCCAAGTGGAGAGGTTTTAACTTTTTATTTGATTTCAAACATAACTAGACATTTCGGTAAATTACAAATTAGTGACAGCATTTCTAACAACATTTATACACCAATAAGGAAGAGTTTTAACGGAACCAAGAGCTTACCAAAGGTTCCTAGGTTCTCACTGAATGTGCGATAACTGGCACTGAGCAAATACACATCTTGACTGTTTAAGTCTTAAGTTTTTTTTTTTTTGCATATTTGCAACAATGGGCATTCAAGGGATTAACACAAACAGAAAAAAGTCCAGCATGTCATCTGATAGAGAACAGTTTTTAACCCCAGAGAAAATGAAGGTATTAAGAGATTATTCTAATCTATGCATCACAGGGCATGCCTCAAACCTTTATTAGATTGGTATTAGAATAAAGAAAAGGGCTGTTAAAAGTACGTGTATTTTTGCTGAAATTCGTACTTTTGGTGAGTTTATTTAGAATTTGAGTATTTTAGAAGTCCTTATGTTTACAATAAGGGGAAGTTTATCTGTGAACTTACGTTGCTGTGAAGTTTTTTTGAAGAACTGGAGCCATGATAGACGCATGGCCTTGAGCGGATAAACACGTTACGCTTCGAGCCCTTGTTTCTTCATAGCCCCAAAACCAGCCCCTGCAGAAACCCACATGCAATTATGAAGATGACAGGAAAGAGAAGCAAAACATAGAAATGTGATATTCATATACTGCAGTAAATGTGACCTGAAAGTGTCTAAGAAATATTTCTGTTTGACTTTCCATTTTATAGGGGTAAATTATTCTTCTCTGTCATTTCTGTGGTGCTCTCAATCTGGTTAACAATATATGAATATCCAGGCACTTGCTTAAACATCTTAGGGAGCAGGAGCTAAAGCCAAAAAAAAAAAAAAAAAAATCTCAGAAATCTAAAAATGCTTTAGTAAATAAAAATAATAGTTTGATATATTTTTGTAGCTTCTCTTCCAGTAAGATTATTATGAGGCAAATGCTGCACAAAATAATCAAGAATGAAATATAGCTCCGGGAATTGATGTCCCACAGCTAGCTGATAGGCCAACAGCTTTGCTTTCACCAGCAGACAAGTATGACTGTTGCCATAAGGTTCTGCTTGATATTTGTATATTCAAATTTATTGAGCATCTTTGCAAATATCTTAACAATAAATAAATACACTGTCAGGACCCAGAGCTGCTATCTGGAATAATAGACAAGAAATAAGTCTCTTTATTGTGAAGGCTGGATGAAAGGGTATTTGGTCTATAAGATATTGAATTAACGACAATTAAGGTTGGCTGTCCTATGAGGATTTTTGCTTACTGTTAAATTTATACTGCTCCTATGCTCCGTTTAACACTGTCATAAACTCTAATCTGGCAGCAAACACATCTTGCACACTATTCCCGAAGGTTTCAAATACAACTTCTGGAATAAACTGCCGGTCCTGCCGGTGCAGGAGACCCCATTTTGCAGGTCTGTAACAAAGGGTCCTGATAGCGCACGTCTGGGTCCTGACAGTACAGGTCTGCAGCCAGACTCTCTTGTTCAGGCTCCCCCCCCTCCATCCAGGGCCAGGGGACAACTGACCCAGTTGGGTAGTGGTATTAGTATTCAAACATTTCCCTGAAATCAGATAACCATGTGATAAAAGTACAAACAGCTTTGATAAACATAATAGTTGGTTTTGTACTTTTAAGAGATGATATTAAAGGATTTTAGTATAACTGTATATTATTTAGTTTAATTTCTATGGTGGATCGCAAGACCCCTTACTGGTTGATCAAGAGGGGTCTCGACCCAAACTTTGAGAATCAGTGGTTTAGACTATTGCAAGGAATTATATAGATGTCTGGCAAATATCAAAATGACTTTGATAGAAATTGATGGAAGAGAGGGTATGGTTTTACCGTCGGATATTGTTTGAAAGAATAAAAAAATATATCAGGCCCCAGTATAAAGGCTGCTTCTCTTATACAGGTAAAAAGGCTTGAGCTTGAACACAACTGTGGGACCTGTGTATATTCTCTGTATGTCCTTTTTTTTTTTTTTTACCTATAGTTCCCCTGTTTATCTTTGGTGTAAAGGAGCTTCTCAATGCAGGGGCGCTCATCAACCTTTTCCTCCCATTTTCCATCAGTCCATCCCTCTGCATAGTTTTGCAGCACAAGAACCGTATCTATGAATGGGCCTCCATTTTCTAAAATCAGGGAAAAAAGGATAACATTCCATTATTGGCACAATCAATAAAAAAAAAATAAAAAAAAAAAAACTATGAATTGTCTATAAATATGCAAATAAATGTACTCACCAGCCATAAATTCCTCATACTCAATAACTGGCACATTTGCTTGCAGACTGGTCAGGCTGAAGAACTCTCCCCATGGGATCCGAATCTGGTGAATATCAGGACTTTGCCAGTGATAGAGGCGACCCCACGGGGGAAGCACTAATACCCAGTCATCCCCCTCCTTCCTCAAAGTCTTCACCAGAGAGGCCATGCGGATATAGACATCTCTTCGCAAATTAAACCCTTCAGGGGGATTTACATCATATAAAAGGTATCTGTTCGAATAAAAAACAGAAGAACTTAACACAAAAATGAACTAAATTACTTATCAAGTTTACTTAAAAAACATCGGAACACATTTTATTGAATATTTTCCACTTTAGAAAAAAGTATAGATATCAACACTTGGCAAATAGACGTTTTGATTGCTGCAAACAGAAAATAATTACAAGGAAGCAGACGTGTGATTTAAGTTCTATGGAACTGTATTTAATCATTTATCTCTGGGCCGAATACAACTAAAGAAGAAATGTTTTTAATTACTCTTTTTAGGTGCACTCATACAGCATGGATACATATTTTAGGTAGAAAGATTTTATATTGATAACTTTTTCAATGGATTCGGGTGTATGTTTCTGAAGAGGGAGTGGGGATCAAAATAAAAACTTGAAAATGGAAGACTGTTGTCAGATGGGTACATAAAAAAAAACACCTACTAGAAAAAAGAAAATGCGATTGTTTGAAATTTAGCATTTCTCAGAAAGATGACGGTGTAACTCACCGTAGATCCCTTGCTGCAGAGACCGACACAGAAGCCGTTCGACTAGCACTGAAAACATCATCACACTTTATTGTTTCTATTGCTGCAAAAGCGACGAGTATGGACAAAAAAATAGAACTAAACAAATACGTTGGTGCCACACATATACCTGCCGTATGCAATGTGTTAAACGCCATTTTTTCCTCTCAGCCACGCCTTTCCGGAATCTGGTAAGGCGTCTGTATCGTTGCTGAGCAACCACCAATAAGAAGTCGCCAGATCACAGAAGAACGGAAACCGTAATATTATTATCGGAAGTGTACATATTTAGTTTTTTCTGTCTTAATTCAAAGAGACAGAATTTATTATACTTAGTTAAAGATATAAAGAGTTAGAGTGACATTCATGATCTTATGTTTTTGTGACTTGTTCCTTTGTTTTTTACATTACACAATCAACATACTTGGTATTCCATTACTTCAGATTAAATATGAGGAGAAATTACATCTTGGATTAGAAACGTATAGAAACGTTATTTATTATTGCCTTTCTACATATATCCCTGTCTCTGATAAGCACTTTATTAAATATAAGTAGACTTTTCTTGAGAACCAATGTCTCTGAAATGTTTTTTTGTATTTTGTGACATTAAAACTTCATATTTCAATAGTGTTTTGTTGGGATTCTATATATCAACTCAAAGTGGTATATACATGTTGGATATGAGTAAAACATGGCTTTAAAAACATTAACATCTGAAATATGTGGTATGCATCCATACTCAGCTTTCTTCTAATATCCCCTAAATAAACAATAAAATCAAGCATCCAAGATAATTCTGAAGAAGCTGTGAAGAGCCAGAGAAAAAGATAATCTGCTGGTATGACAAAAACAGAGGTGCACGTCACAATCTGGCCTTAGAACTTTACATTTTCTTCTCACACATAAAAGTAAAACCCAAAATGTTTCTGCTGTGAAAAAAAGAACACTAAAGGGAAATTAACACTTTTGCAAAAACTAGTTCAGCTTTATATAATTTACATTCATTTAGTAATAAATTGTTATGGTGTAAACATGAAAACAAATTTTTAATGTTTGATTAAAATCCTTCAAAACCTGCTGCATGTCCAGGTGTGTCTTTTGAAGATCAATTTTATTCATTTTGCTATAAGAATACTTAGAAATAAGAACCATGAATATTTCTTTCAGCCAAATGCATATGCTGCAGCTTCATAAAACCTATGTACTTTGATCGATTTGTAACACAGACGTTACTACGCTGTTTCACTTTACATAAATATCTAGTACTTCAAATGAAAATACCTGTTCCAAACCTTAAAGCTGCCTTCAGTACATACAGAATCCAGTTAAAAATTGTGACTTTACCTTGGATTTGGCTTTAAATACACAAAAATACAAACCTAATGTATTTTCAGAATAAGCTTTTATTGAGCAATAATACCTTTTGAAATTCAAATAGCACATCACCAAGTTTTAATGTTTTAATAAGGATAAATGAAGACCCAAAACAAACCTAAAATAATAATTTTCATAAGAACAGGAAACAGGACAAATACAGGTTTAAAACTGTGATTAAAAGAAACCAAATATTTGTGAATTTTAAATTTACACCTAAGTGGGTTCCTCTCGTAAATAAAAAAGTAGTATTTTGATTCTTTTTTAATATTCATCATCTTCCTCCTCTTCATCAAATGAGTCGACGCCAACTTCTTCGTAATCCTTTTCCAAAGCAGCCATGTCTTCTCTGGCCTCAGCGAACTCTCCCTCCTCCATTCCCTCTCCAATATACCAGTGGACAAAGGCTCTCTTGGCATACATGAGATCAAACTTGTGGTCTAGTCGAGCCCAGGCCTCAGCGATTGCTGTGGTGTTGCTCAGCATGCACACAGCTCTCTGCACCTTAGCCAGGTCTCCTCCAGGAACCACAGTTGGTGGCTGGTAGTTGATGCCAACCTTAAAGCCTGTGGGGCACCAGTCCACAAACTGGATGGTGCGTTTAGTCTTGATACTGCTGATGGCTGTATTTACATCTTTGGGCACAACATCACCACGATACAGCAAACAGCATGCCATGTATTTACCATGACGTGGGTCACACTTCACCATCTGATTAGCCGGTTCAAAGCAGGCATTTGTGATTTCAGCAACAGACATCTGCGCATGGTAAGCCTTTTCGGCAGAGATAACTGGAGCATAGGTAGCCAGAGGGAAGTGGATGCGAGGATAAGGCACCAAGTTTGTCTGGAACTCTGTCAGGTCAACATTCAGAGCTCCATCAAAGCGAAGGGATGCTGTGATTGAAGACACAATCTGACTGATGAGACGGTTTAGATTAGTATAAGAAGGACGTTCAATATCAAGGTTCCTGCAGCAGATATCATAGATGGCTTCATTATCCACCATGAAGGCACAGTCAGAGTGCTCCAGGGTGGTATGGGTGGTCAGAATGGAGTTGTAAGGCTCTACTACTGCAGTGGAAACCTGGGGGGCTGGGTAGATGGCAAACTCAAGCTTTGACTTTTTGCCGTAGTCGACAGAAAGTCTTTCCATGAGCAGCGAGGTGAAACCAGAACCTGTTCCGCCACCAAAAGAGTGGAAAACCAAGAATCCTTGGAGACCAGAACACTGATCAGCCTGTAGGTGTGAAAACACATAAACACCAATCAAATCCTTCTCCTACTGCTTGTATACTTTTCTTACTTGAAATTTTGTTGAGTCTGACTGGATAAAAAATCATTGCCATTTTAATTGAATCTTTAATTTTTCTTGAATATAGTTCCATATAAAAAAATGTGTTAGTTACCAGTTTGCGGATCTTGTCCAGGACAGAGTCAATAATCTCTCTGCCAATAGTGTAGTGACCCCGAGCATAGTTGTTAGCAGCATCTTCCTTTCCAGATATCAGCTGTTCAGGGTGGAAGAGTTGACGGTATGATCCAATTTTTATTTCATCTGATAGTTTAGAAGAAGAAAGTTTGAAAAAGAAGAGGAGAACCATTTGTGTCGTTATTAGAAATAATTTTTTAAAATAAATACAGTAAATGAATTAATCCACCATTATATGCATCAAATAAAAAAATACTTATTTAATACCTGGCCGAAATATCGAGCAAACATTGTTTTCAATTTCACTCTTAAACCTACTATAATTTATATGCTATTATTCTAATTCTTTATACTACCAGATGTTTCTCCTTCAATTTCTTACAAATTTTAGTTCATTTATTTCTGAACATAGATGTATTCACTCCTCTACACTAATTTAGCACCTTTAAACTTTTCTGATAAGACTTTTTTTGTTGTTGTTGTTGAATTAAAGCCTAGTAAACAAGGCAAATACCAATCACTAGTGATGGGTTAATGAGGCATCTTGAAGTGTTTCGACACATGGATACTGTCTAACAGAATACTGACACCTGCTGGACCTTTAAAGACACTACAGGCACCTTATTTGACAGACTAAACTGAATTGATTTGATGACCTAGTAGCACAATGATATAATTCAACTTATCATAGGTTATATTGGATTATTTCATATCTATGTTTAAATTTAAATGATCTTTGATATTTTTAGATGCATCCAATAACATTTATCATATTGTGAATATTTAGGGGAAAATGTGAATGAGGATGTTTAAGGACTAGGCTTCTAAATCATAATTTTAAAACAACAAGTACAGTAAAAACAGTAAATAAACTAAGAGTAAATTTGAAATGAACTTTCATTTTAGATAAGTTGAGCGATACCTGAGAGAAAAAGTATGCCACAAGGAGAAAATCTAAAATGAAACGTTTCTATTCCCTTAAGGCTGCTCTTAAATTCTTGATAATTTTAATGATAAACCGCGAAAGATGAGAAATATTTTAGCAGATGAATTATGTTGACAGCTATGTTTTTAAACACAGTTTAGTGTGTCAGTCAGTAAGAAACAACTCCTGTACCGGTGACATCGGTCACAACTTTACACCCTTGTTTTTCCTCTTTCAACGATGTAATCATGGATTCTAATGACAAAAAATTCTATAGCAGCAGGGAAGGATACAGCCTCCTTCACTGCCATGTTTATTTTACTGTGGCCTCTGCAAATCTTGCTTTCATCACAGCTATACAGGTGCTGGTCATAAAATTAGAATATCATGAAAAAGTAGATTGATTTCAGTAATTCCATTTAAAAAGTGAAACGTGTATATTATATTCATACATTACATACAAACTCATATATTTCAGATGTTTATTTTGTTTAATTTTGATGATTACAAATGACAACAAATGAAAATCTCAAATTCATCATATCAGAAAATTAGAATATTGTGAAAAGGTTCAAAATTAATGGCCCCTGGTGCCACACTCTAATCAGCTAATTAACTCAAACCACCTGCAAAAGCCTTTAAATGGTCTTTCAGTCTAGTTCTATAGGCTACACAATCATGGGGAAGACTGCTGACTTGACAGTTGTCCAAAAGACGACCATCGACACCTTGCACAAGGAGGGCAAGACACAAAAGGTCATCGCTAAAGAGGCTGGCTGTTCACAGAGCTCAGTGTCCAAGCACATTAATAGAGAGGCGAAGGGAAGGAAAAGATGTGGTCGAAAAAAGTGTACAAGCAAGAGAGATAACCGCACCCTGGAGAGGATTGTGAAACAAAACCCCTTCAAAAATGTGGGGGAGATTCACAAAGAGTGGACTGCAGCTGGAGTGAGTGCTTCAAGAACCACCACACACAGACGTATGAAAGACATGGGTTTCTGCTGCCGCATTCCTTGTGTCAAGCCACTCTTGAACCACAGACAGCGTCAGAAGCGTCTTGCCTGGGCTAAAGAGAAACAGGACTGGACTGCTGGTGAGTGGTCCAAAGTCATGTTCTCTGATGAAAGTAAATTTTGCATTTCCTTTGGAAATCAAGGTCCCAGAGTCTGGAGGAAAAGAAGAGAGGCACTTCATCCACGTTGCTTGAAGTCCAGTGTAAAGTTTCCACAGTCAGTGATGGTTTGGGGTGCCATGTCATCTGCTGGTGTTGGTCCATTGTGTTTTCTGAGGTCCAGGGTCAACGCAGCCACATACCAGGAAGTTTTAGAGCACTTCATGCTTCCTGCAGCTGACCAACTTTTTGGAGATGCAGATTTCATTTTCCAACAGGACTTGGCACCTGCACACAGTGCCAAAGCTACCAGTACCTGGTTGAAGGACCATGGTATCCCTGTTCTTAATTGGCCA